CTGGCAGCCCGTGATCCAACAATCAACGCCACTAAAATAAAAGCAGAAGTCAGGGCCGCCTCTGGGCTTGAAGTTAGCACGCAGACCGTTCGCAATTGCTTGCACCAGGCTGGATTACGAGCACGGAGGTCTTGGCGAGCTCCGCTCAATTCCCGGCAACGTCAACAACGAAGATTGCAGTGGGCTAGACTTCGGCAAAATGAAGAAGGTGAGGACGAAAACATTTGGCAAAACTGTCTCTTCGTTGACGAATCCCGAATCAGCACTCATCCAGATAACCGACGTGTCCGTGTCTGGAGAAGACCAGGCGACCGTGAAAGACAAAGAACTGCCACTGGAACAGTTCAGCAAGGCGGAAAATCGGTGTCCTTTTGGGGTGGCATTATGATTGGAGCTAGAACGCCTTTGATCCCGTATCGGGGCTTCATGACAGCAGACATGTACAAAGCAGTTGCTATTGATGATATCGTCAGACCATTCCGAGTAAACCATGGGCACCAATTTGTACCGGTCGATGATAATGCGCCCGCACATCGAGCTCAACGAGTCAATGCTGCTCTTCAAGAATACGATATCACACGATTAGACTGGCCTGCCGGCTCGCCCGACTTAAACCCAATAGAGCACGCGTGGGATGCTCTTAAACGAGCAGTATGGAACCGTGAGCCACGTCCCCAGACAGTTCCAGAGCTCAGGGAAGCCGCTATTGAAGAATGGGATAGGTTACCCCAGGAAATGCTGGATAACTTGATCCTCAGCATGCCCAGGAGGATCTTCGCATGTATTCGAGCCAGGGGAGGAGTTATTTTATATTGAATTCACACCTTTTAATAATAAATTGTTGTTTAAGTTTAATTAAACAGTCTTTTTCTTTCTATGAAATTTCTATTACTATTACATTATGATTAATGGCTCAATTTTTTAAAATAAATAATAAAAAATAGTTTTATATTTTAATTTCAAACAGGGTATTCCTATTTAAAGAAAGCATATAACATAGATTTTTTCTTGATAAAGTTAAATTTAAAGAATTATAGGAGCTTATGCTATTGATCGCAAACTTTTTTTGATGTGTGTACATTGGGCTAGAGGAGGGCGTTTAAAAGAAAAGCACTTTAAAAAGTCTGCTTTTTAAAATAAGCGCATAAACACGCGTTTTTAAGCTTAAGCGTTGGTCACTGGTCAGTTTTATAGATACTCAACAATTTCATTTTTTACAAAGTGCCTAAATTTCAAATAGCCATCTATGTTTCCTAAACAAATTAATTCAACATAACGTTACAAGCTTTTTTATACATAAAGTCTATGCACTTAATCATTTTTCTAAACGACTTTTTAAGCGTCAAACTAAAAAGCGTATAAGCATTGACTTACAAATAAATGGACGACGGGTCTAATACAAAAACCACGATAAAAATGTGCCAAGTCAACCTATTCGAAATTTAAATTGTAATGTCATCGCAGTATCGCGCTGTCAGTCGAACAAATGAAGACTAAAGCGGAGTTTGGCGCTCTGTATACGATTTTAGCGCCTTACAAGTGCGGACACTTTTTAGCGCGGACCCGACGTCCATATAATTGCAAGTCAATGCGTATAAGTGAAAAGCGCTTTTACAAGCACGCTTTTTAAATTTGGCCAAAGAAATGCACAAGCGGCCGTACTACGAAACTGAATGCATTATACAAAAGTGCGTTCGTTCGATATTCATGGCGTATTAAGAAAGGATTCACAAATAAATCGCACCAAGCAAAAGCCGCAATGTATTACAAATCATGAGGCATACGCTCGGTAGCATATTTGTTTTCACGAAATTCATACGAAACCAAAATAATTGTTTTTAAAATAAATTATGCATCATCTGATTACAAAATCACGTACCCGTGGAAGGAAACGTCCCTGTTTACCCGTTTACCCACATTTACGGTGCTTTTGCTGTTTATAATGGCACGATTATGTATTTTTCGCGTTTTCGACTGGTGTTTGTCTACGATAACAGTCGAGCGCGTTCTGAAGTGTAGCAGCGGCAAGTAAGTGAATTTCACTTACTTTGGGCACGCGAAGTACGTACACTTCGTCGCGGCGTCTATCTAAATATATGTCTGTATCGGTACCATTTCTTAAGCGTCCGAAGTAGTGGAGTTATGAGTGCAACGTTTCTTTGTACGAGATTGGGTATCTGGTAGTAATCTGTACTAGTATAGTTTTATATTATCAGGGTGCCTACTACAACCTCTTAAAACAATATTACTTTAATCTTACATTGACTTTTTGTACCATAACGCGCTTAAAGTAAGCTTATTGTAATGTTAAAACTATGATGTTTTATTGGCAGCTTTGTGACTAATCATTCACTTAGTTCGTACTATGACGCGACTTCAAAGTTAAAGTAATATTGCTCTTATGTCTAATTTAGCAATCTTAAAATAGTTACACGGATGCAATGAAAACTTCTTCGAAATGAAAACTATTCTTAAAAAGTGCAGACACAGGTAAAACATACGGTACTACTTACTTCGGCCTTCCTTCGTAAGGATTGAATGAATTCGTTGTAAAGTATTCCCATTTTCAATCGATCTCGAAAATCCGTCTGATTAGCAAATAATCTCAATATTTTTATTTCTCTTTCCAACTTAGTTGTGTCTATATTTAATTTATGTAACTCAGGTAAAGATTTAATCACGGGGTTAAAATATTTATCTAGGTTATTGTATATGTATTTGTAATTTCGCATCTGAAAAACATGAAATGTACATAAATGAATATAATAAAAATAATGTAAACAAATAATATAATAAGAGAAATGTGCCAAACAACCCCACCGAATACCGATCTCAAACTAACAAATTACTTTATCTATAGTATAAGTACCAGAGCAAAGGCACTCCGAGACAAATCACCTAACCCAGAAACAATCCTAACGCATACAGTGCAAACCCTTCGGCCATCGGCATTGTATGCTTCCACTCAGATTGTCGATGCCTTCTTCTGTTAGGTTTTTTTTATATTATGTAATCAGCAAACAATCCTACGGCCCGCCTCATGGAAAGCGGTCACCGTCCTATAAGAACGCCTGCCACACTAGCGGCTTTACGAGCGCGTTGCCAACCCATTAGGACCCTTTCTAAACCCCCTTTGAAGGACTCCATCCATACCGTATTCCTGCGGGAAAACCCCCACAGGGGTTCATCCACGGTTGGTTGTCGGTGGCGAGCGGTACTGTGATAAAATGTTGCTGTTGGTATCATGTTTTTTTTTATAATATCAAGTGACGGGACTTTTTCTGGCAGATTTAATGTGATTCCGTGTCGATAAGTGTAATGAATGCCTAAGGAGGCAATGTAAATATGGCTCAATGCATACAATATTCGGTTGTAGGCCTAATTGGGAAGAACCTTGCCTCCACCCAGGAAGCTCGAATTCGAGTCGTTGCAACTAAACTTTTTTTTCTCTGCTTTGACTGATTGGATTCTATTCGCAAACGCTCATTTATGCACATTCGTTTCAGAACCTTTTTTTATGAAAGGCAGCTATTAAAAAAATGGGCAATATAAGGGCGCTCTTTCACCGCGAACATGCTCTTGTAATGTAACAGTTCAAAAGTGAGCATTACAGCGGAGAGGGAGGTGAACCGAGCATTCGTTGCGCAACACTTGTAACATTCGGTTGCCTCCTTCACCGGGAACATTCGCCCGTAATGTAACAATCTGTTCAGATTGTAAGGCTGCGACTACACCAGATATAGTGGAAATGTTGTCAAGTCTTTACTTAAGTTAGGTGCCTGCGAGTGTATTGAACACGTTTGAGTACCTTTTAGTGTGTTTGAGTGCCTTTAAGTACCTTTGAGTCCCTTTGAATGCCTTTGAGTGCTTTTTAATGCTTTTTAGTGCCTTTGAGAGCCTTTGAGTGTCTTGGGTGTCCTTGAGTGCCTTTGAGTGCGTGCGAGTGCCTTTATGCTCGCAGGCACTCAAAAGCACTTGCACACACTAGCAGGTATTCAAAGGCACTCAAACGCACTCAAAGGCACGTAAAGGCACCCAAAGGCACTCAAGAAATTTATAGGCAGTCGCGGGCACTCAAACGCACTCAAAGGCACTCAAGACACTCAAAGGTACTCAAACGTACTCAAAGGCACGCAAAAGTACTCAAACGCACTCAAATGCACTCAAAGACACTCAAACGCATTCAAAGGCACTCAAAGGCATTTCAATTCAATTCAATCAAATTTTAAATTTAAAAAAAAGCTGTTATTGAAGCCCTGACCTAATTTCGTTGATTACTTTTTACTTGTTTCAGTTTTGCCTTACCCATCACACACGGCAATTTCAATTTCAACTTTATTAATAATATGTGGATAATGTTGTTGATTGTACGAGTACTTATGTCACTTAACCTAACAACAAATGTAATCGTACCATGTACAATTGTTTGTTATCCCTTAAAAATAAATTTAAAAAAGGCACTAAAAGGGACTCAAAGACACTCAAAGTCACTCAAAGGCTCTCTAAGGCACTCGCGGGCATTCAAACGCACTCGCGGGCACTCAAACGCACTCGCGTTCTCTCGCTGGCAGTCGCGGGCTCTCGTGGGCACTCCTGACTCTCGCGGGTACTCGCGGGCTCTCGCGGGCACTCAAAGGCACTCGCACGCACTCGGAGGCACTCGCCCGCACGTCTTTCTACCTCGCACTTCTCTGGTGGAATCGCAGCCTAATCGAATCTTGGATGTTACATTACTGACGAATGCTCGTCGGTGAAGGAGGTAGTTTGTAATGTAATGCTCAAAAACTAATCTTGAATGTAACATTACAGGCGAATGTTCGCGGTGAGGCAGCACCCTAACACCGTAGCAAATAATTAATAATAATTTAGGTAGCAATAGAGTTCCTTGTGTGAGTTCCTTCGGGGAAGAACCACAATCATACCTATTTCTGCTGTCCAGCAGCAAAGTGAGAATTACTGCGGTCCAGTTTTTAAACTTAGGATGCTAGTGAAACTATAGGACACACATAGGACTTGTCAACTTCATATCTCAAGGTAAAGGGCGCAGTTGGCTGTGTCCCTCATGTCTTTGCGATTTAAAACGCTGAATAGCACTGCTACTGATAGGGTGCGTACAGATCAGGAGAATGCTCCGCAAATGCGCCTGTTTGCGAAAGGCACGTGAGCTGCGCACGTGCATTACGTGGTGCGATCTGTTCGCGTGCTCTTCGCGCGCCACATAATTATATAACAGCATGTATTTAATGTGCGTGCAGTCGCCAGATCCAGACTTCTTCATCCCGTCAGTTGACGTTATGAAGAAAATGTACATAAAAGAAATTATATAGATTACGTGTTGTCCAAATAGTTCAAATTCGTATCCATTCTTCGATATATAATTTTTAATTCGAAATAGAGTGTCGAAAGCCTTTAGATACTCCGTATAACCAATCTGGCCAACACTGGATGTGGACATCGCGAGAACTCCTGTCGACAGCAATGACAGAACAATCTGAAAGTGTAAATTATTTGTGATCAAGTAGGAAAGAATAAAAAAAAATGTATTTGATAATTATACTTCCCTATCACTACCTCTACTAGGCTACCACAACTTAGCATAGATGTGGTTGTAAAAAAATGTTTTGATAATTCTTTTTTAATAGAATAAATTCTTTCAGGCGTGAAGAATAGATTTCCATTTTTCTTCTATTTACAGTATTCTTTTTAAAACGGAAATCCGAAACTATAGGAGATACAGGGAAACTGTCTTAGGAACTAATGGTTCCTTTTTTTATACAAATGTAAGTGCGCATTTGACCTCCATCTCACCTGATCGAAAGTGACGATAAGGTCGACGATGTAGCAAGCACACCTAAATAATGCCTATTAACTATCGCCTCGCCGTCCAAGTTATAGTTCAGGGAGCAAGTCCGTAGGTAGGGAATTCCACTCTCTAGCCGCTCGCCATATAAATGTAGAGGCGAAACGCTTCGTGGGAATCCTGAGAATATCTACAACATAGGGGTGGAACCCCAGCCCACTCTAGTTCCCGATGATGGAAAGGGGAAGGCGGAATCAAATTATACAATTCCATCGCACACTCTCCGTAATACCTATATCCTGTAAAATACCGAACAGCAGGCAACTTTACGACGGTGTTCAAAGCTCTGCAGCTTCGCCTCTACTAATTCCGAGTCACCTATAAGCCTCCTGCCATACTTGTCCATTGAATCCAAGGTGGCCAGTTGGTACGTAGCAGAGCCATCCCAAAGGCAGTAGTACTCCATACACGACAGCTGAAGCAACTGTACCGGAGTAAAGTAACGCCTCACCCAGGAAAGAATGCCAAGCTTCCTTGCTGCATTTTTGGCGATGGATTTAATGTATCTGCCAAAGTTCAAATTGGACGACGTAGATTTGAAATTGCAAATTAACATTTCCGAAATCGACGTTTTTTTGAATATAGTTGAAAGTGAATTCTCGTTATAGGTTAAGTTTTAAATGTCATGCAAAAACGTTAATATTAGCATTTTATTAAATTGCATATCTTGGTGTAATTTTCAATTTGTGTATAACCACTTATTTGCGGCTTTCCTACATATATATTGTGCTACAACCTATATACATGCTATCTAGATTTGTATTAAATTCTAAAAATTTCCGTTAATTTCATCATCTCAATTTAAATTGTAAAGACTTTTTTGATTTTCAGAGACGTTGAAACTCAGCTACTTCTGGAACTGTTTAGCCTTCAGCTGCTTTAGTATTATTATTTAAAATTTGTAAGCTCCGTTTCTAAGTGGTGGCCCGGCAAGAACTACTACGCCAGTACTTTCCTAATTCTGTGCGTTGCCGTCGGTGGGCAATCAGAACGGAAGGTAGATGACCAGATTGTAGCTGTTGGCTTATCAAATTCCAGAAGCTTCGTCACTGCTGAAAACAGCTTCGTCACTGCTTAAAACAGCTTCGTCACTACTGAAAACAGATACGTCCCTGTTGAAAACTACCATCTGGTTGGTGGAGCCCCTTAGCTTCCCAACCAGTCCACTGCGCGCGCGCTAGTGTCGAACACACCACCACCTACACCATTCCGCCGGTTGTCTGAGAGAGTTCCGTGACCAGAGGCCACCCACCATCCACGGCCGAACACACTTCTTAGGGAAGTACGGAACTCCAGACGCAGAAACAAGTCATCTTTAGTCATTACAACCACGGCCCTGATAAATTCATGTACCCGAATTTCTTCTTTTTGGGTCTCATTTAACTATTTATTTTATTCAAAAATTAAGTTTTGAATTGTAGTTTTTTTTAAATATTATAACTTTATTTCCGATCTCCTATTTTAATTTACTACTCTCTTAGGTAAGGTAGGCACTAGGGAATCGAACCCGGTACAATACGTGCATACTCTCACTGACATATATAATCTGTTTATTATTATTCAAAGTAATACCCTGTATATTTTGTAGCTCTTGCGCGTCAATTTAATTGCCCTGAGTGTGAAGCATATAAGAAGGGACGTCAGACACAATACGATGCCGATAGATGACCATGCAAAACCCACCATAAGTCCACCCTGAAAATTAAACACAAAACAACCTCAAATATGTTATAGGAATCTTCAGAACTAAAACAAAGATATTTTATATTTTCAAAAACAGAATTTATCATAATGGTCGCCTTGTTAGGGAGGCATCACACTTATCGACAGGAAATCGCATTAAAGTCCAGCGCAAGCCGGCAAACGGCGGATGAGAGCATCGAAGAGGATCTTATGCTCGCCAGTTAGTGCTAAAAATCAGACCTGGTCTTGCAGTCTTGGTCTTGCAATTGATTTAAAATTGATTCACAAATTAAACATGAAAGCAAAAAGTGGTTATTATTAATTATCATTATTACATAATACACCTAAAATGTTAAACCACCTTGCCTACCAATTATTCAATCCATAAAAAGTATTTGACCTCATCATTTTACAACTATTATACTGTCGTTAGAAAGTGACATTAAAAAGAAACATCAATAAACAGAAACATTGCTATCACAAAAGTCTGAAAGATATAATAAAGTTGTTATTCAAATAATATAAAACAATCTATGTTTTGTCTATGCGAAGATTGTAATCCTTGAGCTGCCGACTCTGATACATTAAACGCCCCGCTCTAGCGAAAACTAGTTGTGTGCACGCTACACATGAGCCCGACGTTCAAGGTCCATTGCGAACGTTCAAGGACGTTTAACCCGCCAAACGCCCCGCCACACGCAGGTGCGAATTTGCAGTATTACGATTAGAAGCGGGAGTTTAAACGAAAAACACTTTAAAAAGTTCTTAGGTTTTCGCGATTGTTACACATAGGAAATGAAACTATTTTTCCGGAGTCAACCGTGACCATGGGACCTGTAAAGGGCCCGAAACGTCGGTTTGTTTGAAAAAACAAATATACGCGATTTAAATCCGGAAAAATAGTTTCATTTCCTACACTTTAAAAAGTTTGCTTTTTAAAAAAGCACATAAGCACGCTTTTCAATTTAAGCGTAAGCGTTAACAACGCGCTATTTGAAAAGTCGTGCCCGCCATCTTGGATTTAGAAAGGAGTGCCATATTCGTTACGAGAGCACCCCAAATACTAAATATAATGCCCATGATATATTCGACCAGAACAGCAATTAACAATTAATTAATTGTTAAAAGCTGTTCTCGCAACTAACAATTAATCAATTGTCAATCTTTAATTGCCTGAACAATCAAATTTTGCCCAATACTGCCCACCATCAATGTGAATAATACTTTTTTAGATAAAAATAAAACTCATATTTTACAAATAAAATTAAATACCTTAAAACCTTTAGTAGTCTACTCTTGCTTTTCGCTATCAACACAACGTTGCAAGCTTTTTTTTAACATAAACGTCTATGCGCTTAAACGTTTTATAAAGAATTTTGTAAGCTGCAAACTATAAAGCGTTTTAAGTGAAAAGAGTTTAAAAAGCACGTCTTTTAAAAAAGCACGTTTTAACGTTTAAAAACAAGTAGTTTTTTCATCTCTAATTACGACATCGCGAGTGTCGGCTTCCTCCCGTTCGCCGCTATCCAAGCTAGCTAGCTAGTACATCCGGTATATTTCTCCTGCCGCATGCCGCGATATCCTCTAGCGTGCTCTTCAATACGGCAGGGTGAAAGGTGCTGCGATACTCCGAGGTCGGTCACAGAGCATTGAAATCTATACTTTATTTGAATTGAAATAGCATAAAAATACATTAATAAGACTGATATCCTCTACTATCCCGTCCGCCGGTTTGTGCTGGCCAAGCGTATCAGAAAAACATTTTTTATAAAGTTTTTCGACTGATTCAAGCCGATTCCGTGTTAAAGTGTGGTCCACTACCTTAACCCACTTCTAACCTACATTCTCGCTGGTTACTTTGGTACTTAAATAATCAGGGTGTTTATGCCTTAATTTGTACTAGTAAATTGTCATTTTTATCCCAATTATTCCCCAATTTATTGTAGTGTTGTAGACTTGAAAATTAACATATTTTATGTTCTCACTGTATAGGTATAATCATACAAGGGTATAATTAATTATAAACTATGTAAATGTAAGAAAGTAATTACCTGGCGATAATTTTCGTTAAAAGCACTAAATTTATTATTAACTCTTTGGAACTTGAAATTGTATCTTGGTATTCTATGTATAAATTGTACGATTCTCGTTGGTTTAAACAACATTGGGAACGGATCGTCGCTAAAGCCCCGAGGAAGTCTAAGAAGATATTCACGGCCCCGCAGTTTATACTCTGGTAAGGGACAAAAGATTATAAAACTATGGATTTGTAATAAATGCGCAATTATGAATAAATATGTCCACGACAATGAATGTGTACATTTCACACGGTACTGGAACCGTGCAATGAAAACAATCAACGATATTTCGTGTATATCGAGTTCTTAGGTTTTCGCGATTTTTACACATAGGAAATGAAACTATTTTTCCGTATTTAAATTGCGTATATTTGTTTTTTTAAACAAACCAACGTTTCGGGCCCTTTACAGGTCCCATGGTCAATATACCTACGCGATGTAAATAAGGAAAAATAGTTTCATTTCCTATGATATTTTGTGTATTTCAGCAGCAGTAGAACTGCCGCCAAGCAGTAACGAGAACAATACTGCGTTCCGGCTTTGAAGGGAAAGGGAGCTGGGGAAATTACAGGCACATTGGACATGTCAACTTTGTCTCAGGGTGACAGGCGCAGTGACAGTGCCCCTCACATCTTAGTAATGTAAAACTCCGAGTAGCACTGCACCTGTTTTGGATAGGCGTATCGCTTACTGGTTCGTCCCGTCACGTGATATCATAAAAAAAATTTAATAATATGTAGGAATTACTTATTATCAGAGCTCGAAATAGACAGAGTATGGTTAGCTAAACAATACATATTTAGTGGATAATATCCCCTCTGAAATCTCGAAATGATTGAAAATAAATGATATAAAATCTAAACAAAGTATAATAGTTACGTATATTTTTACTTACATTTTTTTCTAAATATACTTTTTAAAGGTAGCAGGCAGATGACTTCACTCCACCTAAAGTTAAATGGAAAATGAAGTCTAAACATGAAGAAACTAATCGCAGTGTTCTACAATCACTGCCCTAGCCACCTCCATCCTGCATGCCTACAATATGCTTCTACACCCCTCATTTGAAGGACCCCATATGGTAAAACAGAGGGAAGTGAAGTGTGTGCGCTGGAAGGGAATTCCATTTGTCAACTGTACTACAGAGAGAAAGTAAAGTAGTTACACATAAAAGTATAGAATAAAATACTATACAAAAATCAAACTTTAGGATACGTGAATATACTCTGCCTATGTCGATATCTAATTAAATAGATAGATATACACTTTATTGCTTTTATATAAAAGCAAAAACAGCACTTAAACAACTTACTTGGCAAAGGCGGTATTATCACTAAGGGCGATTTCTTCCAGACATAATTTGGGTCAGAGAAACTTACCAGACCGGGAGACGTAATGTGCCAACGGTAAAATTTAAAATGCGTAAATTAAAACGTACATTATATTATTATCAAATAATAAATAACCATATAACAAACCTCCAAATATGTCTGCATATATAAATATACCTAAATAAGTTTACACTTACTAATAAATATACATGTTGTAGACTAGGACCGTGGCAAGGTATTTACGCGATCCAGTTTTTAAAAAGAGGAAGCGACTTAGAATATCATATTTCCGACGGTAATTCGTTCTATAATTGTGCAGCCTTAATCATAAAGGAGTCTTCGTAATACTCGAAACGGGTGAAAGGAGGTTCCAGTAGGTTATCTATTATAATGAGAGCTTAGTTCACAGTTGTGATCCTCACCGAGAAAGCGAAAACGGAGTGCGAGGATCGTTTAGATATTCAGACACATTAGCAATCCCTATATGCATCTGATACATAGATTCTATAGACGCTGGAGTTCGCTAAATATATTACCATTGTGGTCAATGACACAGGTATCAACATACTCCAGAAAAGGTTTATTAGCTATTGGCCCTGGCAGAAAGCAGATTTTATCCACCATAACAATGAACCGGAGCCAGCAAACACCTTTCTACTCACCAATACGACGTGTGGCGACAAGACAGCGTGGAATCAAAGATAACGCCAGAGTTTTTGACAACACTACTGAAAAGCAATAAGAGGGAGTTGAAGAGGAGCGGGAAAATAGCCATGTTATTTAACTTGGCAATCTGCTTCGAGCCACCAATGACGATGGCCTGCGACTTATTAGAGGATTGATTGTAATAAGACCTGATGTCAGTCATACGTAGGAAACAAAAAAAATAAATTTGAAGGTCGTCAAAAAAGAAGAAAAGAGTACCCCGCCCTGAGACACACCAACGGTAACGTCACATTAGCTAGAATGCTTGTTATTGATACGAACACATTGCCGTCGTCCAACGAGATAGTTGCAAAACCACTCCACCACCAAATGCGGCACACGAACAAATTTCAGCATTGCTAATAGGATGTCCAATTCAATAGTGTTGAACGCATTGCTGAAATCTAAAAGAACTAATATTGTCAGATGCTCATCCGACATATTTTCGCGAATGTTATCCGACACCTTGGTAAAGGCAGTTACAATGTTATTCACCGAGCTGAAAGCAGACTGGAAAGGACTGAGGATATCGTGGGAGTTCACGAATATTGTGATCTGGTGATGAACAAGGCGCTCAAGAACTTTGAAAAGTAACGTAAGAATAGTAATAGGACGAAAATGAGAATATAAAGATGGATTACAGACCAGACCAGTAAGTCAAGAAAAATCGAAAAAAAAAGAAAAAAGTTGAACATATGGTTAAGTAAAAAAAATAATTAAAGAACCTTCTATCATTCTTCATTCAGTCTTTTAGCATGTGAGTTGTGTGTGTTAGAAAGTGATTGTATTGCTTAATACTAGAAGAAAGGGGAAAGATGTTGTGAAATACAAGTTCAAAGAGTTAAGTTTGACTTGCTAATACCAAGGAAAATCAAGAAATTACCATACCTGCTAGGATCACCATTGAAATATGTATGTGACGGCGCTGCGCATCCCTGTAAACCTAAAGCTGCAATGGTTACGACGTTCCTTAAAATTACGGTGAATCTCATCTGAGGGATCGTTATTATATCGCACTTTTGCAAAATTGCGCCTGTCCATCAATGACGTAATTTCTGCTGTGAGCTAAAGAACGGAAAGATGCTTCAGCCAGACACTACGGAGTAGAAAATGTATATACCACATAGCTCAATAAGCATCGAGTTAAAAATCTCTATCTTCAGGTCGATAGATGGGGATCTGAAAACAACGCCCCAGTCGATACCACCAAGGTCACGAACGAAACTTCGTTCGTCAAAGTTGCGCTGCCTGAATTGCGATGACTATTCGAGGTAAGGCTTAGGACAACAAATTTTGTAAAGAAATGAAAATGTAAGAGTTCGTCCAGGGAAGTGCCAGTACTTCTTCAGTTCTCCCTTACTGATAGAAATAAAAAGAAATAGCGGCAGAAGCCGCTAAGCAGCAATGTGAGCATTATTACGTTCCGGCTTTGAAGGGTAATGGTGCTGGTGAAATTACAGGCACATGGGACTTGTCGATTTATGTCTCAGGGTGATTTACCAAAAGTTCTGGAGAGGGGTGTAGCTTACCAAAAGGCACACGATTTGTTCGTCCCGTCATTTGCTATTATAAGAAAAATGTAAGCCAAATAAGGTCACGATAAGAGAAGGCTTCCGCAGGTAGTTGACCGTGGGCGTTAACAAAGCCAGTTGAAGAGACAATGGTAAAATCTAACAGAGACAAGTGTCAGTAAACAAAGTGATGCGTTGAAGAGGATGAAAGAATGTTGAGATTAATAGACTCCACGATTGAGCGTAGCCAAGTAGAACGGACGTCGTTTTTAAGCAGGCAGGTGTTAAAATCACTGCATGATCAAGGTGGGCACTCAACTTTCTAGTAGTATCAAATTTAGTCATCGCATTGAGGCAACGTGGCAGACAACGTATTGTCATACATTACTAACGGAAGAAGTACGTAAGTGTATATTTTGATGTAAATGTAACCGACTATCACTAATGTGAATTGCTTAAAAACCAACATTACACAATGTCTCTGCCATAAAAATAAAACGCATACCAACCGTAAAATGCCTCACAATCAATTGCTGTGAGTACTTTAACTAGTTTAACCTCACTCAATTTATTATTAATTAAATAACCCTCCTTACTTCTCAGCAATGCTCTAATTTCGTTCATCAACTTCCTATCTGTATTATAATCGCGTCCAAATGTTGGCTTGACACGGGTCTGATTTCTTTGTCTGATTTCTGAAGAAAAAAATAACAATTAAAAAAACGTTTTTGTTTCAGTTACTCCTAACGACAGACGAAGGAATTATGAATATGAAATTTTACTACAGGGTATGAGGAATACTACAAATATTTATGTACGTAAAGATCGATTTGGAAACTTCTTTCCTCTCATTCTTTTTAATGAACTGGTAACAATAGTTAGCTTTCGCTCACATATAATTATCATAATAATCATAAAATATTCTAATTGTACGCACGTTAATTTAAATGTACAGTACCCGACGATAAATATTGCACATCGACATTTGGAAAGAGACAATCGGCTAATTTCGGCTTCGTAGAGCGTTATCTCTGTCGCACACTACCTATGTGACGTTTTATCAGTCGTTGTTTAAGTGCGATAGAGTGCGGTCGCGTCCAGTTCAAAATATATATATAGAGTTGTTAATACCCCCAAATTTAAATAATTTAAAGTTGTACTATGGCATCTTTAGGAAAAAGAGGGAAACCTTTACGAGATCAGTCACGCCAAATTATCTACAATGTTTATAAATATTTTGTAACCGAAGCTGACAGATTTGAAAAAAATGAAGATGAAAATGTAAGTTGTTATTTTAAGAAGGTTCAAGCGCGAGTTGCAAATGCCACTGGAATTTCAAGAAGAACTTTGAACAATATATTAAACGAAGTCAGTACTGAAACACATTCTACTGAAATTAAGTTTAGCACTCCAAAAAAAAGGGAGACCAAAAAAGCAATTTCGTTTGGATATGGACGATTTTGATTATGATGTTGTTCGAAGAATGGTGTATGATTTTCACTTGCGATTTAATGAACTGCCAACAATAAAATCATTAAAAGCTAAATTATCTGAAGTTATTAATTACAATGGGTCTGAAAAGACGTTGAGAAAAATACTTCACGAGATGGGATTTCGGTTCACTAAAATGGAAGATAATCGAAAAGTTTTAATGGAAAAGCACGATGTAAGTCTCAAACGAATGGAATACCTCGATAAAATACGCAAATTTCGCGAAACAGGAAAAAATATCGTCTACATGGATGAGTCTTACATACATACATCCCACACTAAAGGGAAATCTTGGAGTGATGATAAGAAAAAAGGAGTAAAAAAGCCAATATCAAAAGGTCAACGTTTGATAATAGTTCATGCGGGAAATGAAAAAGGCTTTGCACCCGGTGCCTTTTTAACGTATAAATCCACGGATACTACAGGTGACTATCACAATGAAATGAATAACGATAACTACGAGAAATGGCTGGTTAATCAATTAATCCCAAACCCTATCACAATAAATATGTTGAAAGACCCCCCAACTCAAACACCATTAAACAGGAAATGATCAACTGGTTAAACAGACACGAAATTCCAGTTGATCCAAAATTAACAAAAACCCAGATTTACGCTATTATATGTCAGCACAAGGAGAGGTATACAGAGTTTTCCGTGGACAAAGTACTTGCCGAACATGGGCACACTGTGTTGCGATTGCCACCGTATCATCCGGATTTTAATCCAATTGAAAATATATGGTCTCAACTAAAAGGCTATGTAGCCTTTAGAAATGTGGGTATGAATTTAACTACAGTAAAAACGTTATTGACTGAAAAAGTAAACATGATCGGGGCTGAAGAGTGGAAAAAGGTTTGCGATCACACAATCAAATGTGAGAATGAATATAGAAGCATTCAACACGGTTTAGACAATTACACTGATAGACTAGTGATAAATACGGCTGATAGTGACAGTGATATTGACCTCTTTGAGAGCACAAATAGTGAAATGGAAGTAATTGAGAATTAGAATTATTATTATTTTTATTACAATGTCTCACTTTAACCATAGGTACAATGGTGTTTATTATGTACACTACAGCTGTAATTTTCCAAAGTAATTAAATACGTAAACGTAATGTGAACATATTTTTTTTTATTTTATTTTACCCGAACCTAAAGCCATCACTTATAGAAAAATTGGTGTATTTTATACAAAGAATAAAAAGAATTATTAAAAGAAGCAAATTAAAATTGTTTTAACAGCTCTTAATAGATACCGGACTGTTCGTATTTCGTGCGACAGATATAACGCTCTACGAAGCCGAAATTAGCCGATTGTCTCTTTCCAAATGTCGATGTGCAATATTTATCGCCGGGTGCAATATTTACTGTACACACGTTAACTTCGATCATACGAGTATATGCTATAAAATACATACATTACAAGGTCTGTAGCTAAACAATATTTGCGGCTTGTTTCAGAAAATAAAGAAAGTTTTAAGATAGCTACTGCAGCAAATTAATAAATAACGAGCATAAAATAACAGATTGCTTTGGGTATAATAATATTATATTTTATATTATATTACAACATACGTTTCCAAGAAATGCTTACACAAGAGCATCAAGAGCCTTTGTTTTACGAATCGGAAATTCGGTGATAAATACAATATAGATAATACTCTCGGCGCCTGCATGTACGTTTCTACAAGCTTAGTTTTATTATATTATTGTATTAGTGCATGTCTATGTCTTTCTTGTCCACCGACTGTTACTGCGCTACTACAGCAGCAGTGTAGCGTATAGAGATAGCTCACACGATGTCTTACTTGATTGTTAATTAAGAGCATACACTCATGATACGCCTGCTAGATCTAAGAGTGGTTACACACGACTACTTTTAGCATCGATACAAACGCACGATTGCATCGATATAAACGCCTATAAATCCGAAGTGTAGCGACGCAATCGCGCGTTTGTATCGCTGCTTAAAATCGCGCGCGTGTGTAAAGTAGATGAGTAGCGACGGCATCGCGTTTGCATCGCTGCTAATTGTCTCAGTATTAGAGAGAATGTTGCTTTTTTTACCTCTTTTAACAAAATCAGATTGTTTTCTTTTTCCACTATTCTCATGGGATTCTACAACGTCATTATAATCGTTCGTGGCAAAGTTTGATATATAATACGTGATGGATTGTAGGGCTTCTTCATCCACGGTACTTTCATTCGTGTGCTCGTATTCATTTGGATATATATATTGTTCTTCCGCTATAAGAGATTTAATTTTGGTAAATAAAAGTAGTTGCACGTCATTATCGTGATCCACCAACTTATCTGTGATGAAGACAAAGAAAGGAACTAATGCAATCGCGTTAAAAAGCAACACGCTCAATCACATAAGTTGGGGACTTTAAGTTGATGAGTCTATACTTGTTTTTAAATATTTTTCATTGAGTTACAAAGGCTGAACAAATCTAGTTTTCCTATGACAATTAATGGCGCCGTGACATACCTTACACTGAAACAGTATAACTGACCATATCGTGAATGTTTTGTAGAAATGATAAAAGCGCCATTTCGATTTCTTTTTCAGGGGAGCGTGTTTTAGTTTTTCACGGCTGTTTTAACCTTCAAGCAGACGCGTAGTCATTTAAAATGGCAGAAGAGATTTCTTTAGTAGCGTAGCCTTAAGGACCTATTGGAAACTTTAGATTTAAATGACCAATTAATAATGTATTCATTTATTTTTTTACATTTTGACACATTGTCACACATATGTTTAGGTTAGGAGACAATTTGTTTATAAAAAAAAATAATTAAATCGACAATAAAATCAAAATTATAAAACATATTCGTTTTTTGGAACAATAACAGCTTGGCAAGTCAAATCTTATTACACTCAAATAAATTCAACATTATGAAATCAAAAATCCAGGTGCATTCAAGTTTATAAGTCAGAAATGTTTTACATCGTGATAATGTTCATTAGTGGCGCAGCTTTGTTCTGAGCACGACGAGATGCCCGTGTAGTCGCACCGTCAAACCGCAACGAGTTCAGTAGAAATTCAATTCTTTTTAGTGACATGGTTCTTGGGAAGATTGATGCGCCTGTGCCAACAGTAGCTTTCAGGTCTTCTAAATTCGAATGTGACATTCACAAAGTTCCTGCAATATATAGCAATCCGAATAGTGCTCTGATTTCGGCAAGATCAGTTGTCTTGCAGTCACGAGGTCTGAGGAAAGATTGCGCCTTTTTTTGGATAAATTCTTTCATGCGACAATCTCTTAAATAATTCCTTCGTTAATAATAAATAAATCCCTGGCTTTTATAAAGTTGTAACCCTTACGCCATTTTTACGAATGCTGGAATCTTCTGTGAGCATATTTTGGCGTCTCACCCTGTTGGCGTTGCCTTATCACGTCCCGTGACATATGTATACCTATTTCTGATAGAGGCACATATTCATCGTCCGAACTCGAACCGTTTTGTTACCTCTACTGATTGAATTGCTTCAGTATTTTCTACGCCAGAAAGATGGCCGGAAATTTCTCAACCTTGGTCACTGAGTACTGATACACTTTTTCTATCGTCTTCTTGTATTAGCTTAACTATGTTCATATCGCTGACCGGTCGACGAGTCATTTTGTACACAAAATAAATCAAAATACGAACTTCGTTAGTTTCACTTGAGAATACTTTCGCAAAGTATCCGACGTCAGCCAACGGCATAGAAACAAAAGGTATCTATGTACCACGGGACGCACTAAGAAGTGGGAATTACAGTTTCATTTGTTCGTCGTGCGCCTGTGACAGGCTATACTAGAGACAGGAAATACATGTGGCAACAAAGTATAATTTTATGAACGACAATAAAACACGTGCAGTAGATTCACACACACACACACCGCTAGACGGCTTGAAGGTTATATAATATTTACATCCTGTTTAGAATACAATTTTAAAACTTAAACTAAATAACAACAAAACAGTCCTTCAAACAAAAAAAAAAATTCGCAATGGCGCTTTCGCCCTTTCTACAAAACATCCGACGATAATATGACCGTGCGTACCCACGTATATACAAACACAATATGTCAAATGGTAAAACTGTTTTCTGACACCAGCTGGCAATTTTGCTAACGTGCGCACTTGTAACTTACCTTTAATATATCGAATTTTTAGGTTTTCGCCATTAACTTACAAGTCAATGGTTTTCGCTACTTATATATTTATACTATTACTACGCATAACAAATGAAACTATGTTTTCGAATCTAAACCGTTTATCAGTCAAATAGTCAGCCAGGACCATGGAATCTGTAAACACTTCGAAACATCGGTTAATTTGTAAAACAAATATGCGATTTAGACCTGCAAAATAATTTCATTTGCAATATATTTAACATTTTACGGTGTTTCTTATTCCTGCGAGCACAACTTACTCATAGTGAGTGACTTTTCATTTTTTTTATTAACCTATTGTGTCCCACTGCTGGAACTGGGTCTCCTCCAAAATTCTCCACTGCTCCCTGACGTTAACGATGTCTTACCACTGCCAAGCTGAAAAGGGATTGAGTTGGACACGTCTGTCGCGTGCACCCACAAAGCGACTTGGTGGATACCGGAAAACGGCCAGCAACGACGAGGCAGCCCAACAAAGAGATGGCGGTGTATATATCGAACTGACTTGACATTGCACCAAACTGGAAGCCGAGTCGGAGATGCTTTTACCCAGCAGTGGGACACAATAACAGACAAATTAAAAGAAATAGTTATTCTATCTTTACCTGTCGATATATCAATCACGGACGTTGTTGTCTCTTCGACGGCAAGTGAATTTTCGACATGACCAGCATCTGTGGCTTCCTGCAGGTCATTTACATATTCATAGAAAGCTTTTGTTGTCCCAAGATTGGATGGTTGAGTTATTATTTCATAGATACTACTTTGCCCAGATTTAAACGTAGTTCTACCTTCCAACGTTTTGGTATAAAGAGAGGCTCCATTGATGTCATCAATCAGTTTGTATTCGTATTCTGCAGAGTCGAAGTCTTCAATAACTTTTTTTACGGGCTGTATGTAATACATTCCCCCGACTAATCCGACCACGCTTGATAACATAAAACAAATCTATTGCTTAACGGTCATATAAATTCAAAATTATTACAATAAAGAAAAGTCGTTTTCAAACAATGACAAAGTACGTACCTGCAATATGTTCATAAAACTCGATATCTGAACTGTAGTGAAAGAAATCCACAGAAATGTGTACGACTATTGGAACCATTATTTCACTTCACTTTTTAAATATTGACCTCATCGCCGGAACTATGATTCTACTATTTCCGTTGGAACTTTTAAAGAATAATTTGATGATAACATATTTCAATTCAATTCACTTATTATTATTCCTTATTATGTCACTTCAATATTTAAAGGTCTGATGAAATATGCCAGGTCAGGTTTTGTGTGGATATGGCTTAGACCTTGGAGAATGGAAAAAAAAATTATTGATTCCACCAGTGTCAGGAGGTCTACTCTTTTTTTAACGAAAAACGAAATTTCGATCGAAGTTTCGCATGTTTCTTACCACAATTCCATTTCAATGCGAAATTTCATTCGAACGAAAAATTGTTTGACATTTGGTTTTTCGTTAGCATAGTCTAATTCATGGACATCCGAACGAAAATTTGATTTTGACGACAATTCTTTGGAATTATAATGTCAAATTGACGAACCTAAAAGTGGTACCTTTTGATTTTCTTAAATGGATTTTTTTTTTTAAATTTGATTGAAATAACTGCAAAAATGCTTTCGTTGATCCGCCAGTGCAACCAACTACGTACCTAATTATGTGAAATTCCCGACTTATAGTTTGTAGGCAATTACAAACATTATTGCATTACATCATTGCATATCACATTGCACATTTCTATTTGAAAAGTAATGCCAAGAAATAGTGCCCTTATCACTTTCAAAAGAAAGAGGTTATGGAAACGAGCTCGCGATTGTTGTTCTCGAGTTGGGAGAAAATTAACTCCAAGCTGAAAGGTTGCATCTAAATTAGCTGTTTCTTCAGCTCCAGCTCTGCAAGCTGGCCCAAGAACAAGAGAGGTAGTGCAAATTTCGGAAAACATCCCAAGGAGCACACTTTATACGCCTTAAAACTGTTATATCTATAAACAGTCTTAATATGGTATAGATTTAGATAATAGTTCTCTATAAATGATTTTAGAAAAAAGAAATTGTTGTTATAGACTTATTTCACTCAAGTCAAAATTTTAAAACCTTCTTAATACCAAACAACTTAACTAAGTGTAATCTCTCTTAAGATTTGCTCTTATAGTCCTTACTTTATGTTCATCTGTAAAACAACTGATTACTTTTAGTAAAATTGTTCTATACACATCCAGTAAAGTCTATTAATACTCTAAAAACTGAAGTATATCCTAGATATATTTAATTTATAGACATTCTGTAGTGTTTGTACTTATAACAAACACGTAATAGCGCGTCTTCAGTAGATTTTATTTAAAAAAATACTACAATTTGGGTTTTTACTCTATTAGACGTTGTAAGAGTTCAAGCAAAATGGATAAAGTAAAGAATATTAAAAGATCTGGTGGAGGTGGTGAACCTTGGATATTAAGGCACATCATCAATACAACCAGCGTTGCCAATGCCAATTGTTCACAATCCCCAAAAATCACGGTTAAAATCCCCAGATTCGGGGAGAGCAAAGTTCATAGGTATACTAAATCTATGGTTTAATCCATGGATAGAATTTTTTTCCAACCAGGTTGACCATAGACATAAAAAAGTTAAGATATCCCATAAAGGATGGGAAAAAAGCTTAGAGGATGGAAAAAAATAAAAGGAAAAATAATAGTCTAAGGAAAAAAGAGATATCCAAAGACTGTATGAGTGAAACAAAATTTGTCTTTTGTATTCTGTCTATTAGTCAGAAATGCCAGAGGCACTTAAAATAAGTATAATATAGTCATTTTTACTTGACATTGGCGACTGACAACATTAATCGAAACTGACACTGGCCCAAGCCTAGTGGCCGCCATTAAGGAAATAAAATAGAATAGAATCATCGTTTGTTTCGATGGAGCCGTAGCATTTAAAAGAAGAAGAAGTAAATATTGTCTTTTGAATGTAAAGGCCTCTAATTACTATTTCAAAACTCAACAAAAAATGCCAGACTATCTAACAATACCGTTAGTATCTTTAGATATACTCTTATCACTTCTTAATCAAGTCTGCCGTCGAAAATCACCGGTTAAATTCTGAATAACGCGTGTCTTCCTTAGAGGATGGAAAAGTGTCTTCCTTGTCTTGACGTTGGCGGCATCATCGATTATATTGTAGGAAATATAACACTTTAGAAAAAGAAGAATAATAATAACTGGGACCTTTGGTCTTAAGACCCTTAAGTGAAACTCGTTGAGTTTAAATTGAAAACAATGCCTGACACATACTACGAGTCTATTCAAAGTGTCATAAAGGTAAGCGCAAAGTGCAAAACTCTACTTTGATCTAGTTACATGGACATAAAAAGCTTTTTTGACCATATGACCTGTGTGATGTGATGACTGCCTTTCTAAATATAGATAGAGCAACAATTTTTGTATTACTGCCTTTAATGTGATTTCTTTGTTTTAGTATTGGATCAGAAAGGTAAGGAAAGCTATTTTTATACACTGTTTCCAGTATTTACGGCGAATAACACACTGCACCGCGCGAGGAGACGCAGATCTGTGTCAGCGCGCGGTTGTTTCTGCGCAGGACCAGCGCGCTAGCGCGTCCTCGCGCCATTTAAAGTACTCACTTCGGAGTTGATTGCCGTAGTGATTGCTTCCCATTATTTTTTGGACGCGGTCACTGTACTCTTTACGAGTCATGTTTCAAATTACTGGTCGATTTTCAATAGCAAATATAAATTATCGACGTCGAGATCCATTGTAGAAAGTTGAACACGTCCTTACGCTTAAAAATCTGCACGGTAGTGCGGAGCGCAGTGTGCCATACCCTGCGCAACGCGCGCGATGCTCCCGTGCGGAGAAGCGTTGGCAGTGTGTTGGACGGCGCGTGTTTCCCAAGCAAACCTCAATTTGTACCTCAGTACTTCAGTACAATATTTAAAAAAAAACACAGATCCGCGCTCCGTCGCGGGGCGCGGTGCAGTATGTTAGTCGCCTACCTATTTCGTTACACGAGTACAAGTTGTTTCCGAAATGTGTGTCGATTTAGACCTTCTGTACAAATATTCAAATAAAAATAAGTTACTGAATATTTATTGCCAGCTCAGGTTTTCATGTACACATAAGTATTATTAAGTAATTGACATACATTTTTATACTGTAGTAAGTAGTACATACAATAAGTGTGTGGTAAATATCCCACTACACACAATTGTAACGTAAATGTTTATTAACGCAACTAATGTATTTGGGTAATTTTCAGGTAAGTTTTTTGTACTCAATTTTGGTGACAATTTCTTTTTATTTAAATATTTATAGAATATCATCATGAAGTGTTACCAATATTCGAGTGTGGTAACCTGAAATATTCTTTGATATTTCACGATGATATATTAGAGTAATTAAATAATAAAATTGGGTACAAAACAGTTACCTGAAAAGTACTGATTTATTTACGACAATTTCACAATAGTAGGTAATCAATACTTGGTACTTACTATTCCAAGTTAATATTGGAATAGTAAGTACTTGCTGATTACCTACTTATAATTCATGCATGGTTTATGTATACTGTAGAGCAGTAGAACTTGAGCACTGTTCGTCCAGGAAAGTACTGCCACCTTACCTATTTCTGTCGCCAAGCAGTAATGTCAGTATTACTGCGTTCTAGCTTTGAAGGGTAAGGATGCTGGTGAAATTACAGGAACATGAGACTTATCAACTTATGTCTGGGTGAAGGGCGCAGTCTCAATGCCCCTCAGATCTTTGCGATTTTAAGCTCTGAGTGGCACTGCAACTGTTATGGACAGGCGTGTAGCTTACCATCAGGCGCACGGGGACGAACAAGTCGTGCGTAATACCGAGTAACGTACTTGGTATTATAAAAAAAATTCAGTGTGGAACGGAACGACTGACAAAGCCAAAAACAGTGAAGAGTCTTAAATATGTATTTAATTGTACTGAAAGTTTTTTGCTGTATGTGTAATAGTTTCAGAGTTATTCAGTGACGAAGATTTGCTTGAAAAGTCTGCGTTATCAACCCTAACAACACTACTAGTCTATTTTTGAATTGCATTTGCAGAATTCATCAGGGAGTTGAGTCGTCGGCTTAGAGATAGAGGCTGTGTTCCATGCTTTGGATCTTACTTGGTGCAACAAATTTCGTTGGCCATTTAGCGCGGTAATGCTGCCAGTGTTATGGGGACGTTGCGTTAGAACCAGCTAAGATTCAGAGCGGTCCTTTTTAATTCTTGTAGCGACGCAAACGCACTGCAGTCGCGAATCTTCAGAAAGTTTTGAGACATGGCGCTACAATAATTGATCACGCTATTCTACCTGTTGACCAGCTTCCGGAAGAAGCGACTGAGGACCGGAATAAACACTTCCGCTTGTATAGGCAGAATTATGCAAGAGAGTTTTCATGAAAAAATTGTAATAGAAACATTTCAAACAATTTTGTTTTCAACCAGTGCGTCCTGCCTGTTATGATTTACGGAGCCGAGGCGTGGACACACACGATACGACTAGTCCACCAATTTAAAGTCGCTCAGCGAGCTATGGAACGTGTCATGCTCGGAGTTTCTCTGAAGGATAAAATTCGTAATGAGGTTATCCAACAGAGAACCAAGGTCACCGACATAGCTCGTGCAATAAGCAAGCTGAACTGGCAGTGCGCTGGCCATATCTGTCGAAGATCCGATAACCGATGGGGAAAACGAGTTCTAGAACGGAGACCGCGACTCGGCAAACGTAGTGTAGGACGCCCTCCGGCCAGGTGGAGTGACGATCTGCAAAAGGTTGCTGGCGGGAAATGGATGCGACAAGCTGAGGACCGGGCGAAAGTCCAGCAGTGGACTGCAATAAGCTGATAATGATGATGATGAAACAATTTTGTTAACTTCTGATCCTTTTTTGAGCAGTACAAGACAAATGCACCAGAAAAAAGTAAATCTTTCTCCAGTGAGACACAGGAACTTCTGCTGCCGGAAACATCGGACGCATCGTCAACTTGGGTATAATGAAGATGATTAATTTTATACAATTTTTTTTCAATATGTGTTTTAAATACAATAATATATAATGACTTTAAACTGCTTTTTATTGCAAATCAGATCGATAAAAATAGCAACTTTTGAGGTAAAATACTCCTCTGTGCGCCCTAGGCCGGATCTACTGGGCTTTAGGGCAAATCCGCCACTGGCCACCGGTCCATAATTCATCAGACTCCGCCGCGGACAATATTACAATCAGCCCACGTCTCTATTTCCCACAAAACTAACATGTTTGTATATGGAAAAGTACAGAAGGGAGATTGCACATTTCATTTATCTTTCACAACATTCTATCCGACAAGAACACTTCGTTAGAGTAGTAACTTTGAATGATTATGATTAGTAATATATTCAGTGCCCGGACAGTTGCCACCAAAAATTTTAGAGTAAGTTCTGTTTTTAACACACGGTGTAAGTTCCTTTACAGTCTTTCCGAAATAGCTTCTTTATCCCGCCCAGAGGTTACTGGAAGAACTTTTACGATCCACACCATGAGGAACCGCCTTTTGTGTCAAGAATCATGAAAGCTTTGCCTCGACGGGATTTCATGTTCAGAAACAGAGATGGAGCCCATGTATTTAGTACGGAATATTATCTGGTAAGCATCATATCACATAGCGTAGAACACGCAAGAAAAAAGCAATGGAAGTGCCTTAGGCCTCGATTACTATCTGAACCGATGTCGCCAAAACTCACACTTTCCTAATTTGAAACACTACCAAATCTTGATATTGATTGGTCGTAGTTTCAAATTAAAAAAAAAAACAAATCCTGGACTCTTAATATAATTTTAACTTTACCCTGTTGGCATATCGTTAAAAATCCAATACCATCAATACCTATTATAGCAAATTACGACATTTTAATTGCTGAACGACGATGAATTGGAGTTATTAATTTAACTTTCTCCAAAAAAGAACCGACCATATTGCAGGGATATAAGCTTTACTTTCGTTTCTTGTAAAAAAAATATTTGGATAAACAAAATGTAAAACGTATTAAAATAAACTTACCTTAGTGGTAATATTTTTGGTGCGGCCATCATTTTTGCACTCCAAAACAGCTTCTAATAAAATCTTAGAAAAATAAGGTATTTTCCTAAGATTTTAGAGAATTTGCACGAAAGAATGACACAACCATACCTCACAAAACGAAAGTGGAGGACTTAAGCCTTTTAGTATGGACAATTGTCCATACAGAGCATAGAGGTTACGCCTGTGATGCTAACTAACCACTTCTAAGTATTTATTGTTCTGTGGCGTGCAGTTACTTCTATTACTTTTGTACCTGTATCTCGGTAATGTAAGAAAATTCATGTGAAATTGTAGATTGAAGACCCATATGAAAAGCATAAATATTTTAGAGACCTAACAAGCAATGAAAAGATAACATTCTATCCGACAACATGTTGTGAGAAGCATGTTGACCTACCTGACCCGTTAAATGAGTGTCGTGTTACTGTGATGAGTGCAAATATTTTTGAAAACCAAGTGTGCCACATTATTTGTACCCACTATAACATCTCAAGAGCTATTTGTACTTCGTTTCAATTCTTTTTGAACAAAAAGTATACAAAAAAGTCACTCACCCGACCATAGATGGTTTAGTGGTGGCCAATTGTAACGCCAACTACAAATCGATTAATTAAAATAAATGAATCGATTTGTTCAATTGAGTCATACTAGCGGTTTTCCTTACATAACCTACATAAGCATATTTAAAATTTCAATTTAAATCCTCCTTTAAATCCTTACTTAGATACTCGTTAGATTGCAATTGAAATGTTCGATTCAATAATTGATTACTAAACTTTACTTGATTGAACCGAATGTTTTTTTTCGAACAGCACTGTGCAACCATAGGCTAATCATAGAAGTATAGATGAATAAGAACCTCACTTTTAAACTACCATTTTTCAAATACGATTTTACGATGCTATTCAAATGAATATTGTTGGAAAAAGTGACGACATATGAAGTCGAAATCTTTGAAATATACGTGAAAGTGTTACTTTTTCGATTTTTCGAGTGATTGCTTTAGAATTTTAACTAAACAGGTTTGTTTACTTTTTGTTCAAAATGGATTGGAATGGACTATAGTGATGAAATCTCCTTCCGCTCACTCGCTCCTTCCGTTCACACGCTATTCCATTCAATTAATCGATTCTAAATATAATAATTTTTGTTCAAGTATTTGTTGATTACAAGTAGTCGTAATAATAATCTCAGTATAGAGTACTAGAAAAACCGACCGCAAAAGTACGTGGGAATTACATCTATTTGCCAAGTTTTATTGAAATCGGTTACCGGAAAGTGAGCAAACCCGGATTCATCTCCTAGTTCGCCACTATACGGAACTTGACACAGGAGATAATAAAAATTGGTTCTCACTACTCAAAGTAAGTATATTTAGAGAAAAACGCCTTGAATTGGAGAATAGCGAAATCAAGCATTAAAATAATTGGTCCTTATAATACAATTTAGGCGCTATTTATAAAAATTAATCTCCATACGTGAACAGCCACTCTTAGAGGTGAATGATTTTCTTCAAAATTAAATGAGACTACTATGGAGGTACCGTACTCCTTAAAAAAAATTTTGGATTACTTAAAAAAAATTAAGATTTTAATTCGACTTCAAATATTGAAATTATTGTCCTGCCAATAAAATGAGCTTTTTATATAATATCTTTTTGTAATAGAAGATCTTATCGATTAACTTAAATAATGAATACGCACGTCAGTATATGAACTTGCGACTGCCTTAATTAATTTTAAGAGATGGTTTTCTGTTGGTAATTGATCAAATTGATGAATGCCAAGACAAATGAAAATGTTACTGCTGACAAAATGAGGTAAAATCTTATTAATCAGAGGAGGTTTACTTAATGACGGCCTCGTGTGAAATTTCTGTGATAAACAAATCACATTATTTCCCGGATTTCTAACTCTGCTACTCTGCATATTTGGATAGCATCTTAGGTGGAATAAACTAGACCGCCTTCGTCCTCGAAAGCAACGAACTCATACATATGACCAACTCCAGATTTTTGTAAAGACAGTGCACAATTAATTCTTTGCATTATATATTTTTTGGATTACTCGTACTACATATCCGGCGATGTATCTAATTATTTGCTCACCATATTCGGATATTCGAGGCAACGTGCTGCAAAAATTATCGAAATTGCAGATGCTACTGATAATAGATACTACAAAACTGAAAAAAAAACGAAACGTTTTAACAAAAGAGTTATTGAATATTTTTATAATATTGCTAAGGTCATAATAATTTTCGTCCCTTTGACTTCAAAATCGATCAGAATCGAGAAACTGAAGGCATTATACAAAAGTGCGTTCGTTCGATATTCATGGCGTATTAACAAAGGATCACAAATATATTGCACCAAGTACAAGCCGCAATGTATTACAAAACATGAGGCATACACTGTGATGCATATTTGTTTTCTCGAAATTCATACAAAACCAAAATAATTGTTTTTGAAATAAATTATGCACTTCTGATTACAAAATCACTTGCCCGTGGAAGGAAACGTCCCCGTTTACCAGTTTACCCACAGTTATGGTGCTTTTGCAGTTTGTAATGGCACAATTATGCATCTTTACGCGTTATCGACTGGTGTTTATGTACGATAACGGTCGAGCGCGTTCTGAAGTGTAGCAGCGGCAAATAAGTGAATTTCATTTTGGGCACATGAAGTACGTACACTTGCGGCGTCTATCTACATAGATATATGTCTGTGGGCGCTTACATTAAGATATAGAACCGTTCACACGGTGTTTATCCTGCAAAAAAACGCACACAGCTCTATACGTTTATCGAATATGCAACGGACTTGTCTAGAAAATCGAATGAACTTTAACGTATTCGGTGTGCAGTGTCGCATAGTATTAGTGCATCTCTTTCACACGCCGCGAAGTCATACGTATTTTATCGAATAGTCACCGAATAAGCGGCGTCAGACGGCGAACAGTCGGCGTTTGTTTAAAAACTACTTTTGAACAAACGCCGATGAATTTTTTCGATTTTCCGGCGATTTTGTTCAAAAGTAGTTTTTGAACAAACGCCGGAAAATCGAAATCGGAACTATGTACTGTGCTATAAAATTGTCAATAATATCAATATCGATAAAATTATTAAATAATAAATATAAATAAAATATAATAATAAATAAAATTGTTTGTTCAGTAACATAATGTACAGAGAAAACTAAAGACTACTTATACGATTTAATGTAAAAATAACACATGTACCTGAACTAGGAAATTCCTGTATTTCAGGTAAAAAGTACTACTAATTATAAACATGGATACTATTAATATTATAAATACTTTAGGAGAATCTTATGAAATAAAATTAAACAATAAATAATTATAAAAATAATTATAAATGCGAAACAGTCAAAATAAACCTAAATGTATCGATTTGAAATTTTCATATTTTTTAAAATCCCGTATACTGCAAAGCTGATGCGAGGTAATACGTTGTGGCTTTTAATAGGTATGGTACACTTGAGGTTTTTCTTTAATAACCCATGAATATCGAACGAGCGATACTTTCGTATTCAGTTGCGTGGTACTTCAGCTTCGTCAAGTTTTAGGTCAAATTTTACGTTTAATGATGTTCACTTGATGCAACACAGTTCTCGATTCTGATCGATTTAGGAAACAAAAGAATGATATATGTATAATGAGACCTTACAAAATGTTAGAAAAATTTTCTATATACATAGTTTTTGTCTTTTTTTTTTCAAAACACCTTAATAAACGATTTAATTATCTTATTTTGGTATTATATTACTACATTAATTTTTCACGGCTCCTTATAATCAACAAATACATGAAAAATTATTATTGTATAAATACGTGCTTAGGCCGCGTCTTCGATTTAATCTATCTCTTTAGTGTCGAAGGAGGTTTCCCATGACTAAATAGCGCTAGTGACGTCATCGAAGGTACAAAAAATGTGGCACGCTTGGTTTTCATACAGATCGCGATGCTTGCGGCGTCTATTTAGATATGTCTGTGGGTAAGAAAAAAAGATTTTTTTTCGCGAATGAAGCACATCATTTAGAAGAAAATTAAATAGTGCCGCACCTTTTTATTAATCCCTTGCCACCATGAGATGTTCCTATGAAATGTTCTACCCCCTTGCTAACCTAATTTTATAAAATTTCAGGGAATCGCTAATTATATGTTTCTTTGGATGACTACTTTGGTTATAGTCAGTTTAGGGCTCTTTTTAAATATAATATTTTCTGAAAAGAAACCGAAAAAGATGAAACCCCGTAAAGCCAGGAGAATACAGGTAAACCCACTTACAAAGATTAATATTACAATAATTCAGGAGGTCTGCTAATAGCTATACAAGACAGCGTAGCTGTACGAGTAGTCGGGTATTTAATACCTATCGGTGCACCAGGTGTTGTGACGAGTACCAAATAGCTATTTTATTGTAACTAATTTGTTACGTGTGAGTGGACTGAGTGAGCACCCTCTGTAAAATGTTTAAAATGTGTTAGTCATTTAGTAAAAGTCCTAAAACAATTGTAGAAACCAATATTTTTTTCTTTTTTTTTCTTTTTTTTGTAAAAAGATAAAACAAGAGAGAAATAACTAAATGTGTGCTCACTCAGTTCTCACAGACGGCCAGTCAGATCTACAAAAGTATTAAGTTTATATAATGTTTAGTTAAACTATCGTTTTTAATTACAGATCGATTAGTGCCTTTTTCAATTTTTTACAAATACTTTCTTATGCTCACTCAATCCGCACGTCTTTAAAAGGAACGATTTCTTAAGAACCAAATAAGTCAATTAAGTTTCGTTTATGTCTAGATTTAGTAAAAGTTACATATGAATTTGTAAAATATAAAACAAGCAACTAATGTGAAACGTTTTTGAATAATAATTATTTTTAATTGCTCACTCAATCCTCCAATTTCTGAAAAGTAACAAACGTCAATATCTTTGGATTTGTAAGTATTACAGAGATTATAATTGATAATGTTTTAGTAGTAATTTACTACTACCTAATACCTGCCGTTTCAGAATTCGTTTTGATTATTAGAATTTCGCATTTTCATACATCTAATAAAAAAATGAATATCTTTCTACATAAGTTATGTATTAATATAAAGTGTTAATTACTGAGTATACTTACGTTTTAGTCATCATAACAACTTCATTATCACTCAAACGAACAAATACGGGCTCGGACTCCATTATTATATTATTTAGGTGTTTATTGAATATTGGCTATAGAACCACCGCTAACGAATACTTGAGAACTGAAATCGTAACATGAATTTTTTTTTTATTGGTAATTTTGGCTTGGATACAAGTCCTTTGAGCCATGTCTTCGTTTAATTATGTTTCTGTACATATGGCCGCCACAAAGAGGATTGGCAATTTGAGGCGGCGTGCTTGGATTGACTCCGGATTCCTCAGAACGGGCCGATACGGGTATTTTAGTACGAGATTCGTATAATTTGGCGTTTTAATCTTCGATTAAGGCACAATAGCACTATCCTATTCCACTTTAAACTAGATTTCACAAAATAATTGAAAGTCAAAATAAAAACGACGCTTTTCCCTCCAAAATGCCCAAAGCTAATAGTAACATAAATAATAAAAAGCAATTCGTTTATGAACTGTAACTACAAATTCGCGCCAATTTTTTTTCACTCATACTTTTTTTTAATGATATTATGTGCATACTGTCTATAGTTTTGTAAATACCTATCATTAATAATAATTATAATAATAATGTATATGTTATTGTGCGTGTAACTGAAAAACCAAGTTTTTTCTTGAGTCGAAATTTGCATCGTTACGAATATGTAAGGTGTTGCCCTAAAATGGAATCGCTGCTTTAAACTTTTAAATAACTAACAAAGAGCTATGGCTATGTAAACAGATTATAGAAAAAACTGTCATACAGCCAAATGCTCACTAGTATCAGCGCCCATAATTGAGTGAATTAAAATAATTGTATGTGGTCTATATTATTGTGCGTTTAATTAAGGTGCACGGTAATATGTAAAGAGGCTGTATGTATGAAAAACTTATGAAAAAAATGTGAAACATGAATATACTTCACCATACCATATACTGTAAAAGAAGCGGTAAAATAAACGAAAGTAGGTACTTTGAAGTGAAATTACTCCACTAGTTTGTTATAATAGAACTCATTTTCGCGAAGAATATAAACAATACAAAAAATAGAATTAAAAAAAGGACTTCGAAGTACTTTCGTTTATTTTACCGCCTTTTTTAAGTATTTGGTGTAGGTATAATCGTGCATTTTATTTTTTTCATAAGTTTTTGCCCATCTATTTAAGGAGGTTATGGTTCTACCATATAGCCTCTTCATATAATACTGAGCACCACAATATAGTATTATGAAGAGGTTGTATGGTAAATAAGTAATACCATATACATATATTTTCTTTTTAAGTCCGCACAATTACAATAAATATGGTGTTGGGTCAACACCATACATATTGTCGCGGATAGTGCAACTAATGATGTGTAACTAGTATTGGATAATTCCGCGTATCTAAAACATGTAGCGAATTTGCGTTTTGCATGTACGTAGTTATAAGATTGGGACCCACCTTCTGAACCCCAGTTGCGATTGACTAAAAAGGCCAGAAATCGGTGAATAACAATATGCCTTTGATTTTAATACCGCGTAACTTATTCAGTTCGCGGCCAAATCAGATCCGCGTAAATGACGTGGCAAGTAAATGAACAAGATTTAAGGGAATCTATTATTAGCAGTCCGTAGCCAACATAAATTAATGCTTACTGTGTAAAAATGAAAATCGTAGCAATTGGAATAACAAAGTAATAACGTTAACACCTTCTCCTGTAAAATTAGGTTTTGTGTAGACACGCCTTTTACAAAAGCTACTTACGCGGCCTTGCACTACACGACGATAAAAAATGCAAAAATGATAAAAGTGCAAAATTTCGAGTCAAGAAAAGAAATCCTAGGATACTTAAGTCACACGCATATAACATACACATCATTATTATTAATGATATTTACAAAACTAGGCTGTATGTATATACACATATCATAAAAAAAAGTACGAGTGAAAGAAATTGGCGCGAGTTTGTAGTTACAGTTCATAAACGAATTACTTTTTATTATTTATGTTAGGATTTGAGTTCTCGAGTATTCGTTACCAGTGGTTCCATAGCCATACCGGCAGATATTTAGTAGAAATTACTACTAAAACTTTACCAATTATAATATCTACACTGGACAGCAAATAAACCGGGCCACCTGCTAACTTTGAACTCTAATAAGATTTTCTCAAAAAGTATGAAACTTGCAACTATCAATTTATACTTACAGAAAGTGCGTTTCATGACGATTAAAATGAGTATAAATTTAATCTTAAGTACCGTCAACTCACACTGCAATTAAGTAACAAACACAATGCTAACGATTTGCTCTGTTTTGAATAAATTCGCGTTTTGGGATCGTTTTTCTATAGTGAGGGTAGTTGGATATTTCTTTTCATTTCTTTAGTGTTTGTGTATCGTTGGCTCAGACGCGTGTATTTTTGTTACTTTTTTCGATCAATAATGGATACGACACCTCAGGAAGCAGCTCAAGCTGTAGCGCTCCTTCAGGCAGGTATTGGGCAACGTGAGGTCGCTCGAAGACTTCGAATCAGCAGATCTTCGGTGCAATGAGTTTATAAACGATACCTAGAGACTGGAGCATTCAATCGCCGCCCAGGTACGGGCAGACCTAGGACTACATCAGCAGCAGATGATCGTTATATCCAACTTACTGTTCTACGAAATCGTCGCCTCAACGCAGTTCAAGTTCAACAAAGTCTGCGTGATGAACGCCAAGTGAGCATAAGTTCAGATACTGTAAGGAGGAGACTTGCCGAACGGAACCTAACTCCAAAAAGAGCTGCTACAGGCCCAGCATTGACCGTAGCTCACCGTCGAGCACGACTTGAATTTGCTCGAGGGCATATGGATTGGACGTTAGAGCAGTGGGGTAATGTGCTCTTCACTGATGAGACCAGGGTGAGTCTACATGGTAGTGATCGACGTCAGAGAGTATATCGTCGCCCTGGAGAACGTTACTCTCAGTGTTGCATCGAAGAAACTGTTGCATATGGAGAAGGATCTCTAATGGTCTGGGGCGGCATCTCGTTAACCGCACGTACTGCGTTGGTTTTCATCGAACCGACGGGCCTTACACGTGGACTAACGTCGCATCGGTACATTACTGAAGTCCTCGCAGACCATGTGGTACCTTACGCAGGATATATCGGCCAGGATATGCAGTTGATGCATGATAATGCACGGCCTCATGTTGCTCACGTGGTGACCCAGTATCTACGCGACGTCGGCATTCATGCGATGGATTGGCCAGCTCGAAGCCCAGACTTGAATCCGATAGAACATTTATGGGATGAGCTGAAACGTCGGGTTCGAGCCCGGGTACGTGCTCCAACAAGGCTTCCAGAGCTGCGAATCGCAATTGAAGAGGAATGGAACGCAATTCCCCAAGATTTCATCGTCAGGCTCGTGAGGTCAATGAATACGAGGATGCTAGCAGTTGTCCGAGCAAGGGGAGGGAACACTGAATACTGACCAAAAACTTTTTTTCACTTTTTTCTTTGTTTCCGGATTAATTTTTGTTTTTTAATTTGTGATTACTTAACATTTGTATGACTACAAAACGACACTTCTTTGTAAAATCTTTAATAAACACTTAATTTGATTAATTGATTACAATGTGTTTTTCTATTTTGTTTTTAAGCTCTAATATAATGATACTGTGCACAAACAAGATGCTTAAGATACAGGTAATAATGTACTTAGTTTAGGCATCGCAACTATACTGGTAGGCTTCTAATAATTAATTGTATAGCTTTATGATTAGTATAATAATTAAGGTTTATTTTTTATTTATTTTTTACCAATTGCATATTAGCTTCCCTTACATTTGTTTTTTTTTTTTTTAACTTATATTTAGATTAAGTTATATTGAAATAAATTTATCTTTATCTTATCTTTATCTTTATCTTTATTTATTTTAATCATCATGAAACGCACTTTCTGTAAGTATAAATTGATAGTTGCAAGTTTCATACTTTTTGAGAAAATCGAATTAGAGTTCAAAGTTAGCAGGTGGCCCGGTTTATTTGCTGTCCAGTGTATAATACTTACAAAACAAAAGATATTGACGTTTGTTACTTTTCAGAAATTGAAGGATTGAGTGAGCACTTAAAAATAATTATTATTCGAAAGCGTTTCACGTTAGTGGTTTGTTTTATATTTTACAAATTCATATGTAACTTTTACTAAATCTAGACATAAACGAAATTTTATTCAATTATTTAGTTCTTAAGAAATAGTTCCTTTTAAAAATGTGCGGACTGAGTGAGCATAAGAAAGTATGTGTAAAAAATTGAAAAAGGCACTACTCGATCTGTAATTAAAAACGATAGTTTAACTAAAGTTTTACTAAAAACTAGTACAATAATATTATATGTAAACTTAATACTTTTGTAGATCTAACTGGCCCTCTATGAGAACTGAGTGAGCACACATTAACTTATTTTTCTCTTGTTTTATCTTTTTACAAATAGAAAGATTGGTTTCTACAATTGTTTTAGGACTGTTACTAAATGACTAACACATTTTAAACATTTTACAGAGGGTGCTCACTCAATCCACACACACGTTATTTGTTTTATAATGAATGACAAGCTGCAATCAGAGCAACTCAAATTTCTAGTAATAACAAACAATTCAACTAGATGGCGCTCTTATTGTACAAATTATTCATGATAGTTCCGGCTATTGTTTTATCTGTCACTGCCTCCGTGACCGAATGGTTACCATGCCGGACTGCCACGCAGAGATCCCTGATTCGATTCCCGGGCCGGGAGAAATATTTGTCTGGCCTACATTTATTTCTCTCGTGAGTCTTGGTGTAATTTGTGGTTGTCTATGGATGTGTCCATGGCACCCGTGACACAGGGTTTCCTTAGTGCGGGGCTGTGTTGTGTGTATGCGTTATTATTATTATTGCTATTATTATATTATTATTATTTTGTTTACTAGATTAGCGCTATCTACCCATATCAGGAAGCGTTAATTTATTAGATTGTAACACACAATGCCATCTATTGACACGCAAATTTGTCAAAGTGAAAAAAATATTTTTAGGGCATTTCTCCAAGAAGGGCTAAATGCTCTATACTTCAGTGGTCGATATTTTTTCATAATTTCAGGAAAAATATTGAGCGGAAAGGAAAAAGAACTCAAACCCACATAAGATTCCGTTCATTGGGCAACTAGATACTTAACAGTTAATGACATATTTGATCCACCGTCTTCAGCTGCCATCAAAATCGAGATAATTTAGCAAAAGCCCTATTTTTGTATAAAATATCATGAAAAAGGACATAAAAACATTCAATAATGTACATAAATGAACTATCGCGGATTCAAACTTTATCGCAACTGACCATTCGCGCAAATGAACTATCGCGCATTTAAGCCTTCGCGCAGTCGTCTTCGCAATCACGCAGTACACCCGATTTTTAATGGCACTTCTTTAACAATATCAAAAATCAACAGATAATAAAAAGACAAAAGTAGTTTTCTAAACCTTAGATATATCCAAACACAAGGAACACAAAAATCGATCTGCTATTACTTCTCCACAATCCTCATGAGTCCACTTGAGACAGCCTTGACATTTAGCCCATTTTTCTCCTCTCGTGTCTTCTGAAAACCTTCCGGTACCGTATGGACATTAAGCGTCATATGATTCACCATCAAATCTTCATCCTCAGAACTAGAACTATCTGCCTACTTAACTTTCTTTTTCTTCGTAACTTTTTTAATATTTTTCCTTGTCTGCTGTTTTTTATTTGTCTTTTTAGAACCTTTGTTCTGTAACCCTCTTCTTCTTCTTCCTCTTTTCGGTGAGCGGGTGAGGTGTGTGGGTGGGTTCCCAACCGGCCCCCCAACCGGGACCCCAACCGGCCCCCAACAGGCCCCCAATCGGCCCCCCGACCGACCCCCCGACGGACCCCCCAACCGACCCCCTAACCCACCCTCTAACACACCCCTAACCCACCCCCGAACCCATAATCGTAATGACACTTTTATTTCGTACTTTCGGTATTAATCGTTACTTTCAATTGTTTCTTAGAACAACTAAAAAAATTAATTGCGATTAATTTATTTTGCGACGCGTCGCAATTGATTTAATTGCAATTGATTTCAACTGAATTGATTTTTTAATCTGATTGAATTTCTGATTTAAATTTAATTGATTAACGCCCAACACTGGTTTCGGAACATAAACATATAAACATTAAGATTTCACAGACTCCTAAGATAAAAGTTTTCTTTGTTTAGGAGCCAGGGGATCGCTTAATTGTTACGAAAAACTGTAGATACAGTACGCTATCTACCACCAAATGTTATTTTTGTAAATAAATAATAATAACGCACATACTCAACATAGCCCCGCACGACCGCTGGGACTTCTGCGTAGCAGTCCGGCATGGTAACCGTTCGGCCACAGAGGCAGTTAATAAATATTATTATTATTTAAATAAGGATTAAAAAGCATTTTTGATCGTATACCACCCTAGTGCTCATCTTCATTTACCTCTAGTTGAGATTGTAGACAAACGTCGCATTTCTATTATAAATAAAATAATGTTTGAAAATAATATTTTATGTTTCTTTTGTGTTCACAGATAAGGATGTTCTATCTGGCGTTATTAAATATGATTATTGCCATCGTAGTCACAATTCTTGTGGAAATTTCATTCTATCTAATGTTCAAATTTCTTCGCATATACCATACATGCTCACCCCAACCGGAATATTTAAGTGTTATTGATGGAGTAAGTTTATTTGTTTAGTTTTCTGTTTATATTTTTAGTAGCAATTTAGCTCTGTGGAATGAATTCTTCGAGGAAAATACTGCCACCATAACTACACTGCTCAAAAATATCTAGGGATCAAAGGCATTCAAAGGAATTCATATGTGATTGATCCTAAACTTTTGATGTGTGTATTTCTGCCGCCAAGTTTTGAAGGGCACGGTGATGAAACTACAAACTTATTGTATTCACTTTGTCTTAGGGAACAAGTGCAGGAGCAGTGCCCATCAGGTCTTTGCGATTTAAAGCTCAGAGTGGCACTGCAACAGAGAAGCCAATGCCCCGGGCGGCACAGCAATAGAGGCGGCGGCGAGCCCTAACTAGCAGCAGTTTAGTAGCAGTAGACCACCGTGTGAAAGAGTTCGTACAGGGCAGTACTGCCACCTTACCTATTTCTGCTGCCAAGCAGTCTTGTCAGCATTACTGTGTTCCAGTTTTGAAGGGTTAAGGGTGCTGATAAAATTACAGGTACACTTGTCAACTTAAGTCTCTGGGTTATGGGCGCAGTGGAGTTGCCCCTCAGATCTTTGCGATTTAAAGCTCTGAGTAGTACTGCAACTGTTATGGACAGGCGTGTAGCTTACCATCAGGCGCACGATCTTGTTCGTCTCGTCACTTGATATTATAAAAATAAATAAATAAAAAACTAGTATGAATTTTTTTTACTTAAAATTAGGAAATAAATTCCACTATTTGACAAAACGATATCCTGAACAACATAGCAGGCTAACACAAAAACACAATCGAGTCGAGCCTGCACGAACGAACTACTTTTGTAATCGTGAAAAACGGAGGACAACAAATTTAAGGTTGCAGGCAGAAATCATCGAGTATATAACCAGAAAAAGAGACGAAACTTCATTTAATTTGTTTGAAAACTATTCTGCCATATCATTACGGTGACAACTGCGCTCCGATTGGGCAGCCCGAATCTGAAACAATTGACGGGTGTCGTCAATTGTTTCACGTGAAATCGACAAGTTTAACTTGAGCTTTACTATAATGGACGAAAATTGAAAATTGACATATTTTATATTACTTTTTTTGCTGTTTTTCCCACACCGCCGAATGGAACAGCCTCCCCATAGTTAGAGATATTACTTATACTAATTACTTATACTTTTTAGAATATACTGAGACGTACACACATGTCACTTGTAAGCGCTGTACTACGTGGGGCGCACTATAAGCTTCCGGAATGAATAAGAAAAAAATAATGGATTACTTTATACAGAAATGAATTTATTGTTTCTCAAATTATTCTCCGTTAGCGTTAATGCACTTCTTCATACGAATGAACCAATTTTGAAAACTTTTATGTCACTCCTCCGTGACAGTCTCTGAAACATATTTTTCATACTCTTCGACAGAGGCTGTCTCGACGTCATGCTCGACAGCCTCTTCACGCGATGAAAATCGTTGACCACGTAACTGGTTCTTCATTTTTGAAAATAAATAAAAGCCATAAGGTCAGGACTGTACGCGGGATGGCTCATAAAGTCAACGTTGTTCACCTTCAAATATTCATTTGTTTGTCTGGCCGTGTGAGAACTAGCATTCTCGTGGTGCAAGATGATACGACGCTTACGGTTATTTTTACGGAGTTTGCCAATAACTTCCGGCAAACAAATGGTCGTGTGCCAATCATTATTCACGGTACAACGATTCTGCAAAGCAACAGTAGCCACGTGTCCAGTTTTATTAAAAAAAGAAGCAATCATCCGCTTAGAGGCACTTTACACGCGCGCCACTTTCATATCATTGGAAAGACCCATACGCTGGATTGCTGCTTTATTTTGGGATCGTAACTATAAATCCATGTTTCGCCACCTGTTACTATGTCCCACACCAAATTTGACGCCCCTTCGTTGAATCTGGTAAGCATGGCATTGCACCAAGTGACGCGATCCGTTTTTTGAGCCTCAGTCAAATTGTGTGGGATCCACCGAGAGCACAGCTTTTTCACACCCAAATGTTTGTGTAGTATTGATTGTATTTAACTCATGCTTATGCCTCAGGATGTCCGAATCTCATGGTATGTCACATGCCTGTCTGTTTTGATCATGCGGCGCACAGCATCGATGTTTTTGTTGTTCACAGCAGTGGACGGGCGAACCATCACGAAACTTGTCACTGAGATTCACACGACCGCGTTTAAATTCTGCAAACCAGCTATAAATAGTCGTCTTGCATGGTTCTTCATCGCCAAAAGCAGTTTGAAGTCGACCGAAGCTCCGCTGAGCTGTTAAATTACACTTAATGTCGTAGAAAATCATACTACGAAAATTTTCACGAGTTTAATCCATGGTGATGCAGACAACCAATTTCTAAAATGACGCCACAAAGCAAACACAAGCGACAGTCAGATGAAACAAACTGTCTTCTACAGCCAAAGAGTTCCATTTTCAAATGTTGTAAATAGGTTTTTAAATATTGTTTAAGTGGCCAGTTCCGGAAACTCATAGTGCGCCTTATGTATTTCACCTTTCTAATTTATGATCTCAGCGTAAACGAAAGTTGATATTTAAAAGTGATATAATCCCGTTTTACATGATGAGCTGCCAGGGATAGATGACCCTTATTTCGTCTCTATTTCTGGATATATACTCGATGTTTAGTATCATCTAAAAATTTACAATTCCAGCATAATTAGACCTAGCTTTGAGTGCCTAAGCAGAGAAACGATGTTACAAATGATAAGGTTCCCCTGCTGTACTGTTAATTTTTTCAACATCGAATGGCTTCCGCTATCGCCGTGGCAATTTGAAGCGAAAATAATGGTATAACGGCATAAAAGCTATGTTATACATAAATTTGGTGTGCTATACATAATCGCTTATCCTGTGTAAAGATATGAGGGTCGATTCAGATCCTTACGATAACTCTGTTGTCGACCGATTCGATTAGATATCGTATGATTTCTTTTCATTTTTATTCACAATAACCGAATCGAACGTCAAACTGTCGTATTCGAAACCGAACCGAAATGCCCACCCGTACGATTACTCGAACTTCTCGACCAGCAAAGGCTACAAACGTTATTCAGAACACAGTTATCGAATGAAAGTTACCGAACGTCCTATTGTTTACAAAGCAAGAATATAATAAGGAAATATTTTATTATTTTAGATAAAATCAGGATTGTCTTCAGTTTCATTTATTTATTTTAATGCGAGACTAATGAATTCCTATATTTTAGGCCTTTAAAGTCTTAAAAATGTATATAAAAGGATTTTAATTTTCTTATAATCTATATTCGCCGACTAACTCCATAAACGTTGTCTTAAAACGATATCGTATCCCATTACATTCTTGCTTTGTAAACAATAGGACGTTCGGTAACTTTCATTCGATAACTGTGTTCTGAATAACGTTTGTAGCCTTTGCCGGTCGAGAAGTACGAGTAATCGTATAGGTGTGACATCATTTCGGTTCAGTTTCGAATACGACAGTTTGACGATCGCTTCGGTTATTGTGAATAAACGTTAAAAGAAATCGTACGATATCTAAACGAAGCGGTCGCCAACAAAGTTATCGTAAGATTCTGAATAGGCCTGCTGTACCGAGAGCGACAAGTGTACGTGATAGTACTTAACAAATTAATCTGGATGTTCACATAAACTTGTATACATGAAACTGCCCACACATTAATCGTTTCATATTGAGTGGATGTACCCAGTAGCATCGTCTTCTAATGCTTCATATATGCATACTACTTTTAATGGATCCATAACACTATTACGACACATACGCCCCAAAAAACGCAACTCACAACTCACAAAATTACTGTCGTCTAGCCTCACCCTTATTACTAAAAACAAATCATTTTTGTTTATCTATCTCACTCGACCGCTCGACAGTAATTTCACGCAATCACATTTTCATACTGATGCGAAAATATACCTTTTCTTTTAGATTCAGGTAATCAGAAAAGCGCGCGAAGTGGTTACAAATCCTGTATTCAAACAGAAACATCGTAAACTGCTTAACAAGAATCACGCAGATATAGAATTTATGAAGCTTTACAATCACTTGATAAGCCAGCTATATTATCTCCGATATACTATAAATACTACTATATTTCAGGTAAGCCCCAGTAGGTACCTACTCCTTTACTTTTGCATCAACTTGCATGCACATTAAGGCGTGTCACCAGAGGAGAAGCGGGAAAAACTGTTTTGCTAGATAAAATGGTTTAAAATATAACGGTCTTAGAAAAATAAAAATATACCATACACCTGAGGGTATAATCTAAAGAATGTGCTAATATGTTACACGATAGGATGTACGAGTACTTTATCCCGTCATTAAATCCTGAAAACAGGCTATCTAACTTTGTACATAATTTTCATGGGGAGATATTCCTCTTTAAATACTACCTGCTAAATTTTGGTTTCCAACTGAAGCCGTATTAGTTATTAAATTCACATTTACCCCAAAAATTGCAAATTCCCCAGCGGCTTAAGGATACACCGCACCGCCTGCTGCACCGTCAGTCGCCGTCGAGCACCTGTCGACGTAGGATCTGTGTCCAGTTTTTTCGACTGTTCTTGTTTTATTAATTTACACCGTGCGAATTTGACAGGTGACCCCCACACTTCTCCTAAAATTTAGGCGCGCTTCCAAAACCTCGCCTTAAAAATTTGCTATTTAAATCGAAATATTGTACAGTCACATCAAGGTGATCAAACATTTGTTCGAATATCGCCTCCGGTGTGCAAGATCCGTCAGTGTGTAGCTTGATGCACTGACGTCTTTAAAAAATTAATTTCCCAACTGCGTTGGTAATGTGAAGCACAAAAAATATTTTTTTCTAAAATTTGGTTTGGCACTACCTTTTCACCCGAGTAATCTGTTATGTTAATAAAAGATTGGAATTTACAAAAATTTGTCGCAATTGGAGACAACGGTTCTCTACCGTTCAGCCACTCTGCAGGTACGAGTTCACGATTTAACCAATCCCGTTCCAATCTAGCGAGGAGTGAGATAAGGAGATACCATTTCCCCGAAATTATTCACAGCAGTACTTGAGGATGTCATAAAATGTAAAAACCCTTAAATGGGATAACCGCGGCATTAACATCAATTGTGTCCATTTGTCTCACCTAAGATTCGCCGACGATCTCGTGCTATTTGCAGAAAGTTTTGACGATCTCCAAAGGATGCTGGAACAACTCCATGATGCTTCTTTGAGAGTTGGCCTGCGGATGAATATGTCCAAGACGAAGATTATGGCCAACCCCTCTAGTCCCTCAAATACCACTGTCACGGTGGGAAATAAGAATCTGGAGAGAGTCGATCAGTACGTCTATGTCGGACATGGTCAATCCTTTGGCAAAGAGCATCAGCCTAAGGAGATGCCAAAAAGTATCCAACTGGGATGGGCTGCGTTTAACAAGTTAGATGACATCCTTAAATCAGATAAGGTTCCACAGTGTCTGAAGTCCCGCTTGTTTAATCAGTATGTTCTGCCCACCATGACGTATGTAGACGTAGGGACGTAGACCGAGTTCCGAACATTGAGATCCGACGACGAACGAAAGTCCAGGTTGCTGGAATTCGGATCATCGAACTCAAATGGGGCTGGGCGGAATACCTAGCAAGGCAAGGTGATGACAGATGGAGCAAGACATCAGGATGGGCAAAAGATGAGGCGGGCGCCCTGTTGCTAGGCGGGTCGACGACATAGTACGCGTCGCGGGGCGTCAATAGATGCGGCGGACGGTGGTGGATGGCGCAAACTTCGGGATTAGCCAACAGTGGGTGAAATCAGACTGTGGATGATGATGACGAAGACAACGTCTTGAATCCGATGAACTGTGAAAATATGTTTATACTTAATGGAGGCAAATGTACACAAACTTTTTTACTTTAACCTCCATCTAACCCGGGCCCAAAGAGTTTTGAGTTTAATTTTCTTAAAACCACTCGTCATTGTAATTTCATCGAAACTACTGAGATTATAAGACATAGATAAATTTATTTCCATATAACTTTATCTAATACAATACAAGTGAAACAAAACAAATATAAAGAATGCTATTATAGTATTAAAATAAGCATTAAGAAGGGAATCTAAATTATACATTCTTCATAGTAAGGTAAATGTCCCAGTGGTTGACGATTTTAGACGGAAAATCACGTATTTTGCCAAAAAAGTACTTAATTATCAGTCATACTGACTACCCAGGCATATTAACATATTGAACGGTTTGTCATGTATCTTCTAGGAACTATAAAATTTAAAATAATTATAGGCATTATTAATAATTCCAGTTTTCCGCTACCTCTAAAATTGTGCCAGTGTATGACAGGCGAAATTTCTGATGTCCCAATAGTTGACTATGGCACAGTGAGGTCGGAGTATTTGACAGGACGTTATGTTAAGATTTCATAGTCATTTAAACGCCTTAATCACTTGGTAACAATAAATTTAAAAAATAAGAAAAACCATAATCAATCGAGATGCTTTTATTAAAATTAATAAATATTTACTTACCATTGTAGTCAAGGTAAGTAAGTGCGTGCAAAAAACATTCAAATTAGAAAGTAGAAATAGAAAATATACGGATGTAACAGAAAGGCGTAGTTATATTAAAAGACCCAAAATAATGCGTACTTCATCTAGAGTCTCTGTGCAAAATTTCAAATAAAAATGATTTACAAAAATATTGATATAAATTTAATGAAATTTTAAGTTAGTAAAATTTTATACAGTGACATAATCCGCGGTATCCCATATTTTCTCGCAGCTACTGCGATAGGGATTCATCTTGATACTTCGTCTACCGCCTTCAATACGTTATCATCAGAATAAGGTGACAGCCTTAGTGGCATTTTTTGATTGAACAATACCCGTAACGAATAGTTGACACTAGTTACGCCCTAGTGTTTGACACCTCAATATACAACTGTCAATTATTGGGTCCCCATAGTAAAACAGTCTTTGACAACCATGTCAAACGCTACTCAAACTACCCATAGAAACTTGTCACTAACAAATGGTCGAAAATAAGTTTAAAAAATATTCATATATACGAGTGCTTGACATGGGTGTCAACTACTAGTAAACATTAATATTTTGCACCAGTGTTTGATATGCCTCTAAAATAAAATATAAACGATATACATCAATAAATACATACAAAATTAATTGTTTTTACGGTTATCAAATAGTTTTAATAAACACTTACCGGTAATTAATAATATTCCGCCTGATAAATTCACTCAAACCTTTTATGGACATTCTTCTTTCATTTACCATAAACATGGACAGTCCCGTTTCGGTATATGGATCTTATAAAAACTACTACGGGCTTTACCGTGCGAATTCCAAGTGCTTTCTTTGCCGCCTACTGCTTATTTGAGATACATTTGTGGACGTTATACACACGTATTTAATATGTGTTTGTATAAGGAGGTGTAAGACCGTACATGTCACTGCGTCGCCAGCGACTGCCTTTTGTGGTTGTCTATTTTGTTTTAAGGAACTTTCTGACAGTAAAAAATCCCTCAATTTTTTTCTCTAAATGCATAGTTTTTTAGTAATTCAAGAAACCAATAATGTATACTGTAGAAACCTATTCTATAATAAATAATAATGAAACGTGTTTTCACACTTAAAATCAGGGTAGTTAGGTAGGTATTTTCTGCCATCTAGGTGAAATGAATTACTTAATTTTCATTTAAATTTGATGAATAACTAAACGATACGTACAGTGTTTTTTTTTAAATAAAATATAAGTGCACATTTCACCTCCATCTCACCTGATGGAAAGAGACGATGAGGTCGACGATGGAGCATGCACACCTAAATAATGCCTATTCACTCTCGCCTTGAAAAGGCCCAAGTTACAACGTTCAGGGAACAAGTCTGCAGACAAAGAATTACACTCCATAGCCGTTCGCCATATAAACGTGGAAGCGTAACGCTTCGTGCGAATCTTTGGAATATCCACAACATAGGGATGGATCCCTACGCCTAGTCCCCCGGTGATGAAAAGGGGAAGGCGGAATTAAATCGTGTAACTCCATCGCACACTCTCCGTGATATGTCCTGTAAAATACCGACAAGCAGGCAACTTTACGGCGATGTTCAAGGCTTTGCAGCTTCTCCTCCACGGATTCCGAGTTACGAATAAGCCTCTTGGCACGATTGTCAATTGAATCCAAAGTGGCTAGTTGATATGTCGCAGAGCCATCCCGAAGGTCGCAGCAGTACTCCATGCACGACCGGACATGTGCTTGATACAGCTGAAGCAACTATCCCCGTGTAAAGTAACGCCTCACCCTGGAAAGGATGTCAAGTTTCCTTACTGCATTTTTGGCCATGGATTCAATGTGTCTGCCGAAGTTCAAATTGAACGACAGGTCCATTCTAAGTAGCTGGAGGCAGTCGGCTATCGGTATGGATATATCACGAAAAATTCGGAGTCAGCTCGAAGGGACTGCGTTTTGTAGAGAATTGACACGCCTGAATTTTGGTAGCGTTAAATTTGAACAAGATTGGCATCGCCCCAATCGGAGACTGCCTGGAGTGTCAAATCCAAACGGCTAACCATGGACTCTCGACAAGACTGGATTTCCTCTCCACGGACCCTTGCATTGGACAAGTACCTATCTACAACTGTGCAGTCATCAACATAGGCAAAGGCACCTGAAATTAACATATCATTGATATGCAGCAGAAAAAGAGTTGCAGACTGTACGGAACCCTGAGGAACTATCTATCTATCTATCGCCATATGTTCGGAAGTGTAGCCTTCTAAAACCACTCGAATCGAACGTTCACTCAAGAAATCCGAGATCCAATTGCAAAGGTCAGTGGGAAACCCATAAGAGCTTACTTAAAACGCTTACGTGCCAGACCCCGTCAAAGGCTTTAGAAACGTTCAAAGACACTGCAAGTGATTCGCCTTGCTTTTCTATAGCCTCGCTCCAAGTGTGACAGGCATACACAAGCAGATCCTCAGTAGATCGCCCTCGTCGGAATCCGTACTGGCGATCACTGAGGAGGTCGTTGTCTTCAAGGTACGACAGGAGACGGTTGTTGAGTACGCGTTCCATAGTCTTGCCGAGTATGGAAGTGACTGAGATAGGTCTATAGTTAACAGGGTCAGCTCTGCTTTCCTTTTTCGGCACAGGTTCCACGTTTGCAAGCTTCCACGACCTGGGAACTACATCAGTCTCAAGTGTACTATTAGTAATCACCTCTCTTACTACTTTCCAAACTGTGTTTAAATATTCAAATGGTAAATAAATAACCTTCATCACTGCTTAAATATAATCTAATTAGTGATTGTTTCTTTTGGAATTGTTAGTCTTCTTATACTGCAAGGGTAACGCTATTTTACGGTGTACGCTATTTTAATGTATAGATTTAGACTTTTTTTTGAAATAAATCAAATAAAATCACTGTACTACTGTCATAGCCATACTTACTTATGCACAAGAAATATTTCCAAGAACAGTTTACAGTGCTGCTATGAATGTGACGGGATCAGCCGTCAGTGGTAAAGCGTAATAATTATGTTGAATCAATATGGTCACTACAGCATAAAGAAAAACTTTTGGTACGCGGTATTGTTTCAGTATACTGTCCATGAAGGGGTTAAAGTACTCCAAGTCTTAACGATTTCTATAACAAGAGCGGCGCACGTTACACTCCGATCACCTGCTCGCAAAGACTCGCCATATTCAAAAATTATTGAATGAATCGATGAAAGTTTTTAAATTAAATTAATAGATTTTGTTACTAGTACATTTAACACAGTTTTGGAGTAATATCAATATTTGTTTTCTTATTTTTTGAGAAAAAATGCAAAAGTGTCATACATTGGGACAGTGTCAACCACTGGGACATTTACCTTAAAGCTATAATACATTTTAATATTAGAATTTAATGTGCAATTGCGATGCCTATACTAAGTAAATGTGTACCTATATTTTAGATATCTTTTTTCTTTACATTACAGCTTAAAAAAGATTTTGTATTTTTAACAATAAAATAATTAGTAGTTAGAAATTAATGGTTACCTAAATAAAAACAATTATGAAACAACTTCTAGCAAGCCCTCTGTTTCATTGTAAGTTTTACTCTTAAGCCACAATTTGACGGTCTTTTTGCACTATATTTTAAATATTATATTACAATTATGATAATATTTGTTATTCTGATAAAACTAACGAACGATTGATGTTCACTTACCAAAACTACCTTGGAAACTACTATGCATAGTTTTAATTTGTGTTTGTTCAACGGTAAATTAATGGCAAGTACCATCGAAAAAATGTCATATACTTAGTAGACTACGCCATCGATGTGACTTGGAGTCGCCTTTTTGAGGTAGAATACCAAAAAATTGTAATTGGAGCATTGGGTGTAACAAGGTCGTATCACGTAACAGTGAGATTGGAGAAAATTGTTACCCGTTGTTATTTTGTTTCAATTTGATATCATTAATTTGTTTGTGATCTAACTAATTGTAAATTTTGATACCAGATTTGCCAAAAAACATATTTTAATCAACTTACACGTTTCATTATTGTAGATAGATACACATTGTATTTGAAGACGGATCAAATCGATCGTGATCGGTATCCTTTAATTTGATCGTCTGACAATAATAAGTAGTGCATAAAATTTAACAAAGTTTGCAATAGTTTATAGTGAAAAACTGTCCTCTGAAGCTGGTCTCATTTATGAAAATAAATAGAATCAACTTTTAGCACTTAATGCAGAACAACGGTATTCGTCTATCATAATTAACCTTATGTGTATGTCTAAATGTATGTCTACTATCGACTCCCAACTGAGATGGTTTAAAATTAGCAAATTTGGAACACTCATATATTTTAATGCTTCTTTTTTCTTCAAGGGAACTTGTGCAGTAGCCTACTGGAGGACAACATTTTATACCGTCACGGCCAATTTGTTATGGGTCCTCGTGCCCTATTTCTCCATACAAATGTGGCTAGTTACCGGAAGACGGCCATCTAGAACTGGATATTATCGTGTTAAAGTTAGTAATAATGCTAAGAAATAATTGTTGAACTTGTGTTATTATTATAATAACACGATTACTTATACACTGTGACGATAGTACTGTTAATTTAAGTTAAGAATATTTTTACTTAAACCTTAATAATGAAACTAAAATAATAATAATGCTAGGGTATTGGGTATGGTTGTTACCAATCTTCAGGTCTCTTAGTCAGAATTTTTTCGATAATCATTATTTACAAACAAAGAGCACTAAAACACTACAACTCCGAAGAGTGCAAATAACTATATAGCAGCTTAAAAAATATACCAATATAAAAAAGCAAAGCTTTTGGTTATAGGTACGCCAAGACGTTAGAAAACGTAATTTACTTTTTTTACCTGAAATGACACGCCTCTGCAAAGATTTGTTACTTAATAATGTTATGTACGTAATGAACAACTATGTGGATCAACCTCCTTCGGTTTACATATAGCACTGCTAATACAGTGTTGTAACTGAAAATATGTGTAATTCAAGATTTTACTATTGCTGAACGTAAAATTTGATTATCTACACGTCAATCAAACCGCAGTTAAAATATTGTAAAAAACATTTAAAATATATTTACTTAACTCAAAATGAGACAAATTTTCGTGGGCTAGTTCTGGACAACACAGTCCTACTCAAAAATATGGAATTAATATAAAATTATTCTCCTTTATTTTTAAATACTTTTGGCAAGTAGAAGATCAGATGTCTCTAATAAACTTTAACTTACACATAAACTTTAGTAATCTTTCACGGAAAGTGAGTAATTCGTTTTTATCGATTCTGAAAAAAATGCACTTTTTGAGTTAATACGCTATTGTATGATCGAATAACTTACAATCTTTAACTTCAAGTTCAACCCATTTTTCAAGTCCTTTCACTATACTTCTTCAAGATTTCTATAATCGAAATTTAAGTTAAAGATTATAAGAGATACGGCCAATTGCGAATGTTCGATAGAGGTCTATTGAAAATTAAGTCTGGCGAGGTAGTTTTTACTTAGTGATTAGATATTTTTTAATACCAGTGTTGGGCGTTAATCAATTAAATTTTAATCAGAAATTCAATCAGATTAAAAAATCAATTCAATTAAAATCAATTTGCAACGTCGCAATTAATTTGAATTGCCATTGATTTCAATTTAATTGAATTTAATTGCAATTAAATTAATTGCAATAAATTTTTATAAATTGTTCTAAGAATCACATCACGTTCAATCACTCACCCACTCACTCACCACCCACCACTCACTCATCCACTCACTCGCTCACTCTCCCACTCACTCACCCACTCAGTCACCCACTCATTCACCCACTCACTCAGTCAACTACTCACTCATCCACTCACTCACCACTCACTCACTCTCTCATCCACTCACTCACCCGCTCACGCACTCACCCGCTTACTCACTCACCCGCTCCCTCACCCACTCACTCACCCACTCACTCACCCACTCACTCACCCACTCACTCACCCACTCACTCACCCACTCACTCACCTGCTCACTCACCCAATCACTCACCCACTCTCCCACGCGCTCACCCACGCTCTCACCCACGCACTCTCCACTCACCCACTCATTCATCCACTCAATCACCCACGCACTCACCAACGCACTCTCTCACTCACTCACTCACTCACCCACTCACTCACACACTCACTCACTCACTCACTCACTCACCCACTGACTCACCCACTCACTCACCCACCCGCTCAACCACTCACTCACCCACTCACGTACCCACTCACTCACCCACTCAATTATCCATATGCCCTATAAATTTATCGTAATTGTCAGTTTTAATTGTTAATTGTTAATCAAAAACATTGATAAGATTCATTGTAATTGTTGATATACGCAATTAACAATTAATCAATTGTTAATTGCTGGTCTCGCAATTAACAATTAATCAGTTGTTAATTGATGTTTCGGAATTGACATTAATTAATTGTCAATCTTTAATTGCCTGAACAATAAATTTTGCCCAACACTGTTTAATACATATCCATAGCGACTTTCTCTATGGCTTGACTTAAAAGATTGTAAAAATTTATTTGTTTTCTTTTAATTTGAAGACACTTTTCCGTATCCGCCTTAATAATTGTAATCTACTTTCAGAAATGGGCGCTATTAAATTACTTTTCATGCTGGTCACTGGTGGCTTCACTGATGTGGCTAGTCATGATAGCCGGTGACTACTGCTATAATCCTGCCATTACCACTGCTAATCTGACGTACCAAGTACGTACTTGTAGTGTTTTTTTAAGCCGTTCATGGACATTACCGCACACAAAAAATACACTACCTTTCCTTTGTGCCATAGTGCTTATACACATGTACATTATCATATTGAATTAGTACTAAAACATATATGCGTTTTAGAGAAAAAAAAATGGTTAAAACTTACTTTTACTGTTAGAAAATTCAAAGGCTGACATGAACTTGCATCACCTCATACAAATTTATTTATTTATTTATTTATTTATTTATTAATAGACAAAATGTGTAACATAACAGTTTGCACCATGGCGTTACGACAATTTAGTTAATAACAATTTAAAAAGAAAAAGAAAACAAATACACAAAACAACAAGAAATAGAACAATAAAATAAACTTAAAATTATCTACTTACTAATTCATTCATACATCTCTCCAAAACTCTCTTCCATTCCGTCATCAGTCTCTCTATCCCAGTCACAAACACATCACACTGCGGTGATGCTGCGAGCATGGAGTTGAGGAGTGCAGTCGTACGTGGAATAGGCGAGTGTCGGTGCAGTTCAGTGCGAGAGGGCTCGATTGCCAGGAGGGGCACACCACGTCGCCTGTTGCAGTAATCATCAGGGACCCTGAACCTAAGGATCTTTTCCACTAGGCTCACACTGTCAATATTATTTCTTAATACATTTATAATGAATCTAAGTGATGCGACATTTCTACGCAATTCCAAGGACTCATAGCCCAAGTGACCTTGTAGAAAGCGTGTTGAGTACAGGAATGGGTAGTAGTAAAATATTTTTTTATATAAATATCTCAAAAACTTCTTTTGGACTTGCTCCAACATGAGAATATATTTATTTTCATGTGTTTCAAATATGTTGGTGACTACTGTATGCGTCTTAATGTAACGTCAAATGTGCGAGTAAATCGTTAAACTTTGTCAGTACGTTGCATGGAGTACGTGGTAAACGTTATTTATACTCCTCGAGTATTATGTACTCGATGTTTATGTTTAGGTACTTCTTTACCTCATGTTTGTCCTTACTTGTCTATGGTCCTCCACTGCTCCTGCAGTAGGCAGCAAGTACACGGAAAGCACTTCGAAATCGTAATATGACTTTTTTTACATTACCGGTCCGCCATATTGGTTTTGTAAGGGGAACAAACATTCCTGCTACATTACCTGGTTTTGTAGCAGGAATAATTTTTCCTCTCCCGGTAGAAATGTATCTTGGTTATTTACGGGTAACAACGGGAAGCGAAGTCTTCCGTACTATCATATTGTGATATTTAGTTTTACGGTAAACGTCGTTACTGACCATGAACGGGTTAATTAATTTTTTAATATTAGGAAGCCTGAATTCGTGGTCTATACGGCACTTCATTATTGCGATAGTAATTTTGATCTATTGTTATCGCCACTGATTTCAACTTGGAGCCAAGACTGTTTGTTGAAACAGTACGTATTAAAGGCCTGAGGATAATCCTTGGTTAATTTTTCTTATTCTCCTGCGGTTGGGTAAGTGACTATGGGGTCAGTTCAGAATCTTACGATAACTCAGTTGTCGATCGATTCCATTTGATATCGTACGATTTCTTTTCATTTTTATTCACAACACCCGAATCGAACGTCAAACTGACGTATTCGAAATGGAACCGAAATGACGTCACACCCCCGTACGATTACTCGAACTTATCGACCGGCAAAGGCTACAAACGCAAACACAATTATCGATTGAAAGTGAAAAGTTACCGAACGTCCTATTGTTTACAAAGCAAGAATGTAATATGGAAATCTCTTATTATTTAAAATAAAATCTTCAATGTTATTAATTTATTTTAATGCAAGACTAAATGCATTCTTATATTTTAGGCCTTTAAAGTCTTAAAAATGTATATAAAAGGACTTTATTGGTGAAATATAACCTATTAACTCCGTAAACGCTGTTGGATAACGATATCGTATCCGCATCGAACGTTTAACTGTATTCATAAAAGGGCATTATTAGCTACGAAGGTGCAAAAGAATCTTCATGGCAGAATTAATCATCTGCTCTCTCTTAATTTGTGGTTGGACATGTTATTCAAGTCACAATGTACCGTGCTGGTGAAACTGCCCGAATATGAAGACTTGTCAACTTATGCATGTCTCCGAGCGATGGGAGTGTCCCTCAGATTCTTGCGATTCAAAGCTCTCAATGACACTGCAGCTGTTACGGTTATGGCGTGTCGTTTACCTTCAAGCGCATTGCGCCTTCATCCCAGCCATTCCTGGCCAGTGTCAGAGCTTCTTTATCACGCCAGTATTTAGCACTGCATGCTGTACTCAATATTTATTGTACTTTCTTATGCACTGTACTCACGGGGCACCAGTATTTTCCTCCTAGTATCAGTGAGTACTTGTACTAAATTTGCCCTACTTATTATCACTGCAATCATATTAAACTTTTTAGTAGCAGTAGAGCTCCTTGTGAAAGAGTTCGTCCAGGGTAGTACTGCCACCTTGCCTATTTCTGCCGCCAAGCAGTGATTACAGTGTTCCGGTTTAGAAGAGTAAGGGTGCTGGTGAAATTACAGGCACATGGGACTTGTCCACTTGGTGACAGACGCAGTGGCAGTGCCCATAAGGTCTTTGCGATTTAACGCTCTGAATGGCACTGCAACTGTTATGGATAGGCGTGTCGCTTACCACCAGGCGCACGACTTTTTCGTCCCGTCAAAAAAAAACTTACGTCTAAAGTAATATGCATTTATTGAATAACTTAATTTAAATTACAGGCGCGCTTTATGTTGTAGAGGTGGTATCATCTGCTCCTTTCTTGTTCCATAACACGGGACCTCTTAAATTTTTCATCATTGTGCCCCGTTCCTAGTTTTCCTAAAGAGAGAACTCGTTCTCTGGTTCAGAATGAGAGCATTTAGGCCATCATTCATAATTTTCAGGGATTTTCTCCCGTCCGAAAGAATTACTATCAAAGACTCAAAAGTCCTTTAATTAATTGTTTCGGACAGAGAACAGGAGAAATTTGTCCAATATTTGAGAGCATCAGATGTGTTCAAAGAATTTGGAGCCGTTTACAGCGTACAAGACCGTTCATACAAATGATACTTCTTAAATGTTCCTAATTGTAAAACTAGAATACGAAGTGACAGTGTTTCCTGCATAGAAAGCAAGCTTTCTACTAACTAGTCTGTTTCTACTTGTAAGTAATTTTTTTAAGGGGATAGATAGATAGATAATACACTTTATTGCTCACATACAAAACAAAAACAGTACATAGACAACTTAGCATTAATGTGGGTAAAGGCGGCCTTATCGCCGAGAGCTATCTCTTCCAGACAACCTTTGAGGCAGAGGAGAATTGAACAGAGAGGGAGACGTAGTGTGCCAGTGACAAAAATGTAAATGCATGATTAAAAACTTACACTATCATATTATGAAATAATAAGTGACCATAATATTATATACCTACGTATATATTAATTTACACATATAAATAAATATTTAGTATATATATATATAAATTTATTAACCTAACTATAGGTATATATTAATTAAACTAGGTAAGGGGAAGGGTAAGGGTGCTGGTGAAATTTCAGGCACATGGGACTTATCAACTTATGTCTCAGGGTGACGGGCGCAGTGGCAGTATCACTCAGATCTTTGCGATTTAAAGCTCTTAGTGGCACTGCAATTGCTGTGGACAAGCGTGTCGTTTAACACCAGGCGCAAGACTTGTCCGTCCCGGCACTTGTGTCCACTTGTACTTAAGTACATCTTAAACCCATGCTTAAAATAAGACCCTATTAACGCAATATATTAAGAGTAATAGAGTAAGAGTGTTTTTTTGCATTGCTAGCATTGGTGTAAAGGCGGCTTCCCACGGCCCGTGGTCCGCTACGCGACCCGCGCCGCGCGTTTCGCACTAACGCGCAGTGGGAAGAAGGCCGCCCAAGCACGCCCGTGCTCACCTGTGGCGGCCTGTTCGGATCCGCCCGCCTATCGCTTCGGATGTGCTCTCAATATAAACACGAATAAGGCGATTAACACACTGCACCGCGCCCCGCGACGGTGCACGGGACACAGAATCACGCGCGCGCTGGCGGAGACGCAGATCTGCGTCATGACATTCAACTTCATTACAAAGATTTAAGAAAATATGAAGATTAATTTTTCAACTACACACGTATGTCAACTGAATCTTTTGATTATTTGTTAGGGATAATCCGAACGACAATTACTGGAATAGACACAAATTGATTAAAAATCTGCGCGGTAGTGCGGAGCGCAGTGTGCCGTACCCTGCGGTTCGCTGCACCCCTCGGCCGCGCTGCCGCGTGGAGAAGCGTTGTCAGTGTGTTCGACGGCGCGTGTTTTCCATACAAACTGAGGTATTTCAGTACAACGTTAAAAAACGCAACTCCGCGCTCCGTCGCGGGACACGGTGCAGTGTGTTAATTGCCTAAGGTCGCGTGGACACGCCCGTTTAGCGAGCTCGTACTAATAGGCGCGTTTGACATCACGGCCCGTGGGAACGCATCCTTTACCATAAAGATAGCAAATCTCTTCAGTACTTACCACGCCTGTCGTGTTCTCTACGTTAATTACAAAACGCGTTATTAATTCAGATAAAGTAACAAAATTACAAATTACTTAATTAGAGTTTTTTTTTCTCAGTTGGATCACTTGACACCATATTATTTAAAAGTTATGCCATTTCAAAATATAAGGAATGCTATAAACTTTTTTAAGGAAATGAATTTACTTGTGAATCACACAAGATTTGCAAACGCTTTCTACGCCCCCCAATATGGCAGTATAGTTATTCTTGAAATGGCAACAAAATTCTACTACGACCTTCTGGAACAAGCTGCGAAAGGTACTTACCTATAGTAATTTTTTTAGTTCCGCCATCTGTACATCAGGCGCTGGCCGATACTTAAATTGGACATAGTTATGCAAACAAGAACCAACCCACACCTCGAGTGAAATTGAATTATGTATTTAGGTAGAACTCCAGACGTGTCCTTTACCCGCTCACAAAAGACCCTGGCAATATACCAAGCCAAAACGGAGATAATAAAGGTCCTTCAGGGTACCAATCCTAAATAAGTAACTTTTTAACAGCTAAAAAGAACCATCCTGCTTAACTTCAGATAATGTATTTTTTGAATATGCTAAATGGATCCATGTTACATGTAGGTACTGAAGTACTGTAGACCTTTAGCGTTTTCATTACGAAAACTAGAACATGGTTCTCGTTAACTAAATAAAAAGATATATAATGTTTTCTATTTATTGCTATATAACATAATAGTTTCCCTATTATATTCGTTTTTACTAATATAACTATACTATTAGTATATCATTCTCAATGCTACACATAACTCATGTTTTGAAGTAATTATTAGATTCAGGCGTTACTATGCGGAAGTCCATGTCATTAAAAATGGAAGTAAATTAATTTGCTACTCCGAATCCAGTGAAGGTTAAATCGTGCAAAATAGCTACGCTTGTGTTGAATATTTTTTCATGCAGTTAATTATCCCACTCTCCCTCCGCATAAAATTAATAAAATAAATAACATAAGCGCAACTACAGTCACAAACCAACCCGACACGTGTTTCGCCTCTCCACGAGGCATCCTCAGAGGCTGTTGACTGCTCGACACTCGGCCGAAATCGCGGACGGTTTTCAAGTGTCCTTTGAATGACAGCTTCCTATCGAACGTAACTCTTAAGTATTTGACCGTGTTCACCCAAGGGATTAGGCGGCCAAAGAGCGAGATCGCTGTGAGGTTTTATACCCTACGACTGGATAGGTTACTTCGCGTGAAGACAACTGATACATGCCGGTGGGCATGAAACGGGAGCGATCGAAACCTTCGGAGATATGCTCCACTATCCGGTGCACTTGCTGGATGCATGAGTGCTTAGCTCTAAAGCCAAATTGTTCTTCGGGGAGGAGATTGTGAGACATGACGTAGTCTCTGAGGCGGGCGTAGAGGATGCGCTCATAGAGTTTGCCCATGGTGTTAAGCAGGGAGATGGGACGGTAACTTGTGAATACCGATGACCAACCGCCTCTTTCCACTTTTGCGGAAAGATGCAGTTGGTCAGAGCAGCGTTAAAAATTGCAGTCAGGAGACAGATGAGGGTTGCAGAAAGCTGTTTAAGCACCTTGTTGGAGATACCGTCAGGGCCTGGGGCATTGCGGGGCTTAAGGTCCTTTATGAGCGATTCTACTTCCTTTGGGGTGACCGGGGGGAGATGAGGGTCGGGAAGGTTGCTCTGAGTTTGATCTCGGAGTCCACCTGAAGGAGATGGGTCGGGTCAACCGACTCTAAACTGAGGGAGCACTGGACTTCGAGGCTGTCGGCCAGGCCTTTTCCTTGTCATCAAATGCTGGGGTGTGGTGGGGTCGGTTGAGGAGAGGCATTTGGACAACCGTGCCAGACTTAAGGTAACGGATTAGATTGCCAGAAGGCTTGGTGGGTGGGCTCGACATCTTCTAAGAGATTTTCCCATAGACTTTGACGTACCTCGTCCATACGCGTCTTGACGTCTCTGTGTAAAGCCCGCAGGTTTTCGTCGTTCGTGTTTTTACAAAAATCTAATTATCTCGAAAGTGACATTTTATTTTGGCTCTAGTTTGCATAGCTATGTCCAATTATCGATCCTGGAGATGTTTCATCAACACGCATAAAGCATTTTGTTTTATACGCTGATTATGCGTACATTTAAGGAACCAAACTCTCGCCTTGATCCACATTTCCCAAACTGCTTGGATTATTTTTAAGGTCAAAATGTAGAATCAGGTGTTATTGTGGACAAACGAAACTCCGTTGAATTTCGTCAAGTAATATGTATGTTCTAAGTTTATTGAATTTCACGATGTTTGACCACAATGATATTCAATTATTTTTGTAAAATTACTCCACTAGTTTGTAATAAGTATTAATACAAAGATTGAACACTAAGAAAAAATTCCTTCAATCCGGCCGGATTCGAACCGACGTCGTCTCCTAGCAAACCGTGGCAGATGCTATGCCAACTAAGCCACGGAACGAACTAACGGACCTTACTAAGTTTTCTATGTGCTTGTTATCGTTCGAACGACGGTTCTATCGAACGAATGCTCTATCGAACAAATGTTCAAGCCAAACCAAGAGTGAGAAGGCGAACCGTGTCATGAGTGACGTGAGAGTGAACTAGACCACAATAATATTGTGAATTGTTGAATAATCTCTAAAATTATAGAGATAAAGTCGAATATTGCGCGCATGACCCATGAAACTCTAAAATGATCGGGTTATTTAGAAGCTAGTAACCCGGGTTATCGGGTCATAGGTGCTGTTTGAATTATTTTGATTCGATCAATCACGATCGACACACGTTACATCATCGTTATTTTCCTTTTTAATTTCTGGTAATTATGTGTTTAAAGACTCGAGCTCCTTTTATAAAAAGGAGTAGGTTCTAAATTCGTCTGTGTTAATTTTTTTGTGTTATTTACTCCCGCATTTGTCAACCGATTTCGATGATACTTTTTTGGATTAACCCCATTTGAAGAAATTCCACCTCTGAGAGTGGATAACTAGGGGATCAATCAGGTTTCACACACTTTCCGGTACCGATTTCAATAAAACTTGGCAAATTTATTCCACGATGTTTCGACTTTTTTTTTGATAAAAAGTTACAATTATCAAAATATTAATTACAGACAAAGAAATAGATGCATTCGTACGCGATATTGGTGATCCCGTGGTAATCAAGTCCGCCTTAAACTTAACAGTCGATCAGGGTTTAATAGGGCTGTACCAAGGAAAATTTATACGGCCTATTCATGACAGATTGATGATAATCGGCTGTCGTCATTGGGTTCCTGTGAGTATACAACAATAAAAAAAGCATTTACCTGTTTACTAGGTAACATAATTAAAGTATCGAGTGTTGGAGCTACTTGTAAGTAAAAACTACTTGTGTTAGAAGCCACAGTACGCAACACAAAACAACGCAGCAAATAGATAATGTCAAAAATAAAATCTTCATTTTATTCTTCTAAAATAGTAAGTGATATAGGGCGCTAGACTCTTTAAACTATTTCACTAATTTATCAATGTTATTTTTAATGCCTTCTGCCCATAGATATAGGTATATCTATGCTTCTGCTCAACATTGAATTTTTCAAATGTAGAACTTTTTAATTCATTAATACAACATTATAAGAGCGGTAATTGAAAAGTGTAATTAATATTTTTGAACCATTATTGTCTATTTTTGTTTTTCTTTTCTTATCTTTACAATTATCACCACAATATACACACAGGGCTGCACATCCGGATGTGTCACAATTCGCACACGCAAGGTCATCACCCAATAAAAATAATATATAGATAAAAACAAGCTCTATAACGACTGTTTATTAGTTCCATTAAAAACCTGTAGCTGTAATACGACCTAAAATTTAGCGATAGTGCACGTTATAACTCTCTTATAGTCCAAATTAGACTCCGATGTTAGCACTTAGAGGCTCTTTAGTAGGTCGAAATAACTCCAATAGTAGTAAACAAGTGGTATAACAGTGTTACTGCGGCGACTCTTATTACCAAAGGAGATAATAAAGGGTTTCAATAGCCATATTTTTTGCCTAAGGTTCTATGAAACCCGTAAGATGTTTTCTATTACCAAAGGACGTAATAAAGGGCTACAATAGCTGTATATTTTGCCGAATGTTCTGTAAGATGTTTTCTTACATCGCTTAAAGCATTATAAATACGCTAAAGTAGTGACAAAAAACACCTTGCGTGGTACGTACGCAATTTTATAGAAATATCTCTACTTCGAACTACTTCTGCGTTTTAATATCGTGATCGTAATAGCCAACGGGTTAGAAATGAAATGCTAAGTACATAATTACCAACGACCATATTATTAAGTAGATAATTAAGATACTATTGCGGTTGTAAGTTTTCCGTTATTAAATATGACATTTTGCATCTCAATTTTGAAGCGTCTTAAATACTTTTACGTTTTAATATACCTAAATCTTAAATATAAAAATACTATGAACATTTTTTTCGTAATTTGTTCATTTAACGGGATAGCGTTGTGAAAGGGTATCCTATGGTATTAAAATATATCTTATATTTTTTAAAGACTTATTAACTGAATTATGAACTGCCTCCGTGGCCAAACGGTTACCATGCCGGACTGCCACGCAGGGGTCCCAGGTTCGATTCCCGGGCCGGGAGAAATGTTTGTATGGCCTACATTTATTTCTCTCGTGAGTTTGGGTGTAATTTGTGGCTGTCTATATGTGTGTCCATGGCACCCGCGACACAGAGTTTCCCTAGTGCGGGGCTATGTTGAGTGTGTGCGTTATTTATTTATTTATTTATTTATATTTCCATGATATTTCTGACATTTTCGGGTTATATTTAGTAAACAACAATGGCATTATCGTCTGTAACTCTTAATCATTCTGATATCTCTATGTTACCACTTTGAAGTACAATTTAATCTGAGTCTAGTGGTTTAAGGTATATTGGAAGTCAGAACCTAGTTTTTAACATTTAGCTTCAAGCAAGGCTCAGCCCTCTATGCTAATGTTGAAACAAATAAACGTTTAGATCTACCTACACTACTCTTCACACGGAATGCAAATCACGAAACGATGACCCTCGCGTACTTTTTTCTTATTCCTATACAAAATTAAAATCCAGATTCTTGCAGATCGTATTAGCAATATTAGTTTTGACGTGGATTATGTTCGGGACATCAGCTGCTTTGGCAGTATATGCGGTAAAAGGAATACGGCACTTGTACACCTTCAGTCAGCTCCGGTTAGTATCAAATAGCCTTTAGTGCCCCACCTAACACCGTGCTAACAATACAACGCCAAATATTAGCGCAATGACGGCTTTCCACGCTGTCGCCGAGTGTGAGCTTTTGTTAATATATAATAGACACACGCTTGGCCACATTCTCACCTGATGTTAAGCGACGATGTGACCGACGATAACACGCGTTTGCCTAAAAAATGTATATTCGCTCTAGCCTTGAATAGCCCCAAATTGTACTTTTCGGGAAATACAGATAGAGCATTCCATTCCTTTGTCGTACGCATCAGAAAGGAGGAAGCAAAGCGCTTAGTGCGAATAGGTGGAATATCGACGACATAAAAATGGAGTTAAATTGGAGTGGAATTAAATTGAAAAGTTCTTGCGCACACTCCCCGGAATGTATCCGATAGAAAACCGACAAGCAGGCTACTTTTCTGCGATGGTCGAGATTTTGAAGCTTCGACTCCACAAGAATTATTTCTAATAAGTCTCTTTGCTTTTCGCTCCAACGAGTCCAAAGCAGCTAACTGGTAATGGGCACAGCCGTCCCAAAGGTGGAAGCAGTACTACAGGATCGAACTTGTGCTTTATACAGATTTAAAATCTGTTCAGGTGTGAAGTACCGCCTGACCTTGTAAAGTGTGCCTAGTTTTCTGGTAGCAGTTATTGCCCAGTACTCGATGTATCTCCCAAAGTTGAGATTGGATGATAAGTCCAAACCAAGTAGCTCAAGGTGGTCTCTTATCGGCACGGATACATCTCGGAATATTAATGGTTTTACACTTCCATTGCCTAGCCCATATTGATCGTGTGATAGGTAATTTAACCTGGGGGCCTACCACAATTCGTCATACCATTTGTGCTATGTTTTTGCTGTCTTCTGAAATGTAATTTAAAAAACAATGGTCTTGAGTATTCAATAAATAAATTTTAACTGAATCGAGGAGAGTACCAGAACCGAATTTGTTTGCATTTCATAGTTAGATCGAACCCCTCCTGTGGGTTTAGGTCAGGTTAGTATATGAAAAAGTCGCACGAGCCGAGCGAGCGAGCGAGCGTGGCGCGGCAGCGGCCGGCGAGTGCCAGAGTCGAATTTGTTTGCATTACCTAGACGGTATGACCCCCTCCTGCAGGTTTAGGTTAGGTTAGTATATGAAAAAGCAGCACGATCCGAACGAGCGAAGCGAGCGACTACAACTCGATCAAATTAACTTCCATCTCGTTCACCATATTTTCTAAAGGTGCGAGGTGCTTTAATTTGATGAGTAGTATCGTGCGACACGTCACTTTTAATGTCTGTAATAAGAAATAATATAACAAAAATGTATCATGGATATCGCTTTTTACAAAATAAAAATATTCATTAGATACATCGGTCAAACAGTTTGTTGGGGAAATAAAATCGGGAAAAGAATCACTTGTCAATATGAGAAAATAGTGAAACATTAAATGGTGTAATGAAAAAAACCGTAACGTGTTTTCAGACAAATGTAACAAAATCTATTCAATAAAAATTAAAGGTTTTCCGAGAAACAAAATTCTGTAAATCATGTTTCTAGTTTGTGATAGGTAATCTTTTTTTTTCATCAAAATTCTCCAAAAATAACTTACCTTGATAAAAACGTATGCTAACACGTGGCCCCTCCAAGGATACTGACCGTACATGGGAGAGAGGCGACTACCAAGTGGACGTAAGTCGATAATAGATGACGCAGTTTCAAAGTTATAGGCGCGGTCCGTTTTACCGTCCATTCCCCAACGATTGTAATATCGATACATAGTGCACTTGAAATGGATTTATTAATACGGGCCTTCATTCTTTAGATGTCTAATAACCACCTTACCTATTTCTGCCGCCAAGCAAGTAATATGAACATTACTGCGTTCCGATATGTGACGGGCGCGGTCGCAGTGCCTCACAGATCTTTGCGATTTAAAGATCTGGGTGGCAATGCAATTGCTATGGACAGGCGTGTCCATTACCGCCAGACACACGATGTGTTCGTCCCACCGTATCGCTTGTTATCAAAACAATACTGTCTTTATTACAGACCGTACATCAAAGTGAAAAATGTGACGTAAGTTTTAAGTCCACCTCTTTATTTACCGACTATCGGCTGTGGTTAACATGGAAAAGTACTTGCACACCTACGCAAAATAGAGAGAAAGTATCTTAAGCATTGAGAAAACTAATTGGAGTACGTGAGTCATATGCAACATCCCATGGCTTGTTATATAATGTTAAAAAGTCGGAGTTTATGATCTTTGGAGCCGCCGGTAGGAAGAGTCCTACGTGTGCACTTCCTGTATGTACTACTTAATGGTTCTCCGTTAAAAAGGGTTAGCCACTTTAAATATTTGGGACACTATGTTACCGACGACCTCAAGGATGACCTGGATATGCAGCGCGAACGGAGAGCACTCTCGGTGAGAGCAAACATGCTCACCCGTAGGTTCGCCAGATGTATGGTTGCAGTTAAGATAACATTGTTTAAAGCTTACTGCACACCAATGTACGCTAGCACTCTGTGGAAGAGCTACACTCAGTGCTCTCGAAATGCTCTGTGCATGCAATACAACAACGCTTTCAGGACGCTGTTGGGGCTGTCCCGTTTCTGCAGTGCCTCAGCCATGTTCACTGACGCGTGCGTCCATAGTTTTACGGCTGTTGTACGTAAAAAGTCGGCGTCGCTACTGAAGAGAATACGTCACAGCCCCAATAGCCTCCTGAAGACAGTTGCTGACAAGAATGAGTGTCCAATTATGCGGCACTTAATAATTAATACAAAGTCCCCGGTAAAATATAAGTACTAATATAGTTTTAAGTCTGTACCTACTAACATTTGATTGGGTCTCAGTTGTCTCAATAAATAAATTGTATTATTATTATTATTAAGCGAATGGTTAACACTTAACTTGGTTAACCTTTCTAAAAATTACACTGAATACATGGGAGCAGGGTTGGAACTGATAATTACCATGACAATTATCATTGTGATCACCACGGTAAATCTTGTTAATTTATATTATGATCTTGATATTTATAAAATTAATTGGAACAACAACAAACTGCCACTAGCAATATAGTGCCATGTGTTTGTATCCAAGACATATCTAAACATGTCAACTATTAATCTCAAAAGTCACCAACCAATTCTTTTTTCCAAAGATTTTTCTTCGTATCTATTCATTTAGTTTTGTCACTATTTACCATTTTCAGTCATAAATCGAAGATATGGATGGATATGTTGCTCCATAACTTTGTTATTGTGTATCTCATATAAATCCGATAATACTCCAGTTACCGAATATGTATCAAATAAATTATCAGATAATTAACATGATAGTTATCAAATAAAATAAATATCTTGATCATTTCGAACCCTGAGTGGGAGTAACCAAAACAAAATAATACACTGAGCGCACTTTCCCGCTGGAAGACGAGAGATCTAAGTTTTTTAAAGCAGTAGACATTATCAGTTTACGCAAAATTCACTTGCTGATGACAAGAAGGTTGCATCATAGGTACATGATATATTTTACGAATTGTTAACGATCGAGTAACATTGCGTAATACTAACGCGATTTTCTGCGTTGTTTTTTCCGTTACAATCCTTCTGCAGTTTTCGTTTTTTCCAGCAAAGAACGTCCATTGGGAATATGTGAAAGGAAGCAAAAAGAAGCTGAAGAAAGAGCGGAAGCGGAGAGAACTAAACGCACTCGGTATTACATTATCACAATGTTTACTCTTTTTACCATGCCATCATAGTGAATCAGAATCCTCGTTTTCATTAGCGACATCCAAAATTTTAAACGTAAAATGAATAGTCAAATTCGAAAAACAACGTAAGTAAATGTAAGTAACAAATGTAGGTGTGAATAAATTTTGAACATCATCAGAAAAAGTCAGAAATCACGAATATTTCTGAACCCTCTGTCGCTGTGTCTGTATTATCGTATTAATCCATTGATGTATTTGTATTTTAAGTACTCGTAGCAGTAGACCTTATTGTGAGAGTTCATCCAGTGAAGTAGGTACCTTACCTATTTCTGCCGTCAAGTAATAATGAACATTACTGCGTTCCGGTTCTGAAGGGTAAGCCTTGTTAACTTTGAGAGTCACCGGCGCCGTGGGAGTGCCACTCAGACCTTTGCGACGTGCAGTGGCATCACAGGTCTTCGATAGTAGTTTCGCGTATCACCACGCGCCCGACTTGTTCGCCCCTAGACCCGCCTCATCTTTTTTTTTAAATGTTATGGCCCCATAAGATTTAAAAAATAATCGCTGATCATTTCGCCAATATCGAGTAAAAATGACTACGTACCATCGAGCACATAACTAGAAATAGAGACGAAGTAAAGGCCATCCATCCCTGGCAACTCATCGGGCTGTTCCATTCTTGGTGTGGGAAAAATAGCAAAACATCTAATTACAAAACAAACGTAATCACAATTCGTCGGTAATTATTATTAAATATTGAATACGTAAATTTTTCAATTTTCGTCCATTATACCAAAGCTCAAGTTAAACTGGTCGATTTGAAGTAAAACAATTGACGACACCCGTCAATTGTTTCGAATTCGGACTGGCCAATCGGAGCGCAGTTGTCACCTTAATGATTTGGCAGAATACTTTTCAAACAAATGAAACGACATTTCGTCTCTATTTCTGGTTATATACTCGATGCTACGTACGGTAATAGAAAATATGACAGTTAAATAAGAAGCTATATTAGTCAATATCTGATGTTGTCATTGAATTTCACGTAAGTCATATATCTGTAGACGCGCCAACAGGGATCGAAAATAACCATGGTTTCAAGTTTTTCTGATCTAAAATGTTTATTCACTACATAAAATTAACATTAATTTTAAGAAAGCGTTACGCTACCCATACATACATACAATGTATGTATGGGTATGTAACGCTTTCTTGTCTCTATAACGCCGAACGGGGCGCGGCGGACCGACTACATCTAGTTTTTTTGGGAGTAGAACCGACTACGTTGTCGGGGACACGCTGAAATAAGACACTGCAAACCTGTTTCTTTGAGTTTTCCACAACATTTGCCTGTTTCTCAGTTTGCCCTAACGTCATTTCTTTTTTGTGATACATTAAACCTTACAGGTGGCGCGTACGCCGACGGCGCGCCCGGCGGCGTGTCCGGCGCGCCGGCAAATTTTCCAAAACTAAAATCTTGGTCAGACAGATACTAGGTCGCAAGTCTTCAGAAGATAGAAATGAGCACACCTCATTAAGAGAAATATTGCTACCACTAGTATAATAAGGGTGTGTCGCTACTGTGCCGATGACAATGAGGTTCTAGGTTCTGCCTAATTAGTCAATTGCACCAACACATCCTTGTATCAAATTTGCACTTATTACACCAAATTATATGTAACATAACAGTATATTATATTTTGGAATGTTATATTTTTGATACATTTTGTATGTTTGGAAGTCAATATATATAAATTTTTATTAAACTTGAGATTTTATTATAATTTCAAACCGTGAAATGTCCATTACCATACATTAATTTTCTAATTCCATTTACAGCATGTCGGCATGCAATGTCATTCGCTTAATCGACATTTTTCTAGGATGTTACTAAAGTGGGAACAAGGGAATAAAAACAAAAGTTTATATGGCACAGTTCCAGTTTATTTTTTTAATGTTACATGTGCTAGATAAAAAAAATACATTACCAATTAGCGAATTTTTTGTGTTTCATGTCATCTATATTTTTGCATAGTATGCCAATACAATCTTTGTAATCAGACCGCAATTAATAAGCATGGTCGCACCACAAAATGTACAAACAGTACTTTTCAACATTACAAACTTAAGTTTGTATGGGACCTATGCACGTCGCCATGATCAATTTCAAATCAAGAATTGTTACTGTTTGTATACAATTTGGTACCTTGCAATGGAAAACTGCGAAAACGATATCTATTCTAGACGGTATTTTGTCAAAACTGCCAGACAATTTTTTCGGCAAACAAAATGAAAGTATAACTGTTATGTAATTTTACATAAGCTTTTGAAAGTGTTTAAGATAATTTGTAAAATACCTAGAAATTTCATAAATTTCCTGAAAACTTTAGGAAAATTAAGTAAAAGGCAGGCAGGTAAGATAATAACTTTAACTTTCAGCAGTTTTAAAATTGATTATAAAATAACTAGATGTCACGGCATAAGATAGTGGAACATTATAAATTGAATTATTCTTTAAACCTTTTTCTTTTGTAAGCAACAGAAGTATAGGTACGGGGATGTCACATAATGGTGCAGTTAAAATCTTAAAACGTAACAATCGGAATTTGTTTCTTCAAACGCATCCACGCGTTTCAGGCTCTTTACAGGCCATGTCAACCGTGACCACGGGACCTGTAAAGGACCCATAACGTTTTGTTTATACGCGAGGCGAAACTGCCTTCGTGGCCGAACGATTACCATGCCGGACTGCCACGCTGAGGTCCCAGGTTTGATTCCCGTGCCGGGAGAAATATTTGTATGGCCTACATTTATTTCTCTCGTGAGTTTAGATGTAATTTGTGGTTGTCTGCGTGTGTCTATGGCACCCACGACCCAGGGTTTCACACTATGTTGAGTGTGTGCGTTGTTATTATTATTATTTTAAACAAAAAAAATAGTTTCATTTCCAACTTAAGATAAGTAAAATAAGGTCTTAATTCACTTATTAGTTTTGTGTATAGGCTTAATTTATTTTTACTTACATTATGTCTGTCAATTTCGCAACATTATTCATATGAGCCATTAAAATGACTTCTACACCATTACAGAACCTCCTCTATACAGATGTTGACTTAATTGCTTTACATTATTAATACACGAGTAAGTTTTACTATGTACTAACCAGTTCAACTTGCTTTATGTGCTACTAAGGCCCAAGGTAAGACTAAAGCGACTTATTTCGAGAACAATCTACATCTTGTGACATGTCGCACGTTGAAATCAATACAGTCACTAAATGAAAATCTCGCTTTTTTCATCTAGACATTATTTCGACAGTGGCGTCAAACATGTTAGTGTGGTCCCTTTGCGCAACAATATCAATAAAGTCAAAAGAATTACTTAAAAAACATTTAACTTTTACTGCAAACAGTTTACGAAATATAGTACATAAATGTAATAGTAAATATTCCTAGAAGCTGAATAAAATTTGGCAAATTATTAAAAAGATTATTTGAAAGTAGCGCCTAATATCTTTGAAAATAAAAAAAACGAAGTAATAAGCATTTTGCCAAGCAGTAACGTGAGCATTATTGCGTTTCGGTTTTATATAAGGATAAGGGTGGTGGTGAAATTACAGCTCATGTCAACTCGTGTCTCACGGCGACTGGCGTAGTGCCAGTCCCCTCTGATCTTTACAATTTAAACCTGGAGTGGCACTGCAACTCCTATGGACAGGAGAGTCGCTCACCACTTCGTTTGTTCGTCCCATCACACGGGATCATTAAACAAATCACAGACTTTAATCGCAATTTCCCGAAAATTGAGTTTTTTGTACAGTGACAATATCGATTTGAACGTGCGATATCACTCCTCCCATCACTAATTGTCATACCACACTTTTGTCCTGACTTATCTTACTCCGCTTTTAAAAGCGTATGTCCATTTAGTCGTTACGTCTACAGAAACAATTCATTGAACTACAGCCCAGGGTGTAAAGAAACTGTGTTAAAACGGATAGGCATTTTAGTTAGTCACGTAAGGGACGAAACGTGTCGATTGTCCATTGGCCTCGGACCTTAGGCGTAAAAAAGTGCCTTGAGGTATTATAGCAATAGAAATGTAACATTTGATCTATTTGTACAATATTGTCCAATGAGCGATTGTCACGCCCTATAATCTGGGCTTAAAAAGCGTTAAAACACAGAGATGTGATGAAAATCAGAATTTGAAGTTAGCTACGTGCGCAAAACAGCAAGAGACTGGCGTTAACACAAAATGCAAAAACCGACAAGGCAATTTTGGACTTGAAGTTTTAACTGTTCTTTGATAATCAGGAACATAGTAATAACTTTTTTGTGGTGTTTCATGCATCTCCACTCCAATCAAACACTTGTAATAATAATGATAACATAGTCTATCAAAATTGTAGAAATTGTTACATAAAGAAACGTATGTAAGGTACTAGAATTCAATTCACCATTTTGACACGCGGTGAACCCAAATAATCATGACTGTATTTAAACGCAACTTAAAATACGAATTGAATATGAAAAAAAGATACATCGAAAATGAAATCCCTTTTTATTGACTTAAAACCTATAAGTTCATCAAGGATTTGTTTCAAAGAACTTGTACAAAATTAAAATACATCAAAAAAGTCATGTTAGATAGAACATCTCTAATGCCATAAATAGTATTAAAAACTTTTACCACTTCTCTGTGTCAAAAACGCAATTGGAAGAGGCTAGTCAGCCCTATGCAATAAATAAAAAAGATAATTAAATTAATAAAAAATAAGTTCGTAGCGTTATCCTATATATACAATGTTACTTATACCTAACAAGCATCAACTATTAACGTTCAACATGAAGGCACATTGTTTCGCACCCGTCTCCCAACGAGTTGTCGCGCTCCTATGTACTTTGCTATGTACTGTGGACCGGACATGCTTACTTACACTATTTACATACATTATTCATATTTAAACCTGACAAAGAACATAATAAAGATGACTTGTGTCATAGTTACAACAAAACAAGTATAGTAACTCCGTACAAACGTAGCAGCAGGACTATCATGCATGTGTACGCGCCCACCGCATGCCGTCTTTGGACGCACACATTTGCATAATCTCGCAAATTCGTTCGCGTTGCATAGCGGTGGTCGTCTAACGCGCCTTTCGTTATTATGTGAATGTGTGCATCCCTACACAGCTCGGCGAACGTGTCACATACAAGCTGCGCGTGCTCCTTTTTTTTTGAGTTACTAATACTTGTTTTGTTATACTGTTGTGTTCTAAAACACTATCAAATGATCGGAATGAAGGCTGCACTATGTGGCGATGTGTCGCAACGGCAGCAACATTGTCAAACGTCACTTAGGACACAATGTTAGTAAATTAGGTTTCAGAAGAGCTTGGCAATCTTTATTATGATCTTTATCACACTATAGCTCCAATACTGTAGTATTGTGTTTGTCATATCGTGAAAATACAGGAAAGTTCATTCATTTTAAGGAGACAATTTAGTTTAAAATTTTGCTTTAGCAAATCTGGACTAAACAGTTGTGTAACATCGCGAAATGACAAACGAATATTACATCATACATAAGTAGTAATGAGAGCATTGCTTTGTAAGTACTGCAAATTGCAACACATGTTATATTGAACGAATGATAAATAAAACCGTATATCTTTGTTTAAGACACAGATTAGTTTGAACTTATAGTACCGGCACGCTATGATGGCCGTTTTGACGTTTGTCCGCGTCAAGTTTCGTATTAATTCATAAAGGCTTTGATTTGTTTAACACAAACTGTGCGTACGATAAGGTGTTATCCAATTATTTTTTTATTACTAAAGTAATTTAATTTGCATAATGTTACATTGCTTCTACAATGTGTCATGTGTGTGTGTACAATGTCGTTTAGTTGTTTAGTGTTGTCAATGCCGTATTTTGCTATTGTATTTTTATCAGAAGGGTACTGTTTTTGCTTATAATTATTTAATATACGAGTTCTTAGGTTTTCACGATTGTTACACATAGGAAATGAAACTATTTTACCGGACTTAAAACCGCGAACCGACGTTTCGGGCCCTTTACAGGACTCTAGGGCGCGCGCACGTTTGTTCTTGAGGTCTTCGAACCGCCGGATTTTATTAGCAACGGCCAGTCCATACTGGTGTACATATCGCGTTTTTAGGTTTTCGCGATTGTTACACATAGGAAATGAAACTATTTTTCCGGATTTAAAACGCGTATATTTGTTTTTTCAAACAAACCGACGTTTAATTTTGAGTCAACCGTAACCATTGGACCTGTTAAGAGCCCGAAACGTTGGTTTGTTTGAAAAAACAAATATACGCGATTTAAATTCGGAAAATAGTATCATTTCCTATTATTTAATATAGTTTCTATTACAATGTGATACAAGCTGTTTGTACCCTCTAAAATAAAATAAATAAATAACTACGTCGAAGGAACTAAGTGCTGCACATTGTTGTCAATAGTGACATGCAATAAAATGTATGGAATGTATAATTTTAAGACACAACTCGGCATTGCAAAACAAGGCATTTTCGAATGACGTTGCTTCGGTTCATTGAAATATACTAAGCAAACATTTCTGTTTTGCTTTTATTACAACTTTTTAATCGGCTACCCCTTGCAGTACTAGATAAAAATTTAAAAACCTATGGATGTGACTCGCATTTGATTATAGTTTTTTCGAGAATGAATTGAGATTTCACCTCACTATTGTAATCTGTCAAAACGGTCATCATAGCGTGCCGATACTATAATTATTACCTTACATCCATTGACTATTTGTAAGTCAATGCTTACATCCCTCTTATCAGTGTACGCATCCGACAGACGACCAACAAGCACCTTAAAATCATTTAAATAAAGCTGGTTAATATCAAATTTAAAAGAGATATTTGGTAGTTTTACACGCTCAGATCATTTCGAAGTTGACCGCATCTTAATGATGTATTCATTCGTTCAATGTAACACACTTTGCAAATGAAGACTAGTTGATTCGATACAATTTGGAAGTATTGGGACACTCAGTCTATTTTCGTATTATCCATTAATTAAATTATAAAATTGTGACACATATTTCTTGACCAACTTAGTTCCAAAAAAAATAATTTGTTAACATTTTAATATTTTAAAATTGCTGCTGATATTGTCGTAATTAATTTCCGAAATCCCAATGATCTTGTTTTTTAAGTTAGGAATTTTTGTTAGAAATTACTGATTTAGTTATAGATAAAATTTGTGGAAAAATATAAAATAGTAATTTCAATATTTGAAATATTCTTCATCGCATTGCTTTTTCTGTAAAAATAAAATGACGCTATAAAATCAGTAATTTCCAAAAATAATTGCCCTAATATTTCATTACTTCATTTAATAGTTCTTACGCCGAATCCTCAACGGAAATATATCTTTTTTATATTTATTTATTTATTAACATAACACGTCACTATATCTAAATATTAATATTTTTAATTTAAATTATATAAACTAAGCAGTCATTCAAGTAAAACTAGGGTTTATTATAAAAAAAAACTGGCGAACAATGGTGTCGATTCTGATCGTACATTTCTAAAAACTAAATCAGGTTTATGTTATCTTGTTTTGTAATCCATTAGCTTGATACTCAAGTGTTATTTTACTTACAAGTTTATAGTGGCTGCAAAGGTGCAATTGAAATGCAACTACCGAAGCTGTTCGAAATCGATGATTCGGAACTTCTTTGCACAAATGTGCACAAACAATTCTAGAGTCGGCGGACTAAAGAACATAAGTCAAAAAATGCTTCATTTGTTAATACATATTTTTTGTGTTGTTTATAGTGTTGAAAGATGTGAAGAGGATAAATTTGAAAAAGACTCCTCAAGAATAAAGTTACAAGTTTATGAAGTAACAAATGAATTTGACTTATGTGCTTTAGCCGGTAGATGTATTATTTTAAATGAATGATGTTGAATTTTGGCTTATGTGCTTTAGTCCGCCGACCCTAGAATTGTGTTTCTTCGTACGCACGAAGAAAATGTTTAGATATTCAAACAAAATTTACCAGAGAAATGGCACAACCTCTCGTTTCGAGAATTTTGATGGGAGTGACCACGGATCAAACAGTCATAAGTATAATGAAGGAAAAGGTAATTCGAGAACAATACACAATTTCAAAAATAAGTGGCCAGGAACCAGATAAGCGGATGCTGGGATGGCGATGAAGGAGGTCGGCATCGTCACAAGCTATTTCGCCGAAGAAATCTCCACCATAGAAACGAAGACTCCTATCTCTGATTCCAAAAATAAAGTCATTTAAAAAAATATTCTTTCCAAATATCATTCTCTAATAACACTGCTTTTTCGCCGGTTAGTCGGTATGCACTAGGTTAAAGTTGTTTTGCAAAGCAGTCGCGAAATTTCGGGATTTAAAAAAAATTGTAAGTATTCGTTTGAAAACGTATTGTTTTTACACCTATCGAATTTAAGCTTTAGAAATGTACGCAATGATATGGGAACCAAATAGCGATTAAAAAATAAAATCGTACAATAGTAAGCGTACTCTAGCTCCGAGTAAAAAAATAATTAAAAAATAGTAATAACTAACGAGAGGAACAGATTTTACTATACAAATAGCCGCGCGTTGCGTGATTTTAGCATCAATTTTATTGCATACGATGATGATTATTATCACCAATCCGCTACCTTTTCTACACTATATAACGTACTGTAGAAGATAGCAATCACTTTCGACGTCAATGCTTTCGACTGATAATTTAGTGCAAAAATGCGTGCATAAAAATTGTCATATGCGATAATCGCACTCATTTATACTCTCTGTTCCAATTCATAACATTCATTTTTAAATAATTTGTCAATATTATAAAATAAAGCTTCGGCCGGTACTCTAAACTCCTTTATTTACCGGAAGAGCAGAGATTTAGTAGATAATTTTGTTACAGGTATTTTACATTTATTTGTATACTGCATCGATGCATAGTTTCATTCCCTATGTTTGTATTAATAGCGGTTGAAATTTAGTATCCGGTGTTTATAATAATAGAAATATTTGATTTGTTGTAAATTTTAATTTACGTTTGCCATATAACTTGCGAGTCTCGACTATCCCATTTAAAAATTCTAAATTTATCTTTTAGGCAACAAGATAGGCGACTCTAACCGAACCAATAATCCAAGCCAAACAACCAACACATTCACTCGGTCTATTATTGGAGAATCCTCTATACAATGAGTACTAGAGTTGTAGAAGTATTAAAAAAGGTTTCACGTGAAGATTAAGTGGTCAGCAAAAAAATGGTAGTTTGGGTTCATTTTGCCCAAGTATACGGTTTCATACATAACCGGCTATAAAGGCTCGAAATTCATAAAATTGAACTTCAAATAGTAACAATATAAACAAGTCGTTTTCAGTTTCTGAAGCAGTCTCCGTTTATATCTGATAGGTCTACTTAATGTTAAGATCTTTTGAGAAATAACGCAAAAGCGATATTGTTGTGTACCAAATTATACCGAGCACTTGCCTAATAAATAGCAAATGTTTAAATCAGCTGACAAATAAAGAGGAATATTCTGTACCCATAATTTGATACCCGACAGTGTCGCTCTGTATTAATCTATCACCTATCACATTACAAATTATAAAGTATGTATGATGTGAATACAAAGTTATCAGTCGATACAACAGGTGTAACCAACTCATAGCTATTATACATGTCGTGACTAGCTCTTGTGTATGCCAGCAACATATTTACAAAATGTAACCAGATGTAACAAAGTGAATGCCAGATGTAACTAACAAAGATTTTTCATGTAACCTGCTAAGCGTATACGAGATGTAGCCCGCTGAGGGTTCTCCACTTAAAAACCAAACGTGCTTATTACCAGATGTTGACAGCTTAGTTCGTACAGAACGTAACCAGCAATGTGTACAGGCAGCGTAACGTTCACTCGATGCTCTTAACCCGGGCCATGACCTTTCCCTCGAACATGGGCAGCGTGTCGCTGTCGTTGCTAACTTCCTCCTGGATCACCGTGTTGTCCAGATCAGCACATTCGGTTTTGAAGAAATACCTGTTCGACAAATCATTAATTTAGTTAACACTTATTTACTGATCTTCTCATTCATATCGTATCGATTTTTTTTTTTAGAATTCCGATTAAGTGACGGGGCGAACAAGACGTGCACCTGGTGGTAAGCGCCACGCAAGACCTGAGGGATACTGTCTCAGCGCCCGTCACCCTGCGACATTAGTTAACAAGTCTCATGTGTCCGGAATTTCACCAGCACCCTTACTCTTCCAAACCGGAAAGCGGAATTTATTTAATTTATTTATTTATTACGAAAGCAACGGCGTTACGTAAGGTATTTAACATTTAGTATGTAAGCTAAGGGTAAGGTTAATAACAAAAAAAATTATAAAGTAATGAGATGTTAATGTAAACAACTCGCCAAACACGTTAAGTTCAAAACAAACAACTAAAAAAGTGGCCCTTTCCATGTATAATATACTACTACTATATATTGTCGCGGCCCAGAACTTAACCACCGTCACTGGCAAGTGTCATGTCACAAGTGTCATTTGTCGACCGTAGTTCACTGCCCAATAGTCGACGAGATGTTGTCACTGTCAGACACGTCTCGACTACTCTGTCGTCTTCGGCAAGCGACGTCTGGCCAAATAAGTTTCAACGTGGTCGTGACCCAATACGATGCGCGTTACCGAGGGCCGGGGAATATATTGACCTACCAAATTAGTTTGTTGAACATTTCGACGAATTTCAAGCAACGGGACGAACAAGTCGTGCGCCTGTAGGTAATTTATACGCCTGTCCATAACAGTTACAATGCCACTCAGAGCTTTAAATCGCAAAAATCTTAAGGGCACTGTCACTGCGTCCGTGACCCTGAGACGTAAGTTGACCAAGTCCCATGTACCTGTAATTTCACAAGGAGGTCTACGGCTTCTAAATCTGTGTACAAACTTGTTTTTATACTGATTTGGTGATCCCTGTCACCCTGTGCAAACACGCCATAAAAATGGCATGGCACAGAAATAACCTTTTACTCAATTGCGTGGGTATTAATGATTGAAGATATATATAAATCTTAATATAACTGACCTATAGTTTCCCTTCCTGGGCAGGTAGTCCTTAAAGGTCTTCAGCGTAAGCGGCGAGGCAGGCACCTTGAATCGGTATGGCACCGCCTCATCCAGAAACGACACCACCACCACCGTCTGCTGATCCCCGCTGGCGCCACCCGCCACTGTTGTCGTGCCACCGCCGCTTGTACTGCTTGATTTGCTGCCGCTGCCACTGAATTTACAAATGTTAACAAGATAGTAAGTATTATAGATGTGCATTTTTATTTATCGTAATTTTGGTTAGAAATCATTGCTACGTAACAGTAGGCCTAGATAAAAATATATTGATTCCGTGCGTCTTACTAACGGTTAAAGATTCGCCATTAATATATTGAATTCAATTTTTATTGGACACTACGAATAGCAAACGTCATGCAAAGCTGCGAATTCGTCGAATTCAAAGACGTTCCACAAAAGCTCCTGAAAGTCCGCTTGCTTGAGAGAGCTTCAACATGAGTAAGTGTTTATTTGAGCTTTTTTTTTCTTACTGCGCTATAGGTATTAAGCACACGTACGAATATACAAACACCTATATAGTGTCCCCGATGGTCAGAGTGATGGTCAGACTTGACAGGGTAGTGGGAATTTTTTTCTCACTGTCCAGATCAAGTCGTGATTTATCACGGTATAACAATTAATTAACTTTTATATTCAATGTGATATATTGATTAACGTTGGTTATACAGTGATTTTTTTTTAATGAGACAATATGGGAAAATCCGTAACCATAGAAGGTACAATGAGACTCTTAGCAACCACTAAGTTTTGTTTTGTGAAAACAATTTTGACATAGTAAATTATTTGGTCAAGCGTGTTTTTCACAAAAATTAATAAAATTAATCAACATTTTTTTAGTGCTGATCGACTCAATTTCATGAAGCGATCATTTCATTGTAAAAATCAGAACAACAAAAGTTGGCGAATTTCATGAAATATTTCTCATACAAAATGAATTGACAATTGACAATTTTTTTCAAATGCTATAGACTCAGTTTTTTATAAAGAAAAAAATCGGAACTGCAGAAATTGCTCTAATTTAATTTAATTATTTTTCATATATAATTAATAACGTTTTGTTGTTTCGTTTTCCTTGTATATTCTATGATTCCGAATTTTCCCATACTATCCGACTTAAAAAGAACACTCTGTATATTAGGCTTGCGGAAGTTTACTCGCGCTGAAAGTTAGCCGTGTAAACGGGCCTTAACACTTCAGCGTCAAGGACTTTGATCAAGATCAAAACAGGTAAGGTAAGACAGGTCTTACCGTTGTCGTTGCTTATCGCGACGACGGTCATCTCTATCGACAGACGATCCGCGCGACGAGAGTTCCCTGTACCCGCGTCGTTCGAGCCGCTCGGAACCCTCGGCGATCCACAGCAGAATACGGGGCTCTACACCACCTGCACTCGTTGTTCCTTCGCTCACTACTGACACTCCACTGTCGGTTAATTCTGTCACCGTCTTCTTAGAGAATGACCTGTGAATAGATATTGTGATATTATAATACATTGAAGATTTTTGTACGATAGAGACGCAGCAGCACGAGCGGTATTCAAGTGTTTTCGATACGTGAATTTTCGGCGTCTTTGTCGCCGTGGGGATATTGCTAGTATATTTTTTTATTCAATTATTTTACCGTCAAGAATGACAATAAAGTAATTGAAAAAAAAAATATAATTATTCTTATTCTTACAATGGTATTGATCTTGCAATAGGCCATACAAAGGCTAAAATGGCGTTCTAGGCCATTGTGAGAGAGTATTTTGTGTTACAGTATTCCGACTCCCCACTTTCAAACTCGATCGAGAAATAGATGACAAAGCTGCTCGATTTTACTATTACTTAATAACATAACAATAATAAAGGTAAAAGAAGACAACAGAATTGTAAGACAAGTAAATCTAATAAATATAAAATATTTATAAATAATCAAATAAGACAGATTACATACATAGAAAGGAGTAGACTTAATAAATGGACCTCGGCACTTTTCCGTATTTCAGATCTCGCCTAAAAATCGCTCGTGCGTCAAGTCCCTCATCGTAAGGTCCATTATCCAACAAAGCTGAGACATGTTTTAATAACCAATAGCACGTCTTTATTTTGACATAAAGAAAACAGTGAAAATAAAGACACCTATTGGTAGTCTAAACACGTTGTTATCGATGGATAGCAGGTCTAAAAAGCCTGGACGATTTAACAAATTGTGACGCTCGTACACGAAAACACATAAAAGGTGAATTTTTACTTTTAAAGTGGCAGCGGAATTTTAATGCTCTGAAACATAAACATTCAATGTGTTGTGCCAAAAAAATTGAATCGTATTGGTGTACCAACCCGTGTTCTTTTCTCTAGGACAGTGATTCTTAATTTAGGGTACGCGGTTCCCTGCAGGGTCAAAGAATATATAACCAAGAGGTACGCAGATTCAGCAACATAAATAAAATTACAAAAACCTCGTTTTCGGTCAGTAACAAAAAAAATTGGGGAGTCGCTGTTCTAGAGAGAGAGTAATTAGGCGAACACACTATCTATATGAGGTTTGGCGCTTTCCGAATATAAAAATCCACCTTATTAAAAGCCAATAGTCGCAAAAATGTGCATGCAAAAACATCTAGAACGTACATCTTTTCAAAGAATATATCTCAAATATTTAACAAGGCTATGACACTCTAGTCTTGCAAAATATTTTTAATTCTATTAACAAATCAAAATAAACTGCGATAGCGCGATCGCTTCTGCAACGAGCATAACGCCAAGCCACTCTTTGAACGGTTCTTATAAGTAAGCGTAGTTTGATGACGTCTTCAGTATTTCGAGAGGTACCTTTGTATCGACGGCATCAAATTATAGTAAAATTCATTCTAAGGCTACGGGTGTAGATCATAATTTTGAAAAAATGTGCGTCCATACCAAAATACATGCTTTTTATTGTGCGTTACCTAATAATAATTGCGACTTGTAGCCTAGTCCAGACAGACCTGTCCGTAAACACTGAATTTTGAATGAAAACAGGTTATGACACCAATTCACCTAGTTCCAATGAAATGTTTGAATAATTGCTGTAGTTGTTATGATTATGTTATACTCGAATGCTAGTAGTTAGTGGATGGAACGTACATATCTCGATCAGATAGGGAATGTCTTTAAAATAGTACTAGAAATAAACGAGCATATATAAAGTGATGCGAGTAGAAAAATAGAAAAAGTAAACTTCAAAACTCTGCACGTGATGGATTAAGTTCGAAAAAATGTATACGACTAAAACGACGGAAATTAAATAATCTGTATTTTTTTACATCGTAAATTAATATTAGTAGAGTATTATTCTATTCACCGATTTCAAAAAAGGAGGAGTTTCTATGTTCGACTGTGTATATTTTTTATGACATACAAAGGTCGAAAAACGCAAAGAAAAATTCCTTCAATCTGACTGGGTTCGAACCAGTGTCTGTTGCCATACCAGGGCCATCGCTCTTGACCAACTGAGCTTCAGATCGAATCAGCAGATCTTATAAATTTCTATATGCGTTTGTTTTGTACATAGCAATGGGTTTAAACAAAAATTTGTGTAAAAACTTTTAAATAATAAAAAAAAATAAAAAATGTCCACACGATTTCTCACATCGATGGGATCACCACAAAAATGTGGCAGACATTTTGTAAATTAATATAAAGCAACACCGGTAAAAAAAATGAATATTTAAACAAATACATTTCTTTTATTTTACTGCAAAATTCTTTGCATAACGCTCTTAAAAATACAAACATCCTTTTTTCCTTTACTAGGGCATTACGTATGTACATGTCGGGTAGTCCGCACCGGGGTCGGATTTTGGTTTATACAGGTGAGCACATAGAGGCGATCGTTTCGGTTCGCGAAAAGGAACAGTAGACATACCTGCGGGTGAGGGAGTGCGAGTGGTGCAGCTGGTCGGGCGGCGCGTCGTAGTGGCCCGAGTCGGCCGACAGCGCGGACGGCGCACGGCGGTGCGCGTGCGGCGCGTGCGGCGCGTGGCGGGGGCGCGCGCGCCTGGTGCCCGGCGGCGACGCCCCGGGCGTCCGCTCGGACCAAACCCGGCTGACGTGCTGGTCTGAACGCCCGATCAAAATTAAACTCATTTTACATCGAGTTCTTAGGTTTTCGCGATTCTTACACATAGGAAATGAAACTATTTTTCCAGATTTAAATCGCGTATATAGACCCCTCCCACGTAAAGTATCGTATGTCGAAATTGCCAAGTTTACAGGGGAGCGTTTTAAAGTTCTCCGTTTTATTCGGCAAAGCTCGTTACTCACATAGAGTGATCAGATCTAATAGATCATCTAACCGATATCTAGGATTTTATAATACACTATGTGAGTAACGAGCTTTCCCGAGTAAAACTGAGAAATGCTAAAGTCACGTGTTATGCTTATTTAAGTGAATTCAGAACTTTAAAAGGCTCCACTGTAAACTTGGCAATTTCGATGTACGGTACCTTACGTAGGAGGGGTCGATATTTGTTTTTTCAAACAAACCATGGTTTCGGGCCCTTTACAGGTACCACCTCAGTCAACCGTGACCATGGGACCTGTAAAGCGCCCGAAACGTTGGTTTGTTTGAAAAAACAAATATCGCGATTTAAATCCGGAAAAAAGTTTCATTTCCAAAACTCATTTGAGTTCATTTATTTATGGCACGTATTTGAATGATCATTTTAAATTTGTAAAAAAGCAGCAGACAAAAAATCTAAACGATCTTCTTTTTTTAACGATTGATCATTTTTCTCTGAGACATAAAAAAATTAAATGAATCGATATTTTAATCTCAGCTACGCAAAAAATGCTTGTATAAATTAACTTTGATAGTTTTATGTTGGACTTCAAAACTAAGACAAATGAGCATTAAAAATAAAATTTAGATACTTGTTTTTGAAACTAAGTAAATGTTGATTACATTGCATTTACAATAGATCACTTTGAGGATCAAATAATATTATCCCTCTATTTATTGCAATTCACATATAGGTACCCTTAATAATTCTCATCAAACATAATATGAAACAGTTCAATTCATTTAAACACTTCATATTACGAAACAGCAGTGTCTGGAGACAGGGGTTAGTCCGAAACAACTACTGTCAAATAAGTAATACTCGATCAAATCAAAAAACAATGTTAACAGTGATTTTAAGGTAAGTTTTTTGTACTCAATTTTGGTGACATTTTTTATTATTTAATTACTCGAATATACCATCGTGAAACATTAAAGAATATTTCAGGTTACCACACTCGAATATTAAATAATACTTCATGATGATATTCTAAAAATATTTACACAAAAAGAAATTGTCACCAAAATTGAGTACAAAAGACTTGCCTGAAATTTTACAGAAATTGTTTTAGAAATTTATTAAATATTTTATCACATTGTTCATTTTTTAATTGATCGTTTAATTAACTATAAATTTTTATTGCCATTGAATTAGGGCTAGTGCTGTGTGCATTTTTTCGAAACCTTGTCTCAAAGCGTCCAATTATTTCCAAGTCCCAAATTCCAAAGAAACTGAAGCTAGATTATTAAATTTTTAAACAATGAGGGCCCTAAAGGCCCAAACATTTGTAATTTTTACCTGTTTCTCTGTTATATAAATGATTTGTGTGATATCAATATAGAAAATTGCAACATACGCTGACGATACCACACTTACTTTTTTCGGAGACACATGGGACTCAGTATTTGCCCTCGCACAACAGGGTTTTACCCTTATTTGTCAGTGGCTGGCTCTACATAGCCTAACTTTGAATGCCTCTAAATCCAAATATATGACATTCTCCATTCGAGACGATCGGACACTCGCCACTGCATAGTTGTTCACTCCTGTTTTGGTTCAACCGACTCAATCTGTAATTGCCCGCGTCTAGAAGATACGAAAAGCTTCAAGTATCTTGACGTTACGTTGGACAGTAATTTGTTGTTTGACGAACATATAACAAATCTTGCTCATAAAGTTCGTAAACTTACTTACGTGTTCAAAAATCTATCAATAAATATTGGTGATCGTCAAGTCATCAAGACAGTGTACGTAGCATTATGTCAGTCTGTAATTAGTTATTGCATAACCGTGTGGGGCGGAATACCAAAGACGCGTATGTTAGAGTTCGAGAGATCCGAGAGAGTCATCCTCAAAGTGGCACTATTTAAGCCACGTTTGATCTCAACAAGAGATCTTTACTCGGAGACCGGAGTGTTGACCGTAAGACAGTTGTAAGTTCTTTTCTCCATCTTACGACAGCACACATATGTAGATGGTTTATATTTCGGAACACAAGTTTGCATTAAAGCGCCGAAATTATATGGTATGTAACGTGGTGTCGGTCACAACGTCGTTTGCTCAAAGATTTTTTCGCTTTTTAGGGCAGTAAACTATACAACACAGCAAACAAAATACTATCGATTTATTTCAAATCTAATCCAGAGCTTCGAAAAACTTTATCAAACTGGTTACATGCACTCAGTTATGAGGAAACCGAAGACCTTCTACGAGTATTATATTGAGTTTAGTCCGTCTCATGCTATATACTTACATACATCATCACACAGGCACAAACAAGCACACTCGCGCAAAGGCACGTGACAACGTACACGATCACGCATACACACATACGTAATCCCTTCCAATATTCCAATATTTTGCATTTTTGAATTTTTTAATAATTTCTAATTTATTTGCCTTTTGCTTATGACTCTAGGTAAACAATGAGAGTATTTTTTGTCATTACCTATCTAATAACATTATTTTGTTTACTGACTGTACTATTTCCGAGAAGGGGAGCCAGGAGTGCCATAGCACAGGGCTTACCTAGTTTGGGCTCCTGCCTCCCATATCAAATCTCTATGTTCAATTATGTACTTATATTTTGTAATGGTTGGGAGAAAATAAATGATATTATATTATAATTCCTGTTCTCTGTATATTATAATTGTTGTTCTGTATGCGCAAATATCAAAAACGCAGTGGCAAATATCACCCTAATGGAATAAAATCATCTTAACTCACCGAGTATGTCCTGGTCGTTATCGTCGTCGAGTTGCAGCTTCTCTCGGATAGCAGCCGCCACTAACTGCGGAGGTAAAGCCTGCGTCGCTTCTTCGCCATCGCCCTTCATTACGATAAAACAAAAAAATATTATTGAAACTATCAAGTGCACAAAGAAAACAAGGTAATTTTCAGAAATTGTTTTATACTCAAATTCTTCAGTTATTATTAAATATATTATCGATTACACAGCTATAACATAAAAGAACTTTACCAAAATACAGTCAATTTCAGCGAATTTTTGTTACATAAAAAAATAAACTAAATCAAAATTTTATAAAAACGGACTAAAAAAATCAGTTCGGCGACAAGACTAGCGAGGAGTGAGCAAGATAAACGAAAATGCACGTACCAGTTAATTCAAAAGTGAAAACAAAGTATGAGATGTGCACGAGCATGAAAAATCCGACAATCATCATCATATACAACCTGATTTCACCCACTACTGGGTATAGGCCTCAAAAATCAAAGGTATAATATGATGGTATATTCAAGTAATTAAATAATAAAAATTGACACTAAAATTGAGCACAAAAAACTTACCTGAAAATCAGACAATACTAGAAGTAATTTAAAGGAAAGGCGCCAAAAACAAGTACATTTAAATTTAGACTTTTAATTTAAAATAAACAGATAAATAGAAAACATAAAAGATTTATACTATGGACTTGGACTTGGACTTGGATCAACCTTGTGTAAAAACAACTTAAAAAAACGAAATAATTTTTTTTTCATTTTCATTCTTTTCATTTATACCATTGATATTGTAACTAGTATTTTTAGTCTATCTTAAGCCCGTATTATATATACATACATAGCTTTCCATCCGCATAATTCCATCCAAACGTATATACTCATCTTAAATGGATCTTAATTCGGTCATTCTCGGATTAATAGTGTTCACTACCTAATTTCCGCGGCAATTTTTATTATTTAAATATTTAAGTATATTTTCGTGTAATTATTATATAATATTTCACGGTACAATACTCGAATATTAAATATTGTTGCAGGATAAAAAATCCAATACTTAAATAATAAATATTGCCACGGAAATTAGGTAGTGAGCACGAGAATGACCGAACTACCTTTATTAAGGAATGATATCATAAAAAAACCAACATGCATTGAAGGATATTCATTAAAAGACCTGTGCCCAGAAGCTGCACGTTCACAGGTTGATGATTAACTGAACTTGTACTGACCTCCTGGAGTCTTCTTTCCAGGCGCTCCTTGGTGTCCTGGTCGCGTTTCACGCGTTCTAGCTTCTCGATGAGCAGCGGCGCAAATTCCGCCGGCGGTAGGACGCGCAACGCCTCTGACGAGACGCGTTGCGTTCGAGGGATTACCTGATATGTACTCGTTAATTAATGTCTTGTACCATATCAGGCCTACGACAGTTTCTCATGCATCTTTTACAAAAACAAGAAGGTTGGAGCGAAAGAATCATACACACGTAAAATGGAAATTTCCTTTTTTAAGCTGAGTTGATAGATGTTACATGTTGAAGGAGGATTTCCTGACGTTAAAAAGCCACCATAATATACTACCATTCTGTTAGGCCATTGTTTTCAAAATTATAGTTCCATTTTCATATTTAACAATAAAAAAAGAAAATAAAAAAGTAATGCCCTGTTAGAAATAACTGGGTTCCATTTTAAACTAATTCTCAACATTCTTAGAGGAGATTCGTACTCAGCCGTGAGACGTAGGGTTGATGATGCTTGTGATTGTGATGAGGTAAAACTAGTAGGTTATAGTTAGTGATCGGAATAGACTATTCCAAACACATAGATAGATAAATGAATTCCCTGCCTGCAAACTTGTTCCCTGAACGTTATAACTTGGACCTTTTCAAGGCGAGAGTGAATAGGCATTGTTTAGGTGTGGATGCTCCATCGTCGACCTCATCGTCACTTTCCGTCAGGCGAGATGGAAGTCAAATGCGCACTTAGTTTTTAATTAAAAAAAAGATTCTTCTTTAAAATAAAATGTTGGAATCTTACCATGCCGGTGTCCTGCTCCTTGTTGATGACGGCATACTTGTCCATGCCGGGCAGTCGCGGCCGATGCCGTTCACGCTCGCGCACGCCGCGAACCGACATGCCATCTCTGTACACGCAATACACAGTCTGAGTAAGTTCAATAACAATTAAATTATGAATAATATTTATCACGTCGGGGTCACCAGTAACTCTTGCTATTACTTGTTACGCATGATTAAGGAACGGAATTAAAATCATTCGTGGAAACGCTGAATGAAAATCAATTAATGTGTAAATTGTTACGCAGTATGTGTTTGTATGTATTTGAGGTCCTGACTATCTGAATCTAACTGCGGAGTAAGATGAAATATTCAGAAGTTGCTTTATTAATCTATACATAGGTACAAGTTTTAACTTTGATTTTGCCACGTATTGCAATCATATTTCATAATAGAAATTAAAACTTGCTTTAATTATTATTTTATTATTAATATTATTATTTAGTTATTTATTTAGTATTTTAATACAATCATTTTCTTTTTCATTTGTATATATGCAATATGTGTATTCTGTTGCGCCCTCAAATAATTTTATCTTACAGTTTTTCGTGTAACCCGAAGGTTGCCTGGAAGAGATTGCTATTTAGCAATATAACATTTGTATTGTATTGTTTCCAACCCACATCGGAGCGGGATCTTATTTTTATATCCAAGTCGTGATTCAGATATAATAAGTTCATGAATTTGTTAAGAATATGCAATGACGTGCGTTCAACGAATATATAGTTTATAGAACAGTTTTACTACGTCTGTCATTTAGAGCGTACCAAATATTGATGCCCATATTGTTATTGTTGTAACGATTAAAAATATACTCTACAATATACATCTGTTAAAACGTCAATGGCAAATGAAACTAAGCAGTGCAAAAATAAGGATTAACCAAAAGATAACTAACTGGATGAATAAAAAAAGGGTTTGCAAATTATTGAACTACTGTAAAGGCACTCATAAAAAAACTTGACAGGGTAAGGAAACTAGCCTCAAATACTATAATGCTACAATTTCAAGCTAGTAGGGTTATTACTAGTTGCTGGGTGAAGAATACAGTCCTTTGCATCGTGAACTTGTAAATTGTGTTTGTACTCACGCGCTGTTTTAACTGACGGTCATGCTTGTTCCCAAACAGTGGTTAGAGAAGAAAATTACCGCGTCATCATCGTGAACTAAATTTTCTGTAAACTTTCTGTAGTAAACCGAGTTTTGGTACAAGAAGAACTGAGTTGCTGCCTTATGAACTGAGTTTCAATTTGAGAAAGAACACTGCAGATCAGCAGAGAGCATCGTGAACTGAATTTTCTACATAGTAATCCATGTTTCCTGCTGGTAGTGGACCGTGTCACTGCACTGTCAACCGAGTTTACTCACACGCTGCAGAGCCGTCTACCGAGTGTTCTGCGTAGTGGACTGAGTTTGCTGTATGACGAACTAAGTTTATACTCACATGCTGCAGATTGCCAGAAATGAGTTTTCAGCATAGAGATCTGAGTTTGCTGTATAATTAACGGTATCACCGCATTGTCAACCCTTACTCACATGTTGTAGATCATTTGGATGAGTTTTCTGGATGGTGAACTGAGTAGCTGCATGAACTACGTGCATACTCACACACTGCTGCCGGACAAGCTGACGGCGTCGCTGTCGGTGCGTCCGCTGCTAAGACTGGCACGCTCCGAATCCTGCCGCGAGGCGGGGCAGTAACCCGCGTACGTCACGTGCGCGCTGTACACCGACGGCTTGCGGTGTCTGCTCTTACCACCCGATAGGAGTAACGGGCCGATGGAATGGGAACGGGGTATGTTTTCGGTGTAATTGGAGGAGATAGTGTCGAGGATAATAATGATTACAGCGAAAATATTAGAAATATTTAGCGTAAATATTTGTAAGGGGTAATTGAAGACATGGTAATAAAAATATCAGATTCGAATGATATAAGTAAATATTAAGAAAAAAAAAAGATAGACGTTCGTTAATAACGTAATGATGACGTTTAATTTTAATTTTTCATATAATTAAGTTGAATTTGGAAATTGGAAAACGGTACACGAACGGATAAAGGGTCGATTTCAGGAGTAGATTTTGTGATATTTATTGTAAAAACAACAGTAGGATAATAAGTAAAAAGGTAAAGGGCAGAGTGGTAATACAGCGTTTAGCGTGAAAACGAACGGCAGGGCAGCATGCAGCGCGGGACACACATGGGGGCAAACAACACGAACATAAGTAAAGCTAAATAACGAAATCAAATTATAATGTTGAACCGAACAATGATGGCGTATGCAACACTTAAATTAAAAGAAGACACGTTAGAGTTACTTTTACAAAACTAACATAATAGTAAACATACGCCATCGTTCTTCAGCAAATAATTGTAATCAAAATTAAAAGAGGCAGTGCGAGGAAGTTCTCATGCATTACTACGGGAGAATCTATCTTCGAAACTATCGTACAATACTTAGGTGCACTGTATGTGGATACAATAGCTAATATCTATGAAAACATACTGCCAAAAAAACTAAAAGGACGCAAATATATAAAGGTCTATAGGCTACACAAAAGTTTGAAATTTTTAATGCATCAACTTTAATACAACCAATAAATTGCGGTAACTCCTAGCGGTCTGATCAAGCCCTTTACGATTACAACCTAATCGCAATGACATTAAGGTTCTCTTTCGAAAGCTGACCCACATATGAAATCAATTGAACACTTTAAATTCGTTGAAATTTGAATGCTATGAATGATGGCGGCACAGCTCAATCGGACCACGCGAAATGCCCAATTAGCACAACATTAAAGTGGCCTTTTAAAAGCTATCAGCTAACTTTCCATTAAAACAAATGACAGGATTACCTTTGAAATTAATTATGTACTAGTTAGTGCGTCAGCTTATGACGAGGTTACGAATAAATATACAGTAAAAGGTACAACTTATTATTCACTCAAAAGTCAAACAAACACAGAAAGGTTCCTTCGATCCTACTGGACTAGAACCTTCGTCTGTTGCCGAACCGTGGCTACTGCTTTTCAACTGAGTCAGCAGATCTTACGAATTTCTCTATGTGCTCGTTGCAATCTTTATATTGGGTCTAAACGTCTTTTTTGCGTGTCTTTTTAGCGCCACCAAACGAGAAACTTGTGAAAGTTTCTTCGCTCAGCCATGTTGCAGCTACTAGAAGACTGTCAGAGCCGTCACTATATTAATAAGTAAAATCAATAAAATAAATATTGCAAAATATACAACTGTTTTTATCTCCATTTGCAACCAAAAAAAAGTTATGAAAACATTAATTGTTGTTGAAGATATCCTTTCGTACTATCTAGGAAATGCTGAATATTAGCTTCAGATATACTTACTGTTCGATGTTGTAATTGTAGTTTTCATTATATCACTAATTCATTAAATGTTAACGTTAATCAGACAGTGGCAAAGGCTACTCACGGCGCGATATCGGAGTGCAGGCGGCGCGATTGCGTGGCCAACAAGGCGTCGTGCGTGAGCCGCGCAGGCGCCGTGGGGGCCGCCGTCGCACCCAGCTCTTGTCCCTCGTGGAGGGTCGCTAGGCCTCCGCTGGCGGACACGCCGAACTGTCAAAGACAACATACTATCAAAGATTGCTACTATATTACAGGTCTCCCAGAACCATTATTATACTTTTGACAGCTCGAATTAGTGATGTTTTTCACTAATTCGAGAATTTCAACAATCGACTTTATTTATGAGGAAGTTTTATGTGAGACGGTTCACATTCGCATTAATTAATATATAATGTTATTGAGGGTTCAAGTGATGATCCCAGTTCATATGGAGAAGAATCCACAAAACCATTAGATTTTTTTTAAATTACCTACAATCTATTTATTTTAATTATAATTTATTAAATAGGTACCCAAACCTAGAACGGAGAAATCAACTTCAATCATTTTCGTTGTATAATCTGTCGGTTCGATAAATATCGAAGCTAAGGAGTACCTACTGCATTGTCTATGGTTGACTGTTAATCATTCATTTTGTACTTCGTTAGGCACAGGCGGGCTTAAGTCAAAAGTAAAATAAATGGTTTGACAAAGTGTATTCAAATTACACTATTATAAATACATATTATTAATGATATAAAGATTGAACATACACAAAGAAACAATCTTCGATCCGACTGGACACGAAGCAACGTCTGTCGCCACGAATAATAATTATAACGCTTAGGCTCATAGGGTCGTATTCTAGAACTCTACTCAATGCTCAAGTCAGGATCTGACTATGATTTCAAGCACTGGAAATACGACCCTAATGGCAGGGACTTGAGTATGATTTCTAGTGCTTTAAATTAGCGTTCTAGAATACGACCCATAGCCCCGCACTAGGCAAACCCTGTATCGCGGGTGCCATGGACACCCACAAATTACACCCGAACTGAAAGCGAGTGAAATGTATACCAAACAAATATTTCTTCCAGCCCGGGAATCAAAACGGGGATAGATAGTTTTTATAAAAGTTTAATTATTTTTAATATACACTATGGACCACAACCAATTCCATACATTTATTATTATAATATTATGGTTTTTTTTTATACGAAAGTTACACCCAACTTAAGTAATACTCTAAGTTAATTCGTGTTGGACGGTCCCTTAACGACGACTGATAATGGACCTTCGAGCTAGCAAGGCTTTGGTAAGTAAGCAACACTTTGATGTTAGCATTCCTATTCAGACTCATTTAATTGTTCCAACACCGGTTGTAAAGTTTCAGCAACAGAAATTGATATAACAAGCGAAAAGGCTCATGTGCTTGTAATTTCACCCTTAAAACTGGAACGCAGTAACGCTCACATTACTGCTTCGCCACATAAATAATTCTTCAAACTCTAAAAATCTATATTTCGTCTGTTTAAAGGTAAAACCACAATCTCCAAATTATGTACCTATTGTAAGAAAATCACCATCTTTCTGCGGATAAAACTCTTATTGAGTTTATAGCTTTTTTTATTATTGAGTTTCACGTGGAAAAAGATAGTGATTTTTTACTATAGCTATATAAATGAGACTTTCTGTTTAAAATGTTACTTATGTGGTTTTACCTTCAAACAGACGATTTCACATAATTATAAAGTCGTCAAGTTGATTAAGCACTACTACTCTTTCGTAAGGCAGATTGCCTTGAGAAAAGTGAGAGAAAAACTCTAGGGGTAAAGCGTGAAGCACACAGACAACGGGTGCGAGTTGGGCGCGTGTCCGGTCGGGAGCACGGCGGGTGTAATTCTGACAACACACCACGAGCGGGCGCGGGACCCGATCTGCGCCGCCGGCTGTCAGTGAGTTTCATGCTTTACTCTGTGTAAATATATATTTGTTTGCATTTATCATTAACTAAATATCGTAAACAGGCACTAATAAAGAGCTATACTCTCTTAATGTGAAGTTTTCAAGAACAGCCAGTCTATTTTTACGACTCAAATTAATGAATGTCACATTATGTCTGACAGAGAACGCAGGCGGAGACTGAAAACCAGCATTTACTAATGCTTCTCATGCAGGCTTCTCCCTTTTCATCTACATATAAGTAATAATAGAAATCAGAGTAGCTCACAGTTTAGAAGTACATATATCATGTGATTTCCCAAATATATATGTGTGTTTTATGACTTATGTCCTATTTATCTATCCCTATTTTTCATGAAAAATTCTTCTTAAATTTAGTATATATAAACACAGGCCCAGCCATACATAAACTTACAACAAAACATACAAACAATCGCTTTCCAATGTTATTAAAACTAAGTTAACGACAGTCAATTTTCATTTTGCTTTATTTTGTAATTGTTTAAGTACACGTAAATTCCTGCCTTATGCCTATCTTTCATACGCCTGCTCAGAGGTGTGAGAGCCGCGTGATCTATAACACAGGTTAAGTTAAGGTTCCTAGTATAGACACCAGACTTTCACAAACGAAACTAAATTCAAGAACACAGGAGGACCAAAGGCATATACAGGCTGTATATTTGAAAGTGGGACATACTTATAGAGTGCGTTATATTCCTGATTCTGAACCCAAAGAAATAATAAACTAAGGAACTTAAACTTTACAAAAAATATTTTTTTTAATTTTTGTTTTTATCGACTACTACTTGTGAATAACATTAGTTGTCGAAATCTATGCACATCACTATTATTGCTCCGACGCAGCGGCGGGTGGCGTCAAGGCGGCTTAATACAAAGCACAGGTCGGGGGTGGAGGCGCGGGCGCATACGCGAAATTGCTATTTGCAAATTGCAACTTAACGAAGACATATAAATTATTTGCACTTCCGCTCGCCCGATCACCGCAAAATGGATATTTATTCTAACGTTGAATTGACTGAGATGGTGCGACTTTACTCAATAAGTGGTGATAGTGTGAGGCAAGCTATTGAAATGTTCCCAAATCGGAGTTTACTCGGAGGAGGTGAACAGTGTCGAAGTATTGCGTGAGAGGATTATCTCAGCATTTTATACTGTGAGACAAAATGTGTTTGTGTTGTACAATTTAGAACAAAATTTACTATGCCGTGCTAGACTATGCATTGTGGAAAACGGTGGACATCTCGATATTGTTTTGGTAGTGGTACTTACGTCCCGGTGCGCGTGCGGTGGTGATGCATCGGGCGACGACAACGGCTGCGTGGCCGCCGAGACATAGGACACGTACGCCTCCGACCGTAAGAACGCTCTATATGTCGTTTCTGTTATGTCGCGCGTTACCTATAACAACAATTAAAAGTGTTATTATTACTATTCTGTCATCGTTATCAGTCACTACATTTTGTCTATTATAATATAAGGCATAAACAATATTCATCCAATTTTTAACGAGACATTTAATGTCAAGTAAGCTCGTAAGAAATATACACCCATACAAACGCAAATTATTTTACGTAGACTCAACATAAATACATACATTTTGAAAACTGGTTATAACTATCTTGTAACATAAAATTTTGATATAAACGCACGTACGCACATACACACAAACACAGACATTTTATCATATTGTTTTTCTCATAATATATATATATAATCTTTACTTAATTAAAGCCAGAGGACTATATTATGAGATGAGGAGTGGCGTCTCTTTAAACACGGTTGTAGAGTAGCAGAGTCGTGGGAAACGCGGCTTTTATGCTGAGCCAGCGCCTTTTCACTGCCATGACTTCCAAAACGATTTATTTATTATACTTATACAAAAATTTTATGAAAACTGACATACCTACAAATGTCATTTTACTCCGTCTTCAAAAAAGACAATCTTTATGTGGGTGCAATACAAACCTCCTGCTCCATATTGTCGAAGATGGTTCTTTCTATGGCGGCGCCGTCTTTGAGTCCTTGCTTGACCTGTGCCTTCAGCTGCTCAGGCATCGTTAGCTGAGACTTGCGTAGAAATCTAAAAGCATAAACATATTATATCAATTGATACAAAGATCAAACAAACGCAAAGAAAAATGGACTTGAACCAGCGACTTTTGCCCCCAATTGGGGCTATCGCTCTCCCAAGTGAGTTACGGAACGAGTTAGCGAACCATACAAATTTCTCCATGTGTATCTCGCAGATATTTGTTTTTGGCTGTAACGGCTTTTCAGTCGTAGCGCCATCTATTAGAAATCTATGAAAGTTTCTTCACCGACAGAGATGTCGCTATATTAATAAGTATAATCAATAAAGCAATATTGCAAAAGGTACAACTATTTATCTCCAACAACAACCAAAAAATTTAACGAAAACGTTGACTGTTGTTGAAGATGTAACCTTTCGTTGTACCTGGAATTGCTAGTTAGGAACAAGGCCGCCTGAATATTAGCTTTTGATATACGGTGTTTTCATTATTTCATTAAGAGTTCTCATGCCAAAAAAGTTTTGACGTTGGCTCCGCCCAAATTTGTCAAACAAATATATGCCTGAAGTTCGCGTGACATGCGACAGGAAATGTTGAATTTTGCGCATTAAAAGTACTAAATTCGTTTTAGCGGAATAACTCTAAAACTAAAGGGATTAAAAAAAATCCATAGTGACAGTTGTCGATCATGCATAAATATAATTAATTATCTAATTTTTGTCCTAATAACCTGTAGGTTAAATTTTGAGGATAAATCGAAAAAATGTGAAAATTAGAGGTCATTTCGTGATTTTTATCTATCGAGGAAACTTTATTGTTTTATGTTTCTGATTAATTTCTATGCTTAAATATATCGTGTAGTTACTCATACAATATTTTATTTTTAACTTTAAAGTGGATATACTCCTCTAAAATCAAATCGAAGATTAGGAATTTTTCCTCTGCTCCCTCTTAAACGTCGAGTAAATCATACTGTAGCAAAACCTCACAGCGCGATACCGGAGTCCAGGCGGCTCGACTTCATGGCCATACATAAAATTTTTATTTTTATAATCTTCATCAACTCATCATATGTCCCTTTGCTAGGCACGGGTCTCCTCTCAGAAAAGGGTTTCGGACATAATCGTTACGTTAGTATAATGCAGGTTTCATGGCGTCGTTTTTCTTCACTATGCGCACAGCAAGATGTACAGCTCCTAAACGTTCACAAATGTACGTAACTTGAAAATTAAAGTATAAGTTCATAACCGCTGCGATTCGACCACTTCTCAATTGGGAAGCAACCGCTATCTCACTGGACTACCACCGCTGTTTTGTGTATGTAATGTGTGTACGAACTTGTATATGGCGGAGACGACTTGTCGGATCTTGGACGGCTCGGTCTCCTGACGCAAGCCCTGCACGGCGAAGTAAAAGTTGAGACGGTCCACGTGCAGCCCGCCGGCGCCGCCCACGAACTTGCGGAACAAGCGCACGCCCTCCGCGTCCTACGCACGCGTTTTTCAGAAATAATTACAAAAAAAAACATGATTGGGTTTGGGCTAGTAGTAGTTAGTTCCCACGCGGTCTGAATGCGTTGCGTTCAAATTAGGAACTTCACACACACCATAAAATTGATTTGCAGATGTGTGCAGGTCTCCTCACGATGTTTGCCTTCACCACTTATGGTAAATTCAAATGAAGTTCGCACTTAAATTCCCAAATACTCCAAAAGAGGTTCAAGCCCAATTTGAACCGTCTATTTGAGAGGCAATAGCTTAAACCAGTAGGCTACCACGGCCACATAATCATAATACTCATGATGATAAAATATATCTATTTCGGCTTGTATTGCAGAAGGGTAGATTGAGGGAAGACCTAGAAGAAGTGAATTAGATCAAATAAGGGAAACAGTTAATGTTGTATAGTAACAGAAACTCAAAATTAGGGTGCTGAACAGAGAAGGTTGGCGTATACTCCACCTACACTACTGGTGGTACGGAGAAACTACTACAACTTTCTAAATATCTTAATAATCAATAAAATTAATTTAGCAAAAACGCAAAAACAAAACAAAACGATAAGTCTTTCGTTGCGTAAATTGAATGTTCTTTGGTGAATTAATAAGGTACCACGGCACGGACAGGCACTCAATAATAAATATTAAATATTTGACCAAACATAGGAAGCTAACAAGTCATATCAATAATATTAGGCCAATATAAGAATCCATGTAGTACACACCTCGAGTAAGTTGTGCAGCGAGCGCGCCCATCGCATGTAGGGTGGGGAGGCGGCGGGCGAGCCGCCTGAAGAGCCCTCCGTCTCCTCGCGCCACGCCATTCTGTCACGATTTATATCACATTAAGGTATATTACAAACTCTTAACAGTGCATGTTCACTTGAACGAGAAAAAGCCTTGTGATAACATTTAGCTCATTCAGGTTTCCATCTATATTTTTACGCAATTATTAACTCCTAGATTTTCTCAGGGAGTTACCACACTTATCGATGCAAAATCGACTCGAGCCGATCATAAAAAGCTTTTTTTTTTATATATGACACCTGATGGAAAGTGAGGTCGACGATGGAGCATGCACACCTAAATAATGCCTATTCACTCTCGCCTTGAAAAGATCCAAGTTATAACGTTCAGGGAACAAGTCTGCAGGCAAGGAATTCCACTCCGTAGCCGTTCGCCATATAAATGTGAAAGCGTAAAGCTTCGTGCGTATCATTAGAACATCCATAACATAGGAGTGGAATCCGAGGCTACGCCTAGTCCCCCAATGATGGAAAGGGGAAGGCGGAATTAAATCGTGTAATTCCATCGCACACTCTCCGTGATATATCCTGTAAAATACTGATAAGCGGCTTCAACTTCGTCTCTACTAACCGAGTCACCTATAAGCCTCTTAGCACGCTTGTATTATGTCTATGTAAAAAGAGCGAAAAGGTCGATGTACGTTTTGCTTCGCGGTGCTTAGTCGGAGCGGTTGCGAAGCGCACTTCTTTTTCGCTCTGTGCATGGCAAAAAGTTTTTTCAGACCTATTCAAAACGATTCCGTGTCGATAAGTGTGTTGACTCACTTATGCGTTCTTTTGAGGGGTCTGCCTTACGCATTCTTTTCTATCTTAACTATACGAACCTCTATCACGCATCCCGCGGCGTAAGTTTGCGTCACAATCTTATATCTAGGTTAATTTTTTTAATGCAAAATAAAAAATAATTCACACATCAATTAAGGCAATGAGTTGCACATATGTTCTAACTTTGAAGATTTCAAGTAAAATTTCCCAATAAAATCGTACCGTTTGATATAATAAAGCTACATGTGTTCATAAGTCAAAAGTGGTTTTGATTATAAATAAAAATAATACAAACTACATGAACAAATGATGTATATGTGAGCTATCCTGTTTAAACATTTTTTTTAATATAATATTAAGTTACGGGATGAACAAATCGTGCGCCTGGCGGTAAGCTACATGCCTGTCCATAACAGTTACTGGGCCCGTCACCCTAAGACAAATTGACAAGTTCCATGTGCTTGTAATGCTGACATTATTGCTTGGCGGCAGAAATAGGTAAAATGGCAGTACATCACTGGACGAACTGTTTCACAACGAGCTGTATTGCTATTAAAAGGTTGAGGCCTAATGTCACTCATAAAATCTTTAAACCTGTCTCCCGGAAAGTTGTATTATTGCAGATGTGGCCATATTACACTGAGGGTGCAAAGTAAAGAAATTTTTAACTCACAATACCAAGTGTCACGTCGCGTGTTTTAACTGACTTTACTCACTTAGGAAGATGTGGTTGTGTGAACACATGTTTGGATTGAGATTTACTCTTCTCCTCCCCAGACGCCGGCGGTAACGACGACCTGTCAGCAAGCTTGTACTCCCAACCTGCATCAGAGAACGAAACTGTATGTCTAGCTAGTACAAACAAAATGTATTTAAATATTTGGAAATTTCGTATGGCACCACTGGTGCCAAAAGAAAAGTTTAAACTTTAAACGTTCAATACGAAATATTACGTGAAATTTAGCGATCATGGATATTTCAACTTCATGGTAGAGTAATTGTATTAGAACACTCCAATTCCTCACAACACAAAAACAAACTATCAAAAACAATTATGAATAATAATAAATTATCAATAACAACTATATAAAAACAATGCCAATAATACCGATAATGTTCAAAATAACAAACACAATACAAGAGCATAACAAGATTGTGATACTATACTAAAACCCTCAATTTGTAGGAAGTGATACCTTGCGGGTGGCCGCCGACAGGAGTGTGGCTCATGGCGCACAGGCCCTTCTCCCACCCGCGCGCTGCATGGCGTGACACCACCTGTATGTATAAACGTAAAAATATTTCTGTTTTAAATGCACACAATTGAAGAACCTGAAAAGTAACTTGCCATTTAATTAATATATCAAATCTTTAACACTCCTTAACCAGTCTTTGTTGAACCTTGTACAGAACAATTCACAACGTTGAATAAAAGACAAAATAGAAGTATAACGCTCAAATGGCAAAGGATGAAAATTCACATATATAAAGAACATTAAATATTCTGAATACACTATAGATACACTGAACAAAGCTTCTAGCATCAATTCATCATATAAGCCTCATTGTTTGGCAGAAATCAATACCATAATACTACAGTTAAATTGAGAAGGGTGCGTAAAACCCAAGCATACTCCAGAGTCTGCACATCATAAACCGCTTGCGTAATATGAAAACACCAAGCCACCGTAAAAAAAATCAATACTAAGCATAATAAGGATCATACCCGCTCCTCATATTTGACTTCTGTACATTGGAAAAGGATAGCCAACAAAAAATGAAACAGCGTGCTAAAGTCAAGAGTTTCCATCATCGATCGGCGTCCCAAAAGAAGCGTCCACTCAATAATAGTCTATAGAAACTTACAACTAAAGGCTCTAAACACCTCACAATCAATTTATTAATAACAAATAATGTAATATCATATTCCATAAACTTCTTTTACAAAGCACTATGTTTCTCACAATGGCAGATAAAATTATTAAAAATCTTTTTTTATGATCCGCTAAAATCTTTGCCCCAAAATCAGGATAAAACATAAGTAAATTTATATTATGCACATGTCAAAACAAATTAAATCATAACTTCATGGTTGAATGAGTAAGTAACAGAAAAAATTATAAAAGGGCCAAAAAAATACATAATGGACCTTACCATGCTTATTGTGAATAGGCAAACAATGCACTTTGGAGGTACGACACCAGTTAATAGAATTATTTTATTAATATTATAGACAGAATCTATTATTAATTTTTTGCTAATAGAAATCTTTGAATTGAGACTAATGCGACTGCTCGCCACCGAGGCAGTTGTCCGAGTGAAAGATTCGCAGTCAGACGGAGACTAACTGTGCAACACAATGGGGTACATTTCGAACGTTTTGCTATACAAAGTATGGAGATTCCTTATTATGAAAGGGTTTATCCATGAAATCAATAACTCACACCCCAATAATAAATTCTCTCAATAAAAATTACTTTTAAATTCTTGACTTAATACATTTTTTTGACTGTGTGGTGGAACTATAGACCATGACACTAACACAAATATAACATGTTAAAGAAACAGCAAAGTATAGTTTAAATTTCTTATTTAGATCTATGTGAATATCAAAAAGTTTTAAGTAGCTTAAAACCCAAATTAAAGCCAACCAAAGAGTATTAGTAGACCTTATAAAGATAATAATCAATGTCGAGTACCAAATTAACTGAAACTTGACTGATAATGACGAGCGCTTAGACAGGAAACAGTTTGTAAACAAAGGCAAAAGCTCGTAAAACTGACGGCGTAAAACTTCTGAACATGTAGCATTACTTACCCACCACTCTATTACTCAATGAACTCTAATCTGAACTAATAACACATCGCTAAGGAAGTTTTGACCATAATAAATTATCATTTACCCGTAACACTACACTGAAACGCGAAATATTCATGTTTATAGAGCGATGATGAAAGAAACAGCGAATGAAACTTAAAACGCTTACTTATCACAGTATTGTAGAATGCCGTTATTGCGGAAGACACGAGACATTAATTTAAAAGTTTCTTAAAAACAATTAAATTGGCTTGGGCTTGGACCGTTCGAATTTGTATACATGAGCAACAACGTTTGACATGACATGACATTTGACAGCACAAAGCCGCCATGATGAAGTGATTACCAGCTGTGTGTCAACGCCATCTAGCGAAGACGCTTTGAACAGCGAGGTCAGCGCGTGACATTAATTTGCATAGTATCAAAAATCAAATACAGATGGCGACAAGCTCTTTGTATTGAAACTTCGCAACGTTTGGCGGTAACTTTGTATGAAAACAATTACTTAAGTACTTTTTAACGTTTATAGTGTTGTATTCAACTCAAAAAATTGTTGTGTATAGTAGATTTACACACCTGTGTAGCAGCTTCACAGCCGCTGCATTTTTGTAGTTCTTGGTTTATTTCTTGCTGCCGGTAAAATCTAAAAACAAAAAATAAATATTATTTTATTGGTTAAAAATAAGGTCGAATTAGGGGCAAAACGAAGGCCGATGCGGCTAGCACAAGACCGTGGTGGATGGAACCAACTTTGGGAGGCCTATACCTAGCAGTGGATGAAATTAGGCTGCGGATGATGATGAGGGACAAAAATTTGGCGCCGCGTGTAAATACATAATTAAGAAAAATTTCGTTAAACTATCAATTATGAGGAATGAGTTCTAACATCAGAATCTCGAGGTCTTTTCTACGATAACATCTATACTTAGATTTCGTAATAATATCCAAAATACTTCACCTCGTTTCCTTGTTAATCATTATTTGCATTTATATTGCTATTTCCACGAGTATTTAAGTTTTTGTGAATCTTTTTATTATTATTCATTAAAGAAAGTGTACGCTTACTTTTTAATATATTTATTTACGAGATGAATAGTCATGTCGTGTACATAATTATGTTTGGTTTACACAGTACCTCTATCTAGATTAAAACCTCAAATTGTAACATCGATTAGAGTGGCAACTATTTTGTGTGTCTATTAATGATTAAAAAATAGCTGTAATTTTGTAATGTTATATCCATTTTCGTATGATTATACTTAGGCAGAGTCGCATAAAATTGAGAATGAACAAAATCGTTTAAAAAAATTAATATATTCTCTCGGACACATAACTCGAGCCGCCTCTAATTTTTGTCGTAGAGGGCTAGAATACAAAAATAGTGTTATAATCGAAGAAAAAGTTTTCCCCGGTTTTGCAAATCCAAATTACCAACAAGGGCTTACGAAAAAGACGTTTCGTATACTATTTTCAAAATTGCATAATAGTTTTTGATCAATCAAACATTGTTTAAGCTTAGGGCACTAAATACTCGAATTGTGTGTCCGGAAGTGTATTTCACGAAATCCTACGTCTTCCAAATGTGACCGAATGTTTTACATATAGTATACATTATAAATTTGATCGATACTGTCAATATAGAGAGCTATTGAGTGAAGTCCCTAAAGCGTCATTAGCTTGGGCACGCACTAAACGACTCTTTGATCTACACAAACTTTCCGCTTTCCTTTGATTGGTAATGGAACTGTGCTCTGTTATTACGCTAATTAAATTTCAGTAAGGTCCGAATGTAAGGGACGGATCCAGGTGTGCTTACCTATTTATTACGTAGATTATTCCAGTCACAAACAGAGTTTATAATATTGTAATGAGGGAATATGATTAAAAAGGTATTAACGAATAATAACTCAATGCACTATGAACATAAATGTGTAGGATTATAAACGAAGTGTAAAGGGGCAGTTTCTTAACGATGAAGTGTGAAAAAGAAGGATAGAGTTGACGTATGATACATGTGTCCGAATTTTTCTTTTAAATTTTTTTTTTCATAGTCAAAAGTGAACAATTTCATAATCAGGTTTTATTTCCATTACTTATATTCAAAAGTTACTACTAGCTATTGAATACGATAAGTTCCAGAAATGTGGTTGTACGTATTGTTGGCCTTGTATATTTTCGTCAGTCACTCTCCAAAAACCTACGTCCAGTTCAAAAGCTTATTAGATCACAATGAATCCAACATCTCCCAATAACGTAACCACTAGTAACAGGAGATCAAAATGATAAGGGTTTCCCGGTATTAGAAATCCGTCGTCAAAGGGGTCCGCTTTGATGGAAAGCTTCCTGAGAAATTCCTTTAGCACTACCTAACACAGTAATCAATCGTAGGGGGTTATACCATACCCAATCGGAAAAGGCATTTAGTTAGAGGTTGCGGTAAACAGTTTGCAGCGGGCGGGGGGAGGATGTTCTCACCATACATCAAAGGCGAGTCGAGACAACGCTGGAGGAGCCTTTTAACTTTATTTAGCGGAGTGGTAAGTTTAGCCGGTCGCGAATCGCGCAGGTTAAAGAGTAACACACTCACTTTGAGCTTTCAGGATACTGGGGGGAGCGATAGGGTTGCTTACCGCCAAATAAATTGAAAATTCCACTTTCATAACATCTCAGTGTTTTTTTTTCGAAAGTGAATATTATTAAATTTATTGAAAAACATTATTAAACATGTTGCTTTCCGTAAGACGCTGTTACTTATAAGGAATGAACGCTTATAATTGCCCCTTTCGTCCGGCAACAAAAAAATATGGGACTTTTTTTTTCACATTTGGTTAGTCGATCCCAAGTGAGGGAAATAAATTTCAGAAATCTTTGGACGCAGTGTTTATTACTTTAAAAAATAAAACAATGTCTCCATTAAGCAACACATTCTATCTAATGTTTCAAGTATTTTTCCTCCGCGTTCCACAGCCGCAAGACGCCTTTTATATACAAAATAAATAGTTGTCGCTAAGTACGATTAAAGACGAGGACAAAAAATTCTGACCATATTATGTCCTTAAAAAGAAGCAACAAAGAAACAACTGGAGTTTTAACTATGATAACCTAGGTCAGGGAAACAGCTGGCAGCCCTAGGAGAGGGTGGAGGCATCAAACGGGGCCGCTAATGCCGCCCGCACCGCGCCGCGGCGGCTCTTTGTCGGCGTCCTTTGAGTTCGGATGATACCGCGCACCTCTGCTTTGGACAATAAATTGTATGCGATCGTCAGAGCGTCATACACCTTAACACAACGTCAAAGCATATCATATGCATAAACACTGCAATAGAGCATGCAACATTCATAAGCGCAAATCGAAACATGTGCTTTGGTTGTTCTCTAAAGGAACATTTAACTTTTTATTGATAATTCTAAGAATCCTATATAAAATTGTATATAAGTAAGCTGAGTAGAAATCACTATTTCAAGTAATATAATTTATTTTCTGAATACACTAAGTGAAAACGTTACTGCCACGTTTAAAATTAAAATTGCATAAAAGGAACTAAAATTAGGTATATGCTCTCTAAGAAATTGATAGCGACTTTCATTTTTATTTATTATTTGAAGGTTTGACATAGTAAAAGTAAGGCAAAGAAGGATGGCGATATCCCGTTTATTTTGTGAGCCAGTGTTTTTGACGATGTGCATTAAAGATACCTATCAATACTTGGGATTCATTATCATAACTAGCATTAAAAAAGCTAATTGAGTACAACCTATAGAAACTGGGGTTTAAAGTTGATATAGGTTATGTTTACAACATTGTCCTGTATTTCGCTTCATAGTGTTTGTTCGCAGTAGCAGAAAACAACAAGTTTTCAGTTTATTCCCAAAAATAAGAAAGAACTCGTTGTATATTCCCAAATCTGTCAAACTCTGCCACATTTAATACCACGTTAACATGTTCTGCCGAAATGAAAATGAATAAAAATTAAACCTGCCCAAATGGCAGCAATCTGCTACAAATAGTCACACTGTTCTCAGTCTCAGTGTGACATTGACATTGGCAAGAGGCCTCTAGTCAAAACGTTCCTTTGCTAACTTTCTTATCCTTTTTAACTGCCCAAATCTGAACGTTTCTCTCTACGATTTACTCCATCAAGATGTCCCTAATCCAACTAACATAAAGTGCATCCTCGTGATGTCCAATGTCCTTTTAAAATTAAAAAAAAATTTTTGGCGATAAACCAATTAAAATGTTTACCTTTTTTTGTTTTTTCCAGTTCATTATTTTATCTATTTTATTTTTAATTTCTTATATAACCCCTGTCTATAACTACACTGCTTGCATTAATTCATTAATGTACCAAAAAAGTTTATTAACAACCCTGTTTTATTAGGCTATGCTTTGTCTGTTGTTATTGTGTTGTCCTGTGATGTTGCAACTGTGGGCTTAGTTTTAGATAAATCCGCTTCGAGTTTCACAGACAGCAGTAAGGGTCAAAATTATATTTAAAAATAAATCCACTCCTCCCGTGTAGAGGCTACTATTGTCTAAACATTTTTGTCACATTGTGTTTTATTTTTTACTGTATGTCATTACTGTATAATTGATTCAAATAATCAAATTTGATTTTTTTTTTTCAAATTTTCAATAAGCAGATTTTATTTTATTTATAATATTAAGTGACCTGACGAACATGTCGTGCGCTTGATAGGATAGGAGCTACAAACATGTGCATAACAGTTGCAGTGCCACACAGAGCTTTAAATCGCAATCTTTAGATCTGAGCGGCACTGCCACCTCGCCCGTCACCCTGAGACATGAGTTGACAACTCCCATGTGCCTGTAATTTCACCACCACCCTTATCCTTCAAAACCGGAACACAGTAATGCTGACAGTACTGCTTGGCGGCAGAAATAGATAAGGTGGCAATACTTCCCGGTACGCACTCTTTCACAATGAGCTCTACTGCTACTACGTACTTACATCCATACAATTAGAGCGCTTCACCTCCGAACGCCGACGTGATTTCGCTCTTGTAACTCCAAAGTAATTCCGTGTCATAACTTCCTTAGAAAATTTAAAAAATAGAAAATTTACGAAACTTTGCCGCAAGGCGTATCAGAGCGGTTCAAAATGCATTCTTGTAACGCTTTTTAAAACTGTGAATCACAAAGAAATAAATGTACTTGAATTATTTCCGTTCAAACTAATATCGACCTTAAAAGTGATTGAATATTCATACTCGTAAGTTATTGTTCATTATGATTAAATTTGGTTAGTTGATAAATGTTATTATATTCGGCACGCGTGCGAATCAAATCCTTACTACTCCGCGTTGATTACCATAAGCCGGCACAAAGGGCGACCACCCTTTGACGAATTAGCCCCACTAACGTTACCTACGTTAAGCGGCCTTTAACGTAATACCCCGGGTTTCGTTGCGTAAAAATACACGTGAATTTGCAATTCTTCATTTAATGTTGCTTAATCACTTTTTAAAAAGAAAATTGAAAGTATGGACAACGGCACACCAGACTACACATTTTTGTTCGAAAATCGCCTCCAGTGCAACGAAACAAGATGTGCTGGCGTGTGTACCAATAGCTCTTACGTAGAACCGTTTAATAATCAATTTTCGGATTGACTTGAAACAAAAC